AATCAGAGCATGGTGCTTCTTCAGGACTATGGACTTGTCGTTTTCTTGCGGGTAAAGCTTTTACACAGGCCCAACTGTCCGCTGCGATAATGCGTTTGCGTTTGGACGCAACATGATGCAACACTCGGACAACGCGAGCTTCTTGATGATCTCGTTGATGTTTGCTACGGGCGTCCTTTCAAGTCGCAAGAAGCATTGCTTTAGGGGTGGAGTTGCCAGGCTTTTATAGGGGCCCGTTGTTTGTGAATCCCAAAGCCAAAGTCAATTGTCAAGACAGCTATTGCAGTAGAGAAGCGGGTTGGCAGGCGTGATGCAAAGAGCCCTGGCTGACACGGCCAAACAAGGCGCAAGAGGGTCTGGCGTGTGCTAACAGTATGGCTTCCGCAAGAGGGTCTGCCTTTGCGTGGCATCCGCGCTCGCCCCGGAAATCCCGAGCGGTGGTTCGCGCGTCATCCGTGCTCGGCTCGAGCGGGATCCCAAGCGGGCTAGCGAGCCTGGCCGTTTTGGTCCTTTCAGCCGCCTGCGCGTTACCAGCGCCTTGCGCGGCGTCTGTGCTCGGCCCGGGCGGGGCCTCAAGCCTGTTTGCGGGCGCGGCCCCGGCAAAACTTCGAACGTATTGTGGGCTTTCAAGAGTGAAACCAGAGCACGGTGTTTCTTCAGGATTATGGACTTGTCGTTTTCTTGCTGGTAAGCTTTTACACAGTGTCCTAGCCCAGCTTGAGTTCGGGACTTGATGGCCCAATTGTTCCGCTACGAGAATGCATTTGCATTTGGATGCAACATGGTGGACAATGCGAGCTTCTTGATAATGTTGTGTATTTTTGCTACGGGCGCCCTTTCAAGTCGCAGGAAGCATTGCTTTAGGGGTGGAGTTGTCAGGCTTTTAGGGGTGGAGTTAAGGCTGCCCGTTCTTTGTATTTCCGAAAGCCGAATTCAATTATCAAGACAGCTGGGCCGCCGTTGCAGGAAACGGCGAGTACTGTAGGAGAAGCGCGTTGGCAAGCGTAATGCGAAGAGTCCTGGCTGACACGGCCAAACGAGGCGCAAGAGAATCTGGCGTGTGCCAACTGTATGGCTTCCGCAAGTGACATCTTTGCGTGGCATCCGCCTTCGCCCCGAGCGGGATTGGCTTCGCTTGCCTTTGCTCTTGCCGTTGCGTGGCACCCGTGCTCAAGCCGAGCGGCGTCCCGAGCGGGCTACGCCTGCGCGCTGCATCCATAGTTGGCCTGAGTGGACTCCCGAGCGTGGCTGCGTTGGTCCTTACCTGCACCTTGGCACGGCGCACGTGTTTGGCCCGAGCGGGATCCCGAGCGTGTCTGCTTTGCTTTGGTCCTTACCAGCGCCTTTGCGCGGCGTCTGTGCTCGGCCCGAGCAGGATCCCAAGCCTGTTTGCGGGCGCGGCCCCGGCAAAACTTGTGGGCTTTCAAGAGTAAAACCAGGGCACGGCGTTTCTTCATGATTATGGACTTGTCTTTGTCTTGCGGGTAAAGCTTGTGCACGGTGCCCAAGTCAGCTTCACTTCGAAACTTGGTGGCCCAACTGTTTTGCTACGATAATGTGTTTGCGTTTGGACGCAAAACTCGGACAATGCAAGCTTCTTGATAGTGTCGTTCTATTCTACGGGCGCCCTTTCAAGTCGCAGGAAGCATTGCTTTAGGGTTGGAGTTGCCAGGCTTTCTTTCAGGGGTGGAGTTGCCAGGCTTTTAGGGGCCCGTTGTTTGTGAATCCCAAAGCCAAATTCAATTATCAAGACAGTTGGGCTGCCGTTGCAGGAAACGGCAAATACTGTAAGAGAAGCGCGGTTGCATCCTGGCTGGCTGACATGGCCAAGCCAGGTGCAAGAGCGTCTGGCGTGTGCTAACTGTATGGCTTCCGCAAGAGGGTCTGACGCCTTTGCGTGGCATCCGCGTTCGGCCCGAGCGGGATCCGAGCGGGATTCCGAGCGTGGCTTCGCTTGCCTTTGCTTGTGCCCTTGAAACTCGAATGCGGTTGCTCTTCCTTTTGCTGACACCTGTTGCGTGGCATCCGTGTCGCCCCAAGCGGGAGCCCGAGCGTTTGTACGTTTGCCTGCCAAAGTGTACTTATTTGTCTATTACACTTGTACTGACAAGTTGCGACCTTTGAGCTGGAGCTGCCAAAGTGCATTTCCTTTACTACAGTTGTACTGAAAAGTTGCGACTTTGGTGCCGGAGCTGCCAAAGTGCGTTTCCTTTACTACACATGTGCTGAAAAGTTGTGACTTTCGAGGCGGAGCTGCCAAAGTGTACTTCCTTTACTACACTTGCACTGACAAGTTGCGACCTTCGAGCCGGAGCTGCCAAAGTGTATCTCCTTGTACTGAAAAGTTGCGACTTTCGAGCCGGAGCTGCCAAAGTGTATTTCCTTTTCTGCACTTGTACTGACAAGTTGCGACCTTCGAGCCGGAGCTGCCAAAGTTTCCTTGTACTGAAAAGTTGCGACTTTCGAGCCGGAGCTGCCAAAGTGTATTTCCTTGACTGCACTTGTACTGAAAAGTTGCGACTTGCGAGCCGGAGCTGCATTGCTGGATTTCCACACGTCAACGCGCTAGAATTTGGCACCTGGCAATCCATTTGTATGTTGGCAAGCTCTTGTCTTTCACCCTGGGGGAGTCGTGGGACACAAAAGAGTCACGGACAAAACACGTGTAGACCACTTTGGTAAAGGGGGTACACTTTGGCCTACGACTCCAAAATGCCACGGACAACGATAAGGTCTCCCCCAAAAACGATAACCGTTAGTTAACACGTGGCTCTACAATAACCCCTGCAGTTGCAGCTTAGTTGGGGTGGGACCCTTGCGTGGCCGCCGTAAAACGCTAAGGCGAGTCGCGACTTGTGTTCTTCGCGCGTGCTCGGCTTGTGCTACAAAGTTGCGATTTTCGCGCTGGAGCTGCGGAAGTGCACTTCGCGTACTAGACTTGTACTACAAAGTTGCGGTTTTCGAGCTGGAGCTGCGGAAGTGTGCTTCGCGCACTAGAGTTGCACTACAAAGTTGCGATTTGGAAGTGTGCTTCGCGTACTAGACTTGTACTACAAAGTTGCGATTTTCGAGCGAGCTGCGGAAGTGTGCTTCGCGTACTAGACTTGTACTGCAAAGCTGCGATTTTTGAGCTGAAACTGCGGAAGTGTACTTCGCGCACAGACTTGTACCACAAAGTTGCGATTTTCGAGCTGGAGCTGCGGAAGTGCACTTCGCGCACTAGACTTGCACTACAAAGTTGCGATTTTCGAGCTGGAGCTGCGGAAGTGCACTTCGCGTTTACTACGCTTGTACTGAAAAGTTGTGACTTTCGAGGCGGAGCTGCCAAAGTGTACTTCCTTCACTACACTTGTACTGAAAAGTTGCGACTTTCGAGGCGGAGCTGCCAAAGCATACTTCCTTGAAGTGAAAACTTGAGACTTCCGGGCAGGAGCTGCCAATGCGTACTTCCTGTACTAACTTGTACGGAAAAGTTGAGACGTCCGGGCTGGAGCTGCCAATGCGTACTTCCTGTACTACAGTTGTGCTGAAAAGTTGCGGCTCTCGAGCCGGAGCTGCCAAAGTGTACTTCCTTTACGACACTTGTACTGAAAAGTTGCGACTTTTGAGACGGATCTGCCAAGTGTACTTCCTTTACTACACTTGTACTGCATTGCGAAAGTTGCTCATTTCAGAAAGCGTATCCCTGCCCACAACCAGAGAGGCATGTGCTAACTGTTGGTCGCCCCTTTCGGTTTCGGGGTGTGGCAGGTGTGTGCTAACTGTTCGGGGCTGACGGGGGCATTCCGGCCAACCCAGGGATGTGCTAACTGTGCCGCCTGCTAAAAAGTGCTAACTGATAGATACGCACTATAAGGGAAGCCAGGAAACAAACAAACCAGCGGGGTCCCCTAAGAAAGAACTCACTCGTTGCAATAAAAATCGTTGACGAGGCAACCGTTTCAGAAGTGGTTGGAGGACATGACTCTCCGTGATCACAAGGCGCCCGGATTCCTTTCAAATTCCGCGCCTGCTCAAAGCAGAACACCTGATCTATTTCTATTTCACTGGGGTATTGAAGGGAACCTTCCCGTACGATCTACTTCCAGTTTCCGGCAGCCACAATGTAAAACACCAGGACGATGGTTGTCTATAGCGGTTTCAGACTTGCGGCTAAAAGAAAGACACGTCGCACCCCTGCTAAACGGGTCAGAGCCAACGGAAGAAACTGACCAGCTGAGTCACAATCAAAACCCGGTATTAAAATGGTCGAAATCCCAGAACCATGTAAAGAATTAAGCAGGCGGCCGCAACTATTTCTGGCTGGGACTGACCCTTACTAACCTTCATCTACCTGGGTTTTGATTGTGGCTCAGCTGAGTTGACGCTCCGGCCAAGTGGAACTTCTTGGGTTACGATGATGAGGGAAACCGCCAACTCAACAGGAAGCTTCCTCAAACGGATCCCGAAAGCAACCATTCTGGTGTCCAAAAGGTCAAAGGTACTAGGACGGGGCTGGTAAATTCAAGGACGCCAATGGTTGCGCCCGGCCCAAGGAAGGTTCCCAACCAACACAAATGCAGCAAACATAACGGAAGAAACATTTGGCTGTGGGTCAAAACCAATGGTACCATTTTGGGGTAGATGCACCACCCATTTTAGAACCTATTTTAGTGGGGGTTGGGATGTTCACCGGGGCTACGATATGGATTTTCACCCATGGGCATTTCACTTTCCGGGACCGGGGACCGGGGTGTGGGGGCGAGAAGCCACTCTTGCACCTTGTGACATGGTGGTGCTCTTGAACCTGCAAGAGGGGATGGGAGGGACCCAACGAATCTTGGTTGACGTTGGAAGGGGAGCACAAGCTTAAATTTTAGCTGTTCGGTGGGGATTTCAACCACTAAACCACAATAAGCAAAATGTAAAATGTTTCCCAACAACAACCATGGAATGAATTTTGGTTGCCCGTTTGGCTTCAAGCTGAAGGGCCCTGGGCTCAGCTCGTGCCGCCGAATCTCCATAGCCGACGCTAGGAGCTGCTTGGTCTTGTGCCCCAGGCGACGTGCTTGGACATCGGCCTGGCAGAAGAGTTTCGCCCAGCTTCGGGCGAGCCGCAGGTAGCCAGGGGTGCCAAGGTACATACCTAGAGCCTCCATGACCCTTGGAAAATGGGGTCATTACCCAAAATAATGGGGTCGTGGACCTATTTTAACAGGTACCCCTTTTACATACCCCTTGAACGAATGAACCCAAAAGGCCTGCTGATGTTCATACCCCTCTCCCCAAAAGGGGTATTATAAGTTGGAAACCACGGAAGCCAAAGGGGGGTTTGTACCTCCACCCTTTGACATAGGTAACCAGGGAACACGGGCCATCGATTCGGTACGCCAGGTAAGTGGTGAGAGTAAGCCTGGTGAGATAGCCCACGCAGAGACTTAGAATGGCTTTTGTGGTGTATCTCATCATTGTTATTACCCACTTACTAAGTATAATGCCACTTTAAGTAGTCCTTACCAGGTTGGGCATGGTATCCCCAAAACATCCCAAAACGGCTTGCCTGGATGCACTGAGGAGTCAGTCTACGCTGACCTGCTGAGTTGACTGTCCAGAAAAAGTCAAACTTGTTGGGCCTCTGACATGAAGAAACCAACTAGCAAAACGTTTAGAGCTTGCCAACTCAACTAGCACTGTTAATCGGAGGACGGTACTAAGCAGGGGTGGTTTAAGCAAAAAATGATTTGTGTTGTTGGGTTCACCTAAGGAACACGGGAATCTGTCGACTTCCCTGTGAATACCAACAAGCAATGGTTTCACCCATTCTTTTAAAATAATTGGTGCGAACGGATTTCGTCCATCAACTGTAGGCTTAGCTTCCCCGGAGTTTGATCCGAACTTCAAGGGGCAGTGGGTAATAACCATAGTGAGACAACCCACAAAAGCCATGGTTATAAGTCTCCGTCCAGCGGGTTACAACTGGGCTTGCTAATCACTTACCTGACGTACCGAATCCATCGCCCCCTTAAGAAGTTCACATGAGCTACAATCGAAACCCGGGTAGATGAAGGTTAGCAAGGGACAATCCCAACCAGAAATAGCTGCTAATATCCGCCTTCTTAATTCTTGAAGCATGTTTCTGGGATTACGACCATTTTAACAGGGATCCTTACATTGTACACCTGAACATGGCCTTGTAAATGGTGGTGTCCCTGTATTTTGGTGTTGAAAAAGCAACATGTTTCAAATGGTTGCAAAATGTGTATCTTTTAAGAAGCCCTCTTTCTTTTTGTTTTCTATTTTTTACATGGTTCTGGGTCGACCATTTTAATACCTGGTTTTGATTATGACTTAGATGAACCCTTACTAATCTTCATCTACCCGGGCTTTGAGCACGTGGCTCACATGACTTCTCGCGTCCCTCCGTCCCTCCCTCGCGGGACTTCGGCGGACTCCGCCTGGCTCCCCACCACCGAGGCGGTAGAGGTGGCCGAGGACAGGATCCGCTGCGTTCCGGAGCTGACCTCAGCGAGTCGAAGCAAGCGAAGCGGCTGGAGGGAAGCCAGGCGCGGTGCGGATCCACGGCTTCGAAGTGGTTGCTGCAAGGACCCCCCGGCAAAAAGTGGACCACTTTTTGGGGGTTTAGTAGAAAATACCTGTATTTCCCATAAAGTTAAATTCTAAAGATCCAACCCAATGGCAGTCAAGGAAGAGAGCAAATACCATGACTATGTCCTCCAGCAGAGCGGTTAGAATAAGGCTACCCTTTTCTCTGTAGTCTATTTAAGTAGCGGAACCCTCCCCCCAAAAAGATAAAGGGCAATACTGGGGGAGCCTAGATGAATCCAAGGAACAATGTATCTAGTTATACAAATATATAAGTGCACATAGAGTACCATGAATCTGAACACATGCGTATCTAAATATAGATGACCGCATAGAGCCCAAGCATACCATGAGGATGCTTTGTCGGGGTCAAATGGGGAAAAGTAAAACCTCACAAGGCACTTGGACCCTCTTGGACCATAAGAAAATATTGAAATCAATTTCTGAGGAGATTGAAAAGATGTACGTTGACCTCTTTCAACCGGCAAAATACATCCTCAAGTCCTCGGGAAACCGACAAAAGTGGGTGCTCTGATCTTGTTCAAATCAAGTGGATTGTCGAAAACCAGGACAAATCTCCATACTCTTCTTCAGATTTACATAGAACCCATGCCATTTGTAGAGGAACATCATTTTTTTTGTGGGGGGGGGGGGGGTGGTACATGATTTATTTGCAAAGAAGTAAAGCGAGGATCATCTGTGTTAGAACCCGCTCAGCAAAAGCACAAGGATAGTAAATGCCATGCGACCGTAGAGGCAAAGGCGGACAGCGTGTGCTCGTCCCGCGCCATAAGGAAACCAAAGCGTCGAAGCGCCGCGACGGAAGCTCAACCAATGGGTGGATTTGGGTGTCTCTCTGAATGGAAATCTCACGAAATGTTTGGTTACTGCTTAGTTTGCCTTTAAACTAACACCAACAACAGCACACAAACAAAAGACATGCAAATGCATCATATATTTATCCACACAGTTTGGGTCATGATTCTATGAGTCATATCAATGTTTCGAATTATTAAATAGGTGGTGGTCTGGAACAAAGCCCCTTATTTCGCGCCTAAGGTCAGGGCCCTTTTGGTGTTGAATCAGCTGCACTGTGTTTGTGGTGCCTTTTGCTTTCGGGTTTGGTGGTGTTTATGTGCTGAGGTTGTTGTGCTTGTTGGGTGTTAAGTTCTGAGCGTGATGTGGTTGTTGTATCACTCAGTTGGTGCGTTCCTGCTTGTTGTGGTAGTTTATGGCGTTGATTAAAACGTGCAGTTTGGCTTCAAGTGTGCTTGCAAACTAGCTGCAGACGTGTTCTTATATCGTGTGAATCCAAACCGGGAGAGTCTCGACGTCAGTCCATTGGATCTGTTTTCCACATTCGCTGGGATACCGCCCGAGTTCTTGCAATCAAGTCACTTGTACCTTAAACACGTGTGCCTGCGCGATTGTCATGAGCACCGTGAGCATTTAAAATATTGCAATTATGACCAGACGAGTTTTGCGGATTGAGACTTTTTGAGCTTTGGCAAATTCCTGGATTTGTGGCCTCTATGAGCGAGATCAGGTCATAATACTGCACACACTCTAATACATAGTACACATCTGCGAAGGAAGGGTCCCTAAAACCACGTCCATGACCCTTGAAAAATGGGTCAATGACCCCATTTTTTTGGGTAATGACCAACCATTTTTCAAGGGTCAGAAGGAGACTCCAGGTAGTTCCCAAGGGACCCTTTGAGTGTTTGTGCCATCTCCAATGGGCAAAATGTGTATCTTTTAAGGAGCCCTGCTAAAACCAGGTATAGGCTGTTCAGAGCGCGAAAAAACCTCCGCCGCTTTGGCGAACAATTCCTCGAACGGCCTCAACCTCAAGCGGCTTGTGTGGCCCACTTTGCGCCCGGATCTCATACCCTGGGAGATACGAATATCACTTGAGTCTCAGATGCCTTGGGGCAAAAATACATGATTTGCCCGTGAAAACCCTGGACAAACACTGGACCAACAAGAGGAAACCAAAAGGTCAAAAGGTCGATTCGCTTTGGACAAGTGATGAGTGGACGGGCCAAAATCATCGAACTGCTTGCTAGTCACAAATGATGCTCCCAAAAAGTCTGAAGTCAAGGAAATCGGAGAGTAAAAATACGACATGGCCTCTTTCCAGCTCAAGAACACCAAACCACAAGCGTCAACTCCATGGCTGCTTCAGGGATACTCGCCGTGGGCTTGCTCGCCCTCTATTTTGTTCGCGCAGTCTGATGCTTGCGGTCCCAGCGGATCTCCTGGTTCTTTCATCGAAAGCTTCCCGGTCAAACCAAATCCGCTCGTGCCGGAAGGGGAGCAAAATAACAAATTTTAGCAATTAAGTGGGGATTTACCACTAAACTGCAATAAGCCAAAATGTAAAATGTTTCCCAACGACAACCATGGAAACGTAATCCGCACGCTGCTGCTGCGAGTTGGGCTACTCGCCGCTGAACACGGCCGAAACGGCCCCAGTCGCCCAGTCGCTACGAGCCCAGGACTTTCTGATATTTCCTCGGCTGGAGATGGCACACACACTCAAAGGGTCCCTTGGTTTCTGCCAAGTTTGCAGATTTGAGGAATCTGTATTTGCCGAAGTCCCCAAAGAATCGAACCCAAAACTGGACATATCTGGAAATATGAGGACATATGAGGTAGCAAGGGTCCGTCTGGGCTACATGCCAAAGCTGGTCCATAGGGCCCAAGTTGCTGTAAACGCCCCCGTATGTTCTTGTTGTGGCTTTGAACAGAAAGGAAAAACGGAAAAGAAAAAAAGAAAAAAAAAAAAAAAAACACACACACCGCATGCGGGCAGAAGGAAGGGTTCACCACGCACACACACACACACACACGTTGTTTTACAGTTAGTAAGCAGTTGGCCACCTGAGTTATAACCTGCTAATAACATATAGCTCACTCCACTTAAAGGGCTTGTAAGCAGATAATAACTTAGTAACAACTTATTAACCTGGCCGAAAACAATAAGTAATACTAGGCCAGTGGCCGAACGAGTGAATTCTGCTACTTCCCAATTACTGTACGGGCTGTACCTTGCACCAGTCTACCGGGACAATTGTCGCACTTCTAGGCTGTTTGCCAAGGACACTGACAACTTAGCTGGCAACTGTTCACTCATGAACAGAACTCGCAAATACGGCAGGCTCAATATTCAAGAACATCGAACAACTTCAGCTCTCCCAAATCAAAAACACCCTCCTTGCAAAGGAAACAAACACACACACACACACACACACACATGCGGACTCTGCTCCACATATTAAAAACCATACCCCTCAAATCTCAACCCTTAATAAGAATTCCTTACCTTCTTCGGATGTGGTTGACATGACCCCTCGGCCGGACCCTTGACATCCTGGGTATGTTTGGGTATACTCTCTTGGCCAACATCTGGGGTACACGGAAAGACAATATGTTCAGATTCTGTTTCATATTTAATCCAAAAAAAAAAAAAAAAAAAAAAAAAACCTTGCGTGTAATCAGAAACCAGGAAACCATCATGACAAAACGACGAAAAGAACAAACAACACACACGTACCCGCCTGGAGTCTCCTTTCTGACCCTGAAGAAATGGGGTCATGACTCTTCATGTTGGGTCTACCACATGGATTCATCGGGTCAGAAGGACCCTCGCGCACACCCACAGGCCCCGGCGGTCGGCTGTGAAATGGTTTGTTCAGTGACCTTCGGTAGGGGCTATTTGGGGTTGCCATTTGGCAGACATCCATCCTTCCATCTGCTTAAGCCCCCTGGAAAAATAAATGAATAAATAGATATATATATATATGTTACCAGCAGTGATATATTCCATTTAAAACGAAAAAGGACAAACAACAAATATAGTCTTAAGCCAATGGAAGCATTGGGTGCTGGATCGCTTTGCCTTAAATTGGAACCGAGCTTCTTGGTGAGCAGACAGGACTCCACCACGGTGATGCCCCAGTCCTGGCGTAGCTGGGTGTGAAATTCTGGAGTCACGCACCCTGGTGAACATGTTCACCAGGTGGTACATGGGTGTTCATCCGCCCCAAAACGGAGCCATAGGTTATGACCATGGCCACATGCTGCCCTCAGATCCCCCGCTAAAAATGACTAACTTAAAGTGGGTTAAATGGGGAACCTACCACTAAACACCAAAAGGCAAAAACGCTAAGGAACCGCATGGCTGGGAGCCACCAAGAGGGGCGGAAGGTGTTTTTTTCCTAGGTTCGGCGCGGCCTTCTTTTTCCTAGTTCGGCGCGGTGGTCCGGACCCAGAAAAGCTGCAGAGGGTTTACCTTTTCCAAACAGCTTGTTTCCAAAACGCCAGAGGGTTCACGTGTTCAAAGACGCAGGGTTGGTTTAGGTTTGGTTTAGGGTTGTTTGTGGCTTGTTTAGGGCTGGTTTGGGGCTGGTTTAGGGTTGGTTTAGGCTGGTTTAAGTTGGTTTAGGGTTGGTTTAGGGCTGGTTTAGGGCTGGTTTAGGGTTGGTTTAGGGTTGGACCGACTGACCGACCGACCAATCCACCGACGGACCGACCGACCGACCGACCGACTGAGAGACCGACCAACCGACCAACCGACCGACCGACCAACCGGGGGCGACCAATTGGCTGAGAGACAGACCGGCCGAGCCAACGCCCCAGCACCACGCAGCAAAACGCCCGCGCCAAACCTAGGAGAAAAAAAACTCGGGACCCCAAAGAGGTGGACAACAGAATTGGGTGGGGGGAAAAAAGATGGTCCGCCGACTAAGATGGAAGTGTACAAGCCCCTTTCCAAGAGGAAAGTAGTCATTCCACAAAGGGTTTGTGCGTGCACTTCCGTGTTAGTCGGTGGGAGGGTAAATCTGCTTTTTGTTCTGTGGGTCCGAGTCTAAAAAAAACATAGCCGCTTGAGAGCATGGATTGGCCAAGAAATCCCGGGTTGCCACACAAATCTTCGTTTGCGAATAGGTCTCCTGGAAAAAGACCCAGTGATAGATTGCCTTTAAAACCAACCTAACGCAGGCGATGGGTAGTCATGCCCCCCCCGGAGAGGAAAGAGGTCTAAGTTCTTGTCTCTACGTCACGTGCGCCCACGTCAAACACGTGCGCTATCCGCATTGGACATCCTCTTCAAGGGACCCTCTGTGAGGGAGGGAGGGAGGGCAACCGTACAATGCAACATCTCCAAACATATCGTATTCCACAACGCCGGAGGAAAATTGTCTTCCAGGCTTCAGTCAGGTTCAACGTTGGGCAGTGGGCGCAATTCCCCCTTGTTGGTTTGGCGAGCCCTTAATTGTCCGTGTAAGCTGAGCTCTTCAGTTAATGAGCGTTAGTCAACCTTATCCATGCTCCAGATTGGAAAACCACTGGAAAGGACACCAAGTCCTGGTGCAGGCGCACAATAAGGATCGTTCGGATTGAGTTTGAACAGCCCAGAAGTGAAAGGTTGCCACTTTGCGAAACTAGAGTGACTCGAGCCACCTACTAAAGCCGTGTCATGTCCTTACTTATTAGGTGGACATCGTGCAATCTACCCTAACCCTAGCGTAGTTAGCAGCGGCTCACTGCGCCCCTCGCCCTCCGACTCTCCTTGCCGCTGTTGTGCCCGGCTCCATCCACTCCGGCCCTCTCCTTGGCCTTCGAAGCGACGAGTTGGGGCCGGGTCGAAGCGGGAGAAGGCCCCACCGCCCTACCCAAAGGGTCCCGTGCCGAAACGACGCGCGGATTTGAGTTGAATCTGCATGTGCCGAGTCCCCGATTCACAACCAAGCCCGAAACCGGAAACATATGAGGTACTTACTTGGACCGGGCTACATATTGCAATGATCCGGCAATAAGGAAACCCTCGAGATTGCCGTAGTGTTCCATGGTTTTGTGGTTGAGTATGGAGGGAGGCAATAGGGCATCCACCGAAGCAAGCGTCGCCTGCTCCTCGTTCAAGCAGCCCAAGATGCCATAGATGACCTGCGAGTGGCTTGGCCAAGAAAGTCCGAGCTTTTTGTTTGCCACTAAACCTGTCTTCCCCAAAAAGTCTAGGAACGCAGGAAGTGAGCACACTGGCACCGTTTTGGATCCGAAAGGGGTCCCTCGGGTAGCTTAGGAAGCGTTGAAGGAGCCAAACAACGCTCAGTACAGCCTGGGACGGTTGAAAGACAAGCTGTTGAGAACGTACCAAAGGAACCTTCAATACATCCTCAAAAGGAACCAAGGGAGGGTTTTCGTCATGTGGAATTGATACCATTGACCACTCACATGAATACTTGATTCCGTCGGGGATGACTTTTTGGCATCACAGAACATGGTCTCAAGCCCCATGGCCTACACCAACCATGGACCGTGTCTGTCAAACACCAACCATGTTAGTGGAAAACCAAGGGAACCCCAAAAAAGCCAAAAACAAAAAAGAGGAACTAATTCTGGGGAAGAAACATGGCCTCAAGCCCCATGGCCTACACCAACCATGGACCATGTCTGTCAAACAACCACATTCCCTGAAAAAGCAGAAAAATGAACAGCTCGAGGCCGGCGCCGGCAGCTTGTAATCGAGGTTCAGCCTCATGATCCCCTGCGTCACCGCCTCACAAGAACCATCGGAGTCTGGAAAACTTAACTGGGTCCTCCAGCAGAGACGTTAGAACAAGTTGGCACCAACTTTCTTCTGTCTTCTATTTTAGTAGGGGAACCCTCCCAACCAAAAAGGGTCAGCAAGGGCACTGGGGGACCTAGACTTGGGTCTTCGATTCGCAAAGGGTAAGTCGTCAATAACCAAAGTTACTGCCCGATGACAAGCCCTGGCCGCCTTTGTTTTTGGTGTCTGTTCGACGCAGTGATTTGTGGGAGGAGGGGGAAAGAAGGAGAAGTAACCAGGTAGCCCCTGTAAAAACCGCTGCCGTGCAGTGGAGCTAGCCTTGTTATTTGTGGGGTTGCAACCCGGGTGGGCTTTTCCACTTCTTGAGCTGACTTGGCAAGGAACATCCAAGTAGGGCCCTGCCCGAGCGGGTTCCTTAGTTTCCGTGTGGGTGTCTGGTTGCTTGGTTTGTTTACCCTGAGGGTCCGATCGGGGCTTGGTATGAACCTGGGGTTCCCTCGAGTTGGAGGCGTCAACATGGAACTTAAATTCCTCAATTCCCCTAAATTCTATCAGAGCTTAGGGCAGTTGCGTTTGTGTGTTGGTACTTTTTGAGGATCCAGTGAATGGTAAAGTTCAGGAAACTACCCTAAACAATGGGAAATGAAGCCATCATCTGAGCAACATCTCGTGTTCAACCCAGTGGATCCCAGCTACACGTATTGTCTACAGTAGGTAACCAGCTACTTCAGCTACTGTCCTTTTCGTGTTTAGAGGGTCATTCCCTGAGTTGCCTACTATACAGGTAACTGGATCCACTCGGCAAGGATACTTTGAGGGCCCAGGCAGGTGTACTTGTGTCATTCTCAACGATCCTTCTTGTCAACAATTCAAGATCTCAAGTAAGTTGATCGTCGATTGGCAAAGCACGACAGGTTGAAGGGAAAGCAACAGAAAGCCAGCCAGCTTTCGGGCGGACCGATTCCTATCTTGAGAAACACCCACAAGGTAAGGTGCAAACTAAATCAGAATGGGGTTTTCGGTACCGCAAAGCCAAACCATGTCACGACCGCCGGAGAAGAATAATGTTAGTGATTGCTCAGCCCTGCTAACAACTTGGCTTGATTAATCCAGGGTCCCGAGTGGGGTGGGCAAAAACGTCAAATGGTCCAAACACGAAATGGAGCTCAGGAAAGGAGTACAATGAGTAATGTTGACCCCATGTTCTGTCAACCCCGGTTTATTAAGAGGGGGGTGCTTCTCCCTAGAGGCTTCATCACTTCTGGAGGGGAACCCCCCCCCCATAACAATAAATTGGGCTTGATTTACATTGACATGGGGACAACAATATGAAGCTATACCTCTAAACTCCATCCCAGGACCTCAAAAGGAATGCATCGCCAAGACTGGCTCCTTTGGGGGCCAAGGAGCACAGGGTATATCCGAGGTTCACTTATCCTACTTTGAGAGACATCCACATGGGTGATGGAGGCGTCTTTCTTTAGGGACTCTGCCAAACGGGCTTCGGGTTTCTTTTTTGTTTTCCTTTCAAGCCCACCCGAAAAAAAGGAACCAACTCAAAACAGACACGTACCTGCACCTTTTCAAGCGCACCTCGCTGATGTACTCGAAGTGCATGGTGCCGCCTTTGATCAGGCAGCCAATACCTTTCGATGCGAAGCGATATGGGTGCGTCTGTTTTTTGCATACCCCAAGTTTGGTAGGTTTCAAAGGAAACCAAAAGGGAAACAACACCATTTTCGGGGTACCCGAAAAATACCGAGACACACCCTCATGCGCAAAGCGCAGGCAAAAGGAATCGGGTCTTTGCAGCTCACCAAAAGCCGTATAAAACAAAAACAAAGAGGTAAGTCTTGCAACCATAATAACAGTTCCGACAGACAAAAAGGAGGACGCGTTTTTGTTCTTCTTCTTTCTGCTGTCTTCGTTTGGTTGGTTCCCTTGGTTTGAGACCCTGGGTTTGTTTCCAAGCGCCAGGCACGGCCCGGAGCGTAGAACTCTCAAGCCGAAGAAGAAGAACAGTTCCAAACAAGGTAATTGTTCAGATCCAAACCAACCTGGGCCGCACTGATGGGTAAGCTTGTTAATTATTTAAACAAGCTAATCCAACCTGTTTGTGTCGGAGTTTTTCAGATTTGGGCCGCCTTTTCAATTGGTGTTTTAGAATGGGGATTTGAAACCCTCGGTTCGTGTAGATGCATGAGACCCGCCCACAAACTTCCGAACCGGCAGTCCAAGCCAGCAACAGGCCAGCAGTCCCCAACCCGACATCGCCCGGAACAAAGGAAGGTCACTTCAGAAAACATGTGGCCATAGGTCAAAATCCAAATCGCACCGTGAACATCCCAATCCCCACTGGACTGAAATCGGTGGTGCACCCACCCCAAAGTGGTACCATCGGTTTGACCCACAGCCACGTGACAGCGGGGGCTCCTGGAGGAAGCTAATCCTTGCGAATGGAAAAAACGGAACCGATCTCCAAAAGCCTCCTATCTTGACACGACCCATGCAGGGCGCCAAGAGCCCTATGCTCACAGAGGAAAAATATTTCTAGGGACCTTTAGCCCAGGTATTTCCGGGGCAGGGATAACCTCCCGGGTGACTTTCATCAGAAGGGACCAGCTGACAGCTCCCCGATGTGCCCATCCTGTGAGGCGTGTGCTACAGGGTCCAAATTGGCATCTTATCTTCCAACAAAAAAGGCCCATCGCTGAGAAGGTAGCCAGGTTTCCCTCGCGGGGCATAGAACTTAATCTGTTCTTCTGTTGTTCCTTTCTGACCCCAGGTTTGAAGGTTGAAATCTGGGTATGGCCATGTTTGCAAGGGTTAGATGTTCGAAGGTGGCTCCAGGAAAGCACTACTGTGGACGGGCGAAATCCATTTCGCACCCAAGAAACCCTGGCTTCTGATGATTCCCCTGCAACTTACCAACCTATGGCTTCAACCATGGCTGCATTTCGTGGTGCGACTGGATTTCGCGTCACCATCCACTCTCTTCGGCTTCAGCCAGGTGAATTCTTCGACAGACTTCGCGCATCGACCTGGGGGAGGCGCAAATGAGGCCATCGAACTTGCCGGACTGCAGGAGGACCTCAGCTAGGAAGCCTACCCCCCAAAGGCGTCCAATCGGTTTCCCCGTAAAACCAAAGAAAAGGGGACCCTTTAAATAGAACCCGGAAAACCAGAGGGGCAAAGAGGGGCCGGCATAACAAGAAGAAACCTGGGAAACAAAGAGATGCAAATAAGTAAGGCTCTTCAGAGGCCTACAAGTTCGTTTGTGAGGGTACGCTTTCCAGGTCAATGTAGAGGGAAGCCCAGATACAATTTGCCATTGTTCTCTCATCTCTACTCTTGGTATGGTAGCAAAAAACACTTTGTTTTTTGCAGACCCCCAGTAAAAATGAACAGAACAAACAAACTAAAAAATCAAAAAACATCATGCCAAGAACAATGAAGCTCTTGTTGGGCTATTATGACACATATCCTGCCTCCAAGGCCACAAGTGCAAAATGGGGAACCTGGTTGTGGTTGATTTTTTTGCGGCAAATGAACAAAGAGCTCTGGACGTCTGGGAATGTTGGCGACCGGAATGCTACGGGTTCCAACAAATGGGTTGGAATGCTACACGAGAACATCCTTTGGTGCAAGCGATTGGAACTCCCCTGAAGGTCTAGCCTATGTCCAGGATTAGTTGAGGAAAGTTGTTTCCGAAAAGACTCAGCTTAAGGGGAATCGGTCACACCTTGGCGACCGAATGGTCATGTCAAATCCACAAATATGAGGTACTTGGATGGTCGGCCAAGTTAGTAGGTGCTTAGACACCTGCCCTAAGGGTCCAAGTACTCTATACTGAGGTACTTTCGTGAAAAAGCCGTGCTTCTGACACTCCTGGGCCCGAGTACGTGAATATTGCGGATTCTCATTTTGAAGCCGTTTGGGAACACAAACCCAGCGCAGACCACGCGATACGTTCATCGCTGGATGGCACACAGAAGCACTGCCTAAGGTAACATGTCATACATTCGCCTCTAAAGCGGGGTTTTGCGGGTCAAAAGCCTCGGGATGCTCAAAAATGCGCAAAGATCTTAATGCCTCAGTAGCGACAGACTACCTTCTGCATTCTTTCAAGCACAGGGACTGTTGCCGAATGTTGCACATGTCTTCACCATGTCCTGCAAGAACAGCGATCGTGGGGAAAGTGCTTGTTCTTGTCAAAAGTGCAGCACCGATTTGGCGTCGCAACATCCTTCAGTGCATCAGAATCACCCTGGCGGCATCGAAACAGCACTCGCGCATTAATTACGTTTCCCAGAACTGATGCCGCAATTTAACGCGATTTAACGCCCAGAAGCTGGCATTCACGGCTTTTAACGCAATTTAACGCAATTTAATGCAACTTTATCGCGTGATGTGTGGAAACTTCTTTCGCATGTCACAGCACTCACACATTCAACTAATGTACATTCTGAGGTTTAGTGCGATTTGACACAATTTAATCCGATCTAACTCCCACAAGCGTGTCGGCACGGCTTTGGGCGCAACTTGTTTCAATCGAACACGACTTTATCGCGTGATATTTTTCTTCAACAACCGCAGCCTAGACCGGGTGGGTTGATGTGCTAGAGAGCCCAACAGTCCTTCTTGAGCAACCCCATGCCCCCAAGACAAGCTGATCACCGAAGGTTATGATGCAACTATGCCGCGGTTGCAAATGAGGTGAAGCTGTCAGAGTAAAACACTCTTCCGCTAAGGGGATGGTTGAATTTTGGTGCAACACGGTGCAACATGTCATATTCACGGCTTTTCGCCCCGAAACCGCGCTCCTGACATGTTGAGCCAAAACACGCGAATATTACGGATTCCGTTAAGTACCTTGTAGTTACGGATTTGGACCCTCAGGGCTGGGCAATAACCCACAAATTACAAGAGTGCACTCCTCTTAGAACTCATAAATGGGCTACAACGTAGGTTCCCAACAACTTACTTGCTTGGCCGAACACCCAAGTACCTTCAGGGGCCCTTTGGACAAGACGACCTTTGCACCGGCTTCCGCAAAGCGGCCTGCGCTGCCTGCGGAATCTCGTAGGATCCTGCCTCGGGATGCAATGCTTCATGGGAAGCCCCGTGCATGGCTAAGAATCAAAGACTTCCCCCACCGACCGCCAGACCAAACCCCGAAGCGGACATATCTGACAGTTAAGCCTTATTTACCCCTTGTTTACTCTGATATTGGCTTATCCTTCAGGGGTATGTTCCTGGAGTTTGGTGCTATGGCTATAACCTTATTTCTAGGTTCGATGGTTTTCCCTTACCTACACTGGAAACGGGAAGCACTTTGGCTGGGTGTGCTCCTTTCCCTGACGGTCCCTTGCCTTCCCAGGATATACTTTATGTCAGGATAACCAATGGCAATGCCGTTCTGCCAGAAGGAAACCAATCTCAGACGACCCGAAGAGTCCCGTGCCCAAGACTGAGCTCTTCACACTTCCAATCCAGTGGACTGGCCAACACAAATCACCTGCGGCTTGCCACTCATATGGCCTTTCCGCAAAGAGGCGTTGACCAATGAACTCGGGGAGCGAGTCAAAATGAGGTGTTGATCAATCCGATTGTTCATCCCTATTGGGAAACCACGACGGGGAGCAATCCTTTCGCAAGCCAAGGTAAGGAGCAGAAGCGGGTTGCCGAACTGAACAGCCCAAAAGAACGACAACTACAGCAAGTTCTGCAGGACGCTGGCGAAAAAGACCAAAAGCATTTCAACTGCAGGATTTCTTGCTGGTTTGGTAGAAACCTTGGTTTAACCGTAACCCCAAAACAGACTCTCACCCTTGGCCGGAAACCAAAGCTACCGCTCAACGAAGGACTGAGCCAAAAGGAAACCAGTTTCTTCCATTTTCAAAAAAGCTGTCTCACTTCCTGAGTGGATTGGCCAAAATGGTCCAAAAACAGGTCCAAACTTCCTGGAGTCTCCATGAAAATGGGTCAATGACCCCAAAATTTTGGGGAATGACCCCATTTTTCAAGGGTCATGGAGACTCCAGGAAGTTGTTTGCCACTAAAATAGTCTTCCCAAAACGGTAGTGCCCAGGAAGCGAGCTGTTTGAGTGATTGAAATGGACAATGAAACCATAGATGGAATTACTGGGGTCACCCCTTCACCTCAATTTTTGCATTCTACAGGGGAAGATGGTCACACTTGTCAAATAGAAGCCTGCCACTGAAGGCTGCGCCCCTTTTTGGTCTACCTCTCTCAGGCTACCGCGACGTACTCCATGGTGATGTCGGTGACCTCAAGGCTTCGTCGAAGCTACTCCCCGCGCTTTTTTGTTTGGTCACGTACCCTTTGATTCAAATGGTTGCAAAATGGAGATCTATTAAGGAGCCCTGTGCCATTGCTCACTTTTACTCTGATCCTAGGTGTTGGGTGCTTCTTAGGCATTCCAGCAACTTCCAGTTAGCCGGCAACCAGGATGATCTAAGTGGGTATCTCAAAATAGGGGGCCACATGTTTGTGGTTGGTCTGTTGGTTTGCAGTTAAACAGCAACCCAACCAAAGGGGCTCCCTCCAAAAGACGACGACCCCATTACCCTCCCTCCCAAAGAGCAACTGCTAGTGGGCACCTGGAAGATAATTTTCCTCTTCAAGGGAACCCCCTGTCAGGTGCCATGTTAGGAGGGAGGGAGGGTAGGTTTTTATTCACCTAACTTCCATTTGATTAAGAATGGTGGAAAAATAACAATATTTCCACTAGTGATGAATCCCCTTTAACACCAACAAGGGAAAGTAAAACATATTCTTAAGCAAATGGAAGCTAAGGTACCTGAAAGCAGCTCAGGCGCGCGCGTTGCAGGACTTCAGGGCCTCCACAGCCCCAGCCACCAAGCTCTCCTCAGCTAGCACGCTGAGTTTTTCCCCCCCGAAATCGCGGGGTCTGTGGGGGAGGGGGGGAGGCAGGGTGGGAGTGAGGGTGGGAGGGAGGGTGGGTGGGAGGGTGGGCGGGAGGGAGGGGGGAGGGAGGGGGCCCACGTGAGCGCTAAATAAGCCGTAGTTGTTCCACCAAAATAAGTTCTACATGAGGATAAATAAGGCCTAAATAAGGCCTTATTTGGGTAGGCCCTATTTGGGCTCCCTGTCCCCCCTCCTCCCTCCCGCCGCTGTGACAGAAGGTGGTCCCTTACAGTTGGATGCTTTGTCATTCATGGTCCCCGATTGCCAATGGTCAACGGCAGCTCGCGCCAGAGCTAAAAACACGCAACTGCTAGTGTCTGAATGTTATCCCGAGGGGTTCTTGACCCGATGTCGATTGAAGTAATAGCGCAACCAAGGGGACCCAACTTAGATGCCAATCCTTAAGCAATGGTGGTGAAATATGCTCCCAACCATTGCTCTAGTGGTCGCAACTGAATCCCAGGGTTGTTGCATCTTCCTGCATGCTCAAAACAACCCGCTGCTCGTAACGACATGTCTGTGGGCCCGAGTGTGTATTGGGGGCTCGCACCCTGCTGGTTGGCTGGTTTGGATGTTGCGCACAACATCCGCAAAAGGCAAGCAATCCAAGACGAGAATCGGGAGATATAAATCCTGCTTGGTCAAAACCGCGTTTCCCTCTCCAAAAGAAAGCAACCATCCCCCCGATACAGAAGCATCCACCGCTTCAAAAGAAGGAGCCACACATATGTAGGACCCCCGCCCTTCAAAAGGGTATCACTAAACAGGCATCCTTACATTATACACCTGAACAGGAGCCCTGCTAAACAAGGGTTGACTGGTGCGCGCTGGATTGATAGGTGTCTTCTGAAAGTCTTGATGGTGCTGGTGCACCATTGGAACCAAACAGGAGCCAGAGAGACATCCCGACTAGGTGAAATCAAAGCGACCAAGGCTGTTTTTTTGCTTGGTACCCTTTGAGTTCATGGTCTTCGGTGAACCGGGGAAATATGTGGTCCTTCAAAGGTACCAATTACCAAGCGACCAACAAAAAGTTCATGGGCCAAACATTCAACAGTCTAAGGGTCCCTTGGTACTGAGATGGTACCGGTTGCAGAAGTGATTGCAGATTTGAGTTGCTGCATTGGACGAATTCCCGAAGAAGCAAACCCATATCAAATTCCTGAAGCACTTCAAGGAACTCTCTAGGGAGATTCCTCGTGGTTTCGTTGTTGTACCCGCCGGAGAGCATCAATCCCCCAACTTGCTTGGCTCACGATTCGAGAAACGCCACTCGAGCTAGGGGTTGCTCCTGGCGCAAGACATGTCTGTAGTAAAGTAAGGCACGCAAAACCACTATGATATTTGTGTTGGTCATCTTAAGGCTGCACTCTACCGCCACTTGACCACAAGTGAGTAGGCAGGCAATACAACATGTTCTGACTCTGATTCATATTTGCTCACCTAAACATATACATATACAGTTTTATGCAAAACCTTGGTATTGGAGGGCAGGGTCCTACCATATATATATATATATGTCTGTTTTGGAGTCCCCCAGCAACCAACCACTCTGGGCTTCCCTGCACAAACCACCGAGTTCCATCTCGCGCTCACAATCCCGATGCGAAGACCAGCCCCATCATAGGTGGGCAAGTCCTCGGAGGGCAAAAAAACACGAGACCGTTGAGCACGGCTACGTAGTGTGTGCGTCGTCGTATTTTGTGTTTGTGTTGGCTTCTACCCTTTTGGAGGTTGGTTCAAAGCGAAGCCAACTGGAACACATCTTTTTGCTTTGGGGGGATTTTATCTTAAGACACCACATGTCGTTGTGTATCAAAATAAGGGGGTGAAATAAAATGCGGGGGTCCATATAGTTTCCCGATAAACCAATCCTAACAGGGTGCCCTCGGAAACATAAAAAATAAAAAAGGACAAATAGCAACATACGCCCACATGTCGCTAACATGAAAGCTGGCCTTAGAAAGAGAGGTTGCTTCTAAACGGACCGTCAGTCAGGCGCGTAAATCTTTGCTTCGTGGGCAAACATTTTCCCGCAGAGTCACGGGTTGATCAAACCAAGCGATCAAGTCACAGTGCCCCAAGTGCCTCAAAATTGCAGATCTGAGGAACTTGGCAAACCCCAAACCATAGCTGGGCTGTCCTCAGATCCTTGCTAAAATTTATAACTTTTATAGGGGTTTAATGGAACCCCCCACTAAACTTTAGGCCTAAAAAGCTAAACAGCTAAGGGGATGGCTGGGAGCCACCAAGGCAAATATGGGGTACTTGTACCCTCTGAAATGTTGCTCATTCATTACAAGCAGGGAATTAGATAAGTTTGCGTGCAGTTCTCCCCCCTTTTGCTGGCGACGATGAATACACTCCTACAAATCTAACATGGAGGTGTGTTTTAAAGGAGTAGGGGAGTACCCTCCCCCAGACGATTCCATGGAAGCTCCCGAACAGACCCCGAAATGGAAGACTTGGTTCCTTTTCCAGAGGCCTTCTGGGAGCTTCCGGCTGTTAGTCTGAGGGAGTGTAGTTGGCTGCTGACATGAGATCAGGTTTACTCCAGAACCTGAGGCGTAACAGCAGACTCGAAATAAATCATTGGCACCTGTCTCCAGGGACTGCACCTATCCTATGTTGCAGGGCTTGACTCCACGTGAAGGTGGCAACTGAATGCCACCCAACCAAGATAGATGCCAGGCACAGTTGTTCAAACCTGCAAATGCCAAGTGTGCTGAACAAGTGCTCGTCCCCGTCTGAATCACGTAAACTGCCCGTGCTCTTTTCCACGAACACTACGTGATAAGTTGACAAGTGCGCAGCGTAGATCACTGGGATCAGCTTTGGGGGATCGGGTCCTTTAAAACGAAACGAGCAACGATGACCCTCACAAACATCTTACCCCTTAAAACTCCAAGCCCTGGGGAAGTCAATCTTTGACAGACATATAGCCCATGTTACCCAGAAAGTTGAACAGTTGTGTTTTTAAGAGGTAAGACATAGACCCATTGCTTCAGGCTTGCAAGGGGATACTCGCTTTCTGGGTGGAGCCATAGGAAGTGATCGAACTTTTGGTTTACGACCTGGAGTCTCCGAGTCGGACCCGAATGAAAAATGGTTGGTCATTGACCCATTTTTAAAGGGTCATGGAGACTCCAGGTAGAATGGTCCAAACCCAAAATTTCACTCTTCAGTCAATAAAAACTCAGGGAGCGAGTGAAAGGGAACAAAATTAAGCCACTCAAAAATGACTGCTCAGTCCGTAAAAATCAGGGAGCGAGTGAAAAGGGGAACCAGGAAACCCGCCATTTCAGCATTTCAGGGGCTTCGCCCTTGGAAACCGGGCCAAGTAGACGCCGAACCTTCCGAGACCAAGGACCGACTCGGGCGAGCAACTCGGGGCCCGGCCAAACCGCGGATCGTCTTGGCGCCGTCGGGGTTTGGAGCCTAAGACGACGGCAGGGAACCAGAATTCACCCCCCCAACCCCTCTCAATGGCAAAACAACCCCCCCAAAATATACATATACCAATATGAAAAAAAAAGACTGTCCCTCCAAAAACAACCACCAACAACAAATAAACAAGAACATGTCCGCCTCCCCCCTCCCCCAAAAACAACAATAATAATAGTAACAACAATAACAACAAAATGATATATATATATATAATATCTGTCTTCAGGTTAGGTTGTTGAATAAACATGCTTGCCAAACAAGACTTCCAGGTTAAGATCCAAGCCAAGAGAATAGAACAACCCGTGGTAGGTGAATGGGAGAAAACCCTTGAAGCCCTGCTTGAAGTTGACTAGAAAAACTCCCACAAACCGTCCAAATCCATGCACCTAGACATGCTTCAGTGGTTCGGCGTGGATTGCTCCAAACAGTTCGCGAGCAAAGGGTCAATCACCTTTTGTGTTGTCCTACTTGTTTGCTTGGGTGGGCCAAGGTCCGAGTCAAATCCACTGCGGGGTGACTCCAAATGCTTCCAGCACCTTGTGTCTTGTTTGATGGACAAGCCATGTGTATCCAAAGGTCCAAAACCGGCTGATTCGGTCACACCATTGACTCGTGGAAGCCCACCAAAGGACATGGACCCGTACCCTCCGGGGCTTGGCGGATATGGTTGGTTCACCTGCCTCAGTCCAAAGGACCGGAAAAATGAAGGCTAACCTTTTGGGGACATGAAAATGGACCAAAACTGGAGATGCAAAAGATCGAACGGTCGGATTTGGGCAACTGAGTTGCAAGATTTAAGGTGTCCACTGAAGTCCAAGGCGTCAAATCTTTGCTTCACCCTCAGCCACGTGTGACATGTAAAGTGCATTCCTCGTCCAACTCGGTTTCCACAGTCATCAGGTTTTGGCTCTGTGTCATTGGGCAATCTGGAGCTGCTGAAACAATATTCACAAGACACTCAAGGTGGTGTTGAACCAATCAAGTTGCTAAAGGCAAACAACAACGATATAATTTGCATTCATTTACCAGCACAAAAGAAACAACGCCAACAAACAAAAGTAGGAACAGTGGTCCAATTCTTGCAGCTCACTCTACCTGGAGCCTCCATGACCCTTTAAAAATGGGTCAATGACCCCCAAATTTTGGGTAAGGACCAACCATTCTTCAAGGGTCAGAAGGAGACTCCAGGTACCCCCAGCGGTTGGTTGGGCAGGCGAGCGTTCTCAATCTTCCGCTTCGTAGCCATAGCCTCGAGTAGCCAACTCGAGGCAACCGTGCGCAACGCTTGCCCCAGGGAGCAACTCGTGGCAAACGGGGTGACCCGGTTTTCTTCCATTTGGTTAAGAACCTGTTTGCTAACTTGGCCGACCCAGATACCCTTACAAAGATATTGCCCTCAAAACTATGGCTAAGTTCCATTTGTTAATTGTATTTTCTTCCATTTGGTTAAGAACCCTGGAAAAAATGAGAACATATGTCCAGCAGTGATAAATTCCTTTTACAACCAACAAGGGGGAAAAAAAAAGCTCAGGCGGTGTTTTCTTTAGTGCTCGCACGGAACCCTGGTTGAACCCTGGTTGAACCCTGGTGGAACCCTCGTGGAACCTTACCTCGGGGCCGCCCTGGACCACCCCGGAGCCTATCTGGGCTGAGACCCCAAAGCTTCCAGCTGTTGGGGAAAAAACAATCTTAAGCAAATGCAAGTTTTGAAAGTGACGAAAGCTTCGTGGAGAACTCCAAATCTTCAACTTTCCGTTGAGCTTGCCTATCCACCGTCAACCCCCAAATCAGGCGCCCGCCCTGAAAAACCGCACATGTTTGGAACAATGCCCCTTTTTCTGGGCATTTTGAGGGAAAGCCAAGTTTCTGCACATGTCTGGAGCAATGCCCCACTCTGGGTAGTTTAAGGCGTCCACCTACCAACTCAAAGCAGAACGGCACAGCACCCTCTCTGAGTGATCTCAGGAGCCGACGCTTTGGCACAGGAATGCGCGGAATGCTGAGCCGACAGGCATCAGGCCCATGCACTCTGCCGGTCCAAGTGCATGGTGACGTACCAAATGACCCCTGATTTCCCCCGGTGTCCCTTTCACACAAACTCAGCAGCAATACCTCAAAGTCTTTTGGGTTAAAAACAAAAAGAGAGTCAGGAGACATGTGCAGTAACTCCTTGTTTTCCGGCTCAGCACCGGTTTTGGAAGGCGGTGGTGATGCTGATTGCATCAAATACCTCGGCGCGCGGCTCTCCGCTCGACAGCCAGAGTACATCCGTCTCCAAATCAACGTCCTTTGTCGAGAATACCCTGCTTGGGGTTGCTTCGAAGGGAAACCAAAAGAAAGCTCAAGCTCATTTAAGCTGAGCTTTTGGGGCAAGGTAATGCTGGTGGCGTATCAGACGCCTACTCCGGCGCCTACGACACGTGCCAAAATACTTGCGAGACGGCCAACGCAAGATATCAGCCTTAAAACGCCTACGCGTGCGGTTGAAGTTTTGCTCTCAAAGTACCTACGCGGTTTGTGTTTCATGCTAAAGCTCGTACGCGGGCGCGCCTACGGGCAAACAGTCAAGTCGATCGCGCGGTGCCGATTGACGCGAGAAGCTCCCAAGTCGACTGTCAAAAACAGGTTACCCGCTCCTACGCGCATGCAGTATTATGGCAAGGCGGGGCCTGATAAGCCCGTCCAATGAACCATCGATCTGGTAGAAGTTCGACCCCATACCACGCCCATGCGATAAGCAATACGGGTGTTTTCAAGATTTTGAAAGGGTGCATTCTCTCAATTCTTCCTAAGTAGTTTGGTCAACAAAAGTCCAAACTTTGTGTTTTCCACTAAAGCGGCCTGCCAGAAAAGTAGGAAGTCCATAAACTCAGGGAGTAAGCTCTTCAGTCTGGGTTGAAGAGAAGCCAAAAGTAGCGCCATTTGCGGGGTCCAAATCCGTTTGACGCATACGTAGGTGCTCGATTCGCCAAGTTAGTAAGTGGAAAACGCCACCTGGGCTATTCTAGGCAACGGTTTGGATGCGTTGTTTGTGGCTATCACCTGTTCTTCCCCCTGTTGATTATTTTTAGTAATCTGTAGTACTCTTTTAATATCCTATGGAGGTGGATCCACAAGAGACACAACCAAGTCGTTTTCTAAAGCTATAACCAAGTAAACCAAGAAGAACTTCACTTCGGGGTACTTCTTGGCGCGGGCTGTAACTTAGGCTACCCAAAACTTACTAACTTGAAAGCAAACACCCAAGTAGTACTTAAAGCGGCATTGTACTTAATCCTGGCTACAACCCACAAAAGTCATGGTTATAAGTCTCCCAAGTGGCTGATAACCAGGCTTACTAACCACTTAAGTACAATGCCCCTTTAAGTAGCTCGGCGCGGTCGGCATCTGGGCTTGGGGCAGATGCTTCAGCTTGGCTAGCTCCTTGCTCCAGCGCGCACTCCCGAGCAAGGCTCCATTTTTGGACTAGCCAGGGTAGACTTAAATCCAGGGGTGCTTGGGTAATCCAAAGATAAACCCCTCCCCAAAAACATAAACTCGAAAGGATCAAGAGAAAAAAACAAATAACCATTTAGTTAAGTGGTCCAACATTCTGAAACCAACATCATATTGTCTGGACCCGGGCAGACGATCATTCTCGCTCGAACTCCCGGGGGTGGTTCCGTATCACTTGCCTCACTGGGAAGGCGCTTCTGTGTCACATGGAACTCACTTCCGATCGAGTGGATTGGCCAGAAATGTCAGAACTGGTTGTTTGTCACTAAAAAAGTCTTCCCAACAAGCCAAAAAGGAATTCCTACAAACGGTGGTTCCCCGGCCAAGCATTTCCTATAGAGCTTGGACAATGGAAGTTTGGGGTTTCCCACCATTTGTAAACGGTTGTTTCAGGTTCCAGGTCTACCCCAATACAGAAAGCTGTTTGAAAGACACCCCGGATCGTTTTGGTGGAAACTGAGTCTGGCTCAAAACCCAGCTTTGAGCAAATGTCTCCAAATAGCAGGGCTCGTTGTTGGGATTTTGTTCAGAGTCACCGCCAACTGGGCTTGTCTTCTCTTCGGGGACCCCCTATGGCACTCGTTAAGGCAAAAAGCATGGCTCGTGAACTACTACTTGGGTGTTTGTTGCCAAGTTAGTTGAGTTGTTATTCAGCTACGTTACAATCCGCTCACAACTGCCCAGAAGTGGTTGTTTTTTGTGGGTTGTTGCACAGGTGGCTAGCCACTTGCTAACTTGGCCAAGCATCCAAGCATCTTTGAGCCGGGTTGTGGGATCAAGGGGTTTTACCCCACTTCTGTGATACAAGGGAATCTCCCCCGTTATGTGGTGGGTTAGTCTTTGGGAAGCCCTTCTTGTTGTATCACAGAAGTGGTCATTTCCCACAGCCCTGTCTTTGAGTAAATTGCCCGCATTGTACCAGCGATTGAAACAGTCAAGACAACTTCTTCACTTGAGACAGGTCTCTGGAAGGCATCGCGGAAGAGGTTGAACAATCAACCCCCTGCATTGTCCTCCCTTGCCACGAGCTGGACATAAAAGGTTTGCCAGTTGGGACCTTGACGGAAAACCAGAAGGTCAACAAGGTTGGCAAGTGAGTCTCAGGTACATTAGTAGAAAGACATCTCTTGCAAGCCTCTTTTGCCTGCCCCCAGAGACAGAATTGTATCCTTGCAAGATGTGCTTTGCATGCAAGTGAAATAAAGACAAGGATGGTCAGGCGCTCACAAATGGATGCGAAAGCACATTCTGACACACGTTCACACACACACACACGCACGCACACGTTGGCAATCAACATATAACAAATTCCCCCTCAAGGAAGGAACTATTGTCATGAGTGACCCCCTTTTTTCCGCCCAGTTGAGCTTGTAGTATGTGCAGACTAACACCCTGGCCCAACACGAAACCAAGGTTGAAAGTTGCATGGAAGAAATAACCCTTGTTCTAGTCTTGGAAGTGGACGTTCGGGCTTTGCAGGATGGTAGTTTTTAACACCCTCCAATCGTCGACTTCTACCATTGTTGGAAGGAAGGCAAGATGCATTCTATTCGCTCACCAATTATTTCTAGTCAGTTTGGTATGAAATTGCTCCACAAGCCCAGCCAAGCAATGTACCTGGAGTTTCCACAACCCTTACAACATGGCCTCGGGGAATGTATAGTCTGTAAGCCCAGTATCGAAGGGTCATGCAGACCCCAAAAGCCCAGTCTAACGATGCAGGTTGTAGCAACGCTCCATCGCTCGCCCACAGTGTCCTCTGCTGCTCGCTGCAGCAAGGCATGGTCGCAACTGCCTGAGGCCAGAAGCCCCAAATCCCGTTAAAACCAACAGGTGAAGTGGAACATATCCTTCAGCTAATGGTAGCAAAGAAATCTGGGGCAAGTAAGCATGTGACTGCGATGCCCAAAAGACCTAGAATCAGCCCAGAGTTAGGCCCTCCGAAACAAAATGAAAGGAACAACGATGGAACGCCAAAACGGGCGTGTCGCTGGTAGGCGAGCCAGAAGCAACTCTTGCTACTCTTGGAGTTGACCTGGGCCAAGTTAGCAAGTGGCTAGCCACCTGGGTTATCACCTAAGCAATAACAAGGTTGACTCCACTTAGGGGCAGTTGTGAGCGGATTATAACTTAGGTTTCTAGCTTGGCCGACCACCCAAGCAGGGGAATGTGAAATGGATGAGCTCATAAGACCGCTGAATCGGTAGGCGTGCTGATTTGCTTGGCCCAGACAAGATGCCCTGAGTCCCTTGATATACTCGAGGGCAAAAAGGGGTCCAAGTACATCCTCACCAAGTACTTGGACCGTCTCCTCAAAATTACTGCCATATATATATATGATATATATATATATATATATTCATGTATGGGTGCTTCAACTATTCTCAATTAGTTCGACCCTTACATACATGAGTTTGACTGCCCTGCGAGTGACCTGCGGGTCGATCGCCGATCGCACGCCTACGTCCGCCGAAAGCCAGCGCGTTAGCCTCAGCTCGGAAGCATCCAACCGGAAGGGCTCTACTGCTCCACTGGAACGTGTTTGCAGGTTTGAAGGGCGTGGATGGCTCTTGATTTCTTGAATGGTCGATCACATTTGTGCTTTGTTTGATGGATCCATTTGTTCCCAGATCTAAGGTCTTGCGAGCCCAACAAAAGGGTCCCAAGTACATCCTCAGGTGAAAAACGGGACCCTGCAGCCTCGATGACGATTACAAGTTCAGTGCACGCCATGGGGTTTGGACTCTCCGTCATGGGGGCTGCGGGGGAGGGAGAGTCTGAGAGGGCGGAGGGAGCCCAAATAAGCCAATAAGGCCTTCATTAGGTCTTATCCAAGGCTTATCTGGTCTCCCTCCCCCCCTCTCCCCCGCAAAACCCCATGACTCCGGCACCGAACGACCCCCCCAAGTGCCACTCCAGTCAATGAAGGGCTCCGGGCGCTTCGATGCGGCGGTCGGCTTGGTGCACTTCCTGAAGCCCGCGCACGGCTGGAAGCGGTGCTGGGGATGCAGAGTAAGAGACCTGGATTCCTTTGACTCACTTCCTGAGTTAACCTCAATACAGACTGAACTTTTGTTTGCCAGTTTACCACTAAAATGGTCCTCCCAAAAAGTTTAAAGTCCATGAACTCAGGAAGTGAGTGGAGCATGGTTCTGGAAGGGTGAGGGGTCAAAGTACAACCTCAAAAGGTACTCGGACCCTCAGAATCATGGGAATTGGAGAGAAACCTGTGCAAGGGATGCAGCAAATACCCAGCCCCCTGTGGGGTTCGTTATTTTTATTCAGCCATTCTAGAATGCATCTATTGCTGTTCTCCTCACAGACTCACACTTTCCGCTCGATGAGTGTCCCTTGATTTAGTCTGCTAATTGCCCCACTGCGAGACCTCGCCGTCACAGGCTTCAGCCATTCGCTCAAGTGGGTTGGTGTGTTTTTTTCTGGGGCAATTGCTAACCTTGTCAGAATCCACTCAGTTGTGGGAAGCTCCTGTTGCGACTTGATATCATCCGGAATTGCGCCGATCGCCTGCAGGAATTGAGCGAGCCTGCTCTAAGTAGACCCCTACTGTGGATGGACGAAATCCTGCACCAGATTGAAACCATGGGAAACCATTGTTGGTTGGTATTTACAGGGGAATCATCATTCCAGGGTTTCTTAGGTGGTGCAGGATTTCGTTCATCCACAGTATCAACCAGAACTCCCAGTTCTTTGGGTCGTTTGATGCTTCTTCCCTTTTTCAGTGATATCCATGCTTCGCTTTGGGGGCTTGTGGTTTTGGCTTGATTTTCTCAGACCCTTAAAGCACTCTAACATGTCGGGACACCTGGGGTGATTTGTCCTATCCGTTAAGGCTAGTTTCGGGAAATGTTGGTCTCTCTTCCCCTCTGAGCAACGGGTGGGTCACCGGATTTCCCTAAATCAAGAGTTGATTGATGTACTGGCTTACCCCTTAAAACTCCAAGCCCTGGGAAAGTTAATCTTTTGCAGACATATAGCCCATGTTTCCCAGAAAGTTGAAAAGTTGTGTTTTTAAGAGGTAAGCTGGCGGTGTTCGTTGAAACGATCGATCCACTTTCGGCTCGGAAACCCTGAAAGGTCGCGGGTCCGGTTCCGGTCTTCCGTCACATTCCCGATTCCGAGACCGGCCAGGGAAGGACTGCGCTTCAAGAAATAGCGCGATTGGCTCCATTGGGGTGATTATCTTTTTCTTTGTGGGATGCCTTTTGGATGGAAATCAGGATTATGGAGGAATCGGCTCATTTGAAAGGAAAGCCAAGGAAAATCACAAGGCACTGAAGCACAAAAGCACCGGAAGGAATAGGGATGGTGAATCTAAGTAGAGCCTATCCTTTTAGGGTGCCCGTCCGGATTCTCACAATAACTCCCATTGCCTGTATGCATTGTGGAACATGTGACCAAGGGGGCCCTTGAAAAACTAAAGGGACGATGGTCTAACTCACATCTGATCGAATGGATTGGCCAGAACAAATCTGAAGTTTTGTTCGCCACCAACAAGTATGAAGTCCATGAACTCTGGCATCCAAGTTGCAATCCCGAGTTGGCGCACGCGCTCCGCCTGGGTCCGCACGTGCCTAAACCGCATGAGACACGTAGCTGGCGTCTGTCAAGATACGTGCGCGTCATTTTGAAGTTGTCGCAACGGAATCTCAAAGGAAGCCACCCACTTTGGGGTTCCCCTATTTTGAGAACAAACAACATACAAAATTCAACGCACACGGAAATGATTCGGCTTGAGAAGCAAGTCCACTGAAAGGGAAACACGGAGAACAGAGCGAGAGGCCGCCAAAGGCCCCGACGGCCCGTGACTTCCAGGTACAAACACATGTTCAGATTGTGGTTCATGCGTGGATGTTCGGCCAAGTTAGTAAGTGGTTAGCCACTGGGGTATAACTGTATAACCCACTAACAAGATTAACTTTATCTATGCGGACCTATAAGCAAGCGCTGTCTTAGGCCACAAAACAACTTACCAACTTCGCCGATCACCCAAGTATTTAGTCTGCCATAAAATGTAAGATAATTTGGAAGGAGACCCAAGTGAGATTGTAAGGAAGTTCTGAACCTATCCGCCTGCTAATCCGGGCTTATGACCCTGTGTTAAACGAAGGACATATGCTCTGAGACGCCAGTCTCCTTGAGTCCAAGTGGGGTCCAGACAACAAACAGGGTTACAACCCACACAAATAACAAGGGCAACTCCACTTAGGGGGGGACTTATAAGCAGGTTGTAGTACGGTTGTAGCTTAGGATATTGAAAACTTATGAGCTTGGCAACACCCAAGTAGCTGTTTATGGGTCGGAGGGAAACCATAGGAATTGAACAATACCAAAGGGAAGCGACACCAACCGGGAAACAAAAGACCAACTCTCTATCCGGGGTTGAACATTTGAAAGGATGGGAGCACGCCCGGCCCATGCTTGTCGGGGAAAAGAAAAAACGTTGGGCGCACAGGGTGCGGTGGAAAATGGCATGCTTGCCTGCCAGCCATGAGTTTAGTCACATGCAACCTACGGGGGCCCCAAAAGGCTAAGGCGCAGCCGTAAAGGTTCCTCGCTAAATTTCATGGCCAATGTTCCCAAGGTTCTCTTCATTACCTGATAATGCTCTCCAAAATGTGAATTCCGAAAGTAAACATAACTTCCATGCCTTGTTACACAACATCACAGGTAACCGTGGATATTGATCATTGCACCTATGGGTTCGTCTTTAAAGGAGTGGTCTCTGTTTGGGTTTCCGCTAACACCGCCCGAAATATTGTAGCCTCAGATGCCTGAATGGCCACAGAACAATCCCCCGGGATTCAAATCACCATCAAAACAATGGTTGGGTTAATTTGCCCACCATTGGATAAGGAATGCATCATCTAAATTTGGTCCTTGCCATTCTGTTAGTGGGGGTTGAACCCTAGGGCGCTTGACAAGGGGGCCCGTTTTGGATGGCTTTAAAGGGAAAACCAGAGCAAACCCCAGGCGGCCAAACATATCATATATCATATGAGTTGTCTAAAACTTTGTAACAGCCCAGATGCTCCCGATTAAATTAGAATCCTCAAACAGCCAGGTTTTGAGACCCCCACACACTTCCGGGGTGTCGAATGCAGGTGTCTGGGTCCATCAAACCCCCCTGGAGCCTCTGGGCAAGGCAATTCGCACAGTACAGATTCCTCTTGCCCTTCCCCACGAGCAGAAGGTCTAACCTTGTCCAGGATTAATTAAGGAAACTTGTTTCCCAAAAAAACTAAGGGGGGATTCGGTCACACCAACGACCGAATCGCCATGTCAAATCCGCAAATATCAGGTACTTGGAAGGTCGGCCAAATTCGTAGGTGGACGCATGGGTTATAAGCCTCGCATTACAAGGTGAACTCCTCTTGGGGAACATATATACTCGGGTTACAACCTAGGTTCCCAACAACTTACTAATTTTGCCAATGGAACACCCAAGTCTAAGTACCTTAAGGGACCTTTTGGACAAGACGACCTTTGGACCGCCTTCCACAAACCGGCATCTCGTTACGTTTGAACATAACTCGGTTGCCTTCTGCTCCCCTGCTCAAAGTGACTAACTTGTAGTGGTTTAGTTCGGAACACCCGTTCATTAGTTGGCAAAAAGTGATTCAGTCCTAACATCCCCTGGCAAAATGCACCAAAAGCTTAAATAAGGCACTTTCAATATGGTCTCCAAATGGCCTTCATGACTCATCATAGGCTCATGTTACCTACGCAAAGATCACTTGTTTGACAGCAACCCCTACGTTTCGGCACAGAACCCGTTACTCGCTGCAACGGGAGTCCCGTGGCCGGGCGCTGGAAACACATTCGCACGGCTTAGGGAGCAAACAAGCAAACCGACAAATATGCAAACACACAAACAAATAAACGAGAAACAAACAAACAAACAACCAAAAACTATATGTATATATATATAGACAATAAAAAAAGAACAAGCAACGAAATAAAGAATGAACAAAGCAAAGAAGGAAACAAAGAAGGAAAGCAAGCACAGAAGAAATAAATAATCAAAGGAATGAATATACTGTAAGAAAGCAAATGCAACACGTGCCATACTAGACAGGCATGAACCTAAAGGAAGCAAACACATATGCAAGCAAGCAAGCACACAACCAAACAAACAGAAGCATTAAAAACAACACAACAACCTGCAATCGAACGAACTAGGAAACAAACAAACAAGCAAATAAATAACTAAATACATAAGCAAATAAGCCAAGAGCCAAACATAAGCAAACGAAACACAGCAAACAAACAACCAAACAAACACACCAGAAACCAACCAAGCAACCAAACAAACATAACCGGAACAAACAACACAAGTAGAGAAATTAAAAAAAAAGGGAAACAAAAGCGAAAAAAAGAAAAGAAAAAAAACAACACAAAACAAAGGCCCAAAGACGTGAGGCCCGGGCTGCCGACTCGGAGTAGTAGCTCAGGCCTAAGTCAGATCTAAGAATCACTGGGCACTGCTTGGCATCAGCTTGGGGAAATCACAGCTTGTTCCCAACGAGAGGAAGTGGACCACCGGCTGCTGCTTGGCACCATCATCATGTTCGCAAAGAGAACCCCAAAGAAAGGAAGACCAACTACTGTGGAGGGACCAAGTGATAAAGAGTGGAAGTGAACCAACTAATATGGAAGGTCACTGTGTTGAAATTCGGTTGTCCAAGGTTCCAACCCTTCTTGGAAGGGTACCAAGACGGAAGGAATCATCCATATGGAACATCAGAATCTGCACCATTTGATGAAGGCAAGGCCAACTACCGGAGGAACCCGAGTTGATAGATCGCGGAAACTGTAAGAGTGCTTCCACAGGGGTGACCGCCGCAGTTTGGAGGTGACAACCCTTGACCCACCCTAAACCTATCCCGGGACTCTGTGACCCATCTCTGCGCAACCAACATACCACCCAACAAACAAACAAGCAGCAAACAAGCAAGCAAGCAAACGAACGAACAAACAAGCAAACAAACAAAAAACAAACAAACCACATGCACGCGCAGCGACCTTTTTCACCGCAATAAGATCTCACTCCTTTCGCTTCGAGTTCAAGGTCATGCTCAGCCAGCCGGCGATGAAGAGCAGACCTCAGCCGACCGAAGCGCGAAGTCCCATTCAGTTCACGCACTACGTCGCAATCAGAACGGGTCCGGTCTCTACTTAAAGGGGCGATCGATTCGGTACTTAGGTGGTTAGTAAGCCTGGTAAAAAGCCCACTGAGAGACTTAGAACCATGGCTTTCGTGGGCTATACCCATGCTTGTAACCCACTGAACGGAGACTTGTAACAAAAAAGCCCTACGAGCAAGGGATAGAAACGGGGTGACCTGCCCTACCAACTCCAATGAGCATGATAGACTAAGGCACATGAGGGCCACGGTCAAAATAGATAGGGTTCCCATGCTGGTCATTGAGGCTGGGCCCGATGTTTTTTTTTTTTTTTTTCCGTGTGTGTCCCTCCCGAATTGAACATGAAGTTCTCGATACTTATTCTGAGTGTGCTACATTATATACACTGCGGTGGCTTGACATGGAACCCGCCACACGATTCAGCTTCGAGGCATATTTTCTTGTACCCCCTTTTCGAGTGCGTTGCGCCGAAACCTATACCCATCAAAGTGAAGCCCCCTTACGGGCCACGCAAAACGGATACCTCGATTTTGTGCACGCTGGGAGAGGATGTGCAAACTACTTGGATGTTCAACCAACTTGGGAAGCAGGTTATAACCATGTTTCTTTCAGGGGACCAGCCGCAGTTACCAGTAGCCATGGATATTGCGTACTTACGTTGGTTGAACAAGTATGGGTAGAGGGTGGACTGGCTTTAACTAGAACCCCAAGGAAAACCGCCCGACACTTTCATCCATTTGCGGACCAACTTGCCAAAAACCCCTTTTTTTTCCAAACCGCCCAACCCAAACACCCCCCCCCCCCCCGGAAGTCCGAAAATCCGACTTGCCGACTCCGACCGATGCGAAGCCGACCCCTCACTTCCGCTCGCTCGCTGCGCCTCCGATGGGGGTGATGGGCCCCAGCAGCTTCCTCAAACCGTGGCCCTTGGGCAGCAGTACCAGGCCGTAGATGGAGCCGCTAAAGAAGACGCAGCCTACGATCGCCACGTCATCAGGGTTGGATATAAAGAGGACCAACCTGGTAGTCAAGGTAGGTTTTTTGACCATAGGGGGATAGAAACCATAAGGGGAGCAAGCTGTTAATGTTGAGCCAGGATTTATGTTGGCCCGTCCCAGTATTAGGGAGGTGTCCCCTCCAAGAGTGGTCTGAATCCAACCACTAAAAGGGGACACCCCCCTATTAATCAACCCGGGGTTTATTAATTCGGGGTTAACATTACCCTAGTCAAGGTAGGTTGTAACCATGGGGGGACAAGGAGTATACCTTTCTTGAGCGATCCTTGAACCTACGATCTTCGTTGCCGCGTCAGGTAGGGGGCTTCAACCAACCAGTTGCCTTTCTCAATTCCCACGGCTGTAACCTACCTACCTGGTTATAACCATGCGTCGATTGGTTACCCTTAGGGAAGTAGTACCCATGGTCCCGTGGTTGTAACCGACCTGACGATGGTTGTAACATATTTGGATGCTCTTGAGTGCCCCTTACTTGAAACAAAGGGAAGCCACCCATTTTTGAAGGGTTCCAGAAGTAGAGAGGGACACACTTTCAACTTTCCAGAGACCAAATGAATCAAACAGGGGTTTACTTGGGTCTCTGTTGTGGCTGTCAGGTAAGTAGGTTAGATCTATAGCTATAACGGGACCAACCAACCAGTTGCCCTAGTCATAACCAGGATTGTAACCTATACTTTACGTTGGTTGAACATCCAGGTATCAGCTGAAAGTAGCTGACCCCTAAAATTTCGGAGGACAGGCCATTAAGCAATGGTTGGTTTATACCGCTCATCTTTTTTGAGACCTGGTACTGGGTACCCTTGTTTGGTGGATTGAAAGAACAACTACAAGGAAAACAGCCATTTTGGGGGCCCCCTAAAAAAAGACACACCCCTATGAACCCCATTGTTTAAGGATTGTCATCTAAATCCAAGCTTAAACAAGTAAGCTCCCGGACACAATGGACCCTCTTTTTGACTTTGACCCATAAACAAGTGGTACAAAGGCAAAAAGGAATCGGTCCGTAAGGGCTGATTCTGGCAATCCACCCCTACTTTGGTTTGCCTTTTTCGCGGGGGGGGGAGTGAAACACCCGACCGGTAAGTTGGACTCACTGCTTTGTGGGGATGCTCCTCTTTTTGTTTCTTCGGATCCATTCATGCGACATTCTCTCAATTGGGTATGGCTCAAAGAACCGGTACCAAAATGGAACTCTGGTAAGTGGAAACATGCACCAAAACCTGCGTAACCCTAGCTCTTTACTTTTGAGCCACTGCCAATTCTCTAAACTGTGGGTCTGCAGGAAATTCAATTCACTGGGTCGCAAATGTACTTGTTAGAACCCCTGAGCATGCATGCGTGTGTTTGTGCGTGTGTTTCTCAGGGACAGACACCAGTTTTATACCAAGGGAAACGACAGAAAAACGACATTTCGAAGCTCCGAATCCCTCACCCGAAACTTACCCCGGGGGGATTTCGCCTAGGGAGAAGAGCTTTGGAGCGGGGCCCTTCACCAGGAAGGAGGACACGGCCACCATGACGGCATGCAGCCTAGGGTCCAAGCCAAAACGTCCTCTTGGAGTCTCACGTCCGTGGATTGGACATCCAGAAAAGTCACCGGTTTCTTTGTTTTCGACTAAAACGGTTTTCCCGAAAGCTGGCTGATTGGAAAAGTCTCCCAACTTTTTGGTTTCCACTAAAATGGTTCAGACCCCCAAAAGTAACTACAGTTCCGGGACTCACGCAGAGTGAACAAAACCACGGGTCCCATATAGAACTTGTCCTACACTGGAAGCAGCTGGTCCGAGTTAAGGCGAACGTGATGAGCTGCTGTAACCAGTTGGCCCAAGCCACTCGGAACGAAAAAGGAAATGATGCCCAGAGCTTCCAGTTACCTCCAGGTGCGGAACCAGCTTGGTTACCTGCCATGTTGGTAACTGACCGCTGGTTCCAGGAACCACAAAAAATGAGCCCGAAACCGTGAAACCGGAACCGTGAACAAGAGGCCCGGAACCGTGAAAAGGAGGCCCGGAGCCGTGAAATAGAGGCCCGGACCGTTGGACAGGAATCTGGTTCGACCACTTTTTTTGGGACCAAGCCTGGTTCCCAAAAAAGCAGTCGCCAACGGCCAGTTACTAGCTATGCAGGTTACTAGGAGTCGCTGGGATGGGTTTGTCTTAAAATACGGGAACCCCAACAATGAAACACCAAAGCCGCGAAAAAGTAAGATGGACCATGACAAACCAGCAGAAAACCCAACCAACTTTGGGGTTTCTCGAGTATATAGGCTTGTTGGTCCCTGAGCACCTGGTGCCTTTGGCTCGGAGAACGTGAGTTGATAGACGAAGAGGCTGCATTCTGCCACCACTTATTTGGTCATGTGGGTCGGCAGTTTGGAGGTGTTCCGGGCTGGTTTCAAATCCCCAAACCACCAATCCAAAATCCAAGCTTACTTGATACATGGGTGTTCTTTGTGTACCATTCAATTCCCTTCTGACATCATTTCACGAAACCAAATGCGCGCAGGGATGATAGGCCTTTTGCGAATGTGGCATCTGTGCCATGGTCAACTGCGAAGCCGCAGAAACGGCAACGATTTCTGAAACTGAACAACAGGTAAAGCCCTACTGCTAACCTCGGTTGCTTTCTGCTCCCCTGCTAAAAGTTTAACTGTTAGTGATTCATTGGAAAACCCATTAGTTGGCAAAAAGTTGTTAAAGTCCAAACATCCCAGCAAAATGCACCAAAGTAACCGATGTGAGGCGCATCTCACAGTTGGCCTCAATAGAACTCCTGGCCCCTGAGGCTTGCGGATCGGTTTTGGAACAACGCCAGATCAGCACCTCGTTGAACCATGACACACAACCTACTTACTCATGATCGTTCAAATCCGAGGGAAATATGAAACCTTATGTTGAGGGTGAACAGGATCACCGATCTGAGGCGCATCTGATAGCCCCTGATTCCTCTTCTGCTGCTTGACACAGCCTGATCTTCCTTTATTTTGAGGGTCTTTTACCCGCTGAAAGCGACATCAGCAGGTGATCTGAGCCACCTCGTTGGCCTTGGACATCCTACTTTCCCTAGGGAAGATGAAGAATACACCCCTCCCAGTGCGTCCAGTTGCCGCTATAGGGTAACCAGGGGGAACCAGCATGTAAAACCTAGAGGTAAGGATCCCTGGTTGCCTGCTATAAGGACAACTGGTGGCGGAGCAAGCCAGCAGGGGTACCATAGCGCATCCAGTTTTGGGTCATCCTAAAAACACAAATCCACATGGGCTAAATCATACCAGTAGTGCTATTTCCAGTAGTGTTAGATTCCATTCAATCCAAAAAAAGGAAAAAAAACAAAAACAAACGTTGCTGTTGACCCCCGTGCCGAAAAAAACACACACTTTTTTGGGGCTGCGCTTTTACCCCTTGATTTCAACCAAAAAGTGACGACGTCCAAAGATCCAACCCAATAGCAGTCAAGCATGGCGATTCCCCCAAAAAAACAATTCCACTCCACACCGATTTTTTTGCCACCCACCGTCCCAGCCCGTCGTGGCGCATCTGATAGTTGGCCGCCGTCTTCCAGCTCTCCAACAGCTGTGGGTCGCTGGTGTAGTTCTTCAGCCCGTGCGCTCCGAAGGCGCCCATGGCCACGCCCAGCGCGCCCAGCACACCACTCATCGCCTGAGATGTGTTGTGGCTTTGGCCTAGGGGGCCTACGCGTCCGTGTGCGGTTTTCTTGTTGGTGTATTTCGGGTGTTCCCCTTTTTTTAACAGGATCTCCACTAAAAACAGTGTGTTGTAGCATTTTTCAATATTGATGCATGTTGAAATCACATCCCCAGCAACACCCGGTCTCTTTTTTTAAGGACCTCCCCAAAAAAAGAAGAAGGGTGATTTCCTTTGAAACCACCAAAAAAGGTCAAGGGGCGATTGAGGCGATCGGATACGTCAGGTAAGTGGTGCGAGTAAGCCTGGTGAGAGAACCCACTGAACAGAACATTGCAACCATGGCTTTTGTGGGTTGCCATGGTTATTACCAACTTATTAAGTACCCGATGACCCCTTTAAGCATTGCGTTGTGCAGCCCCGTTGTTTGTTTATTTAGGGTGTGTATTTGTTTGCTAGGGGACTCCCCCAAAAAAAGAAGAAGCTACTTTCCTTTTGGGCTTCCTTTCATACCACCAAAACAGAGGGTACCCTCAAGACAGACCCTTGTCAAACAAAACCAAAAGCCAATGGTTTCTATGAACACCCGACACATGATAACATGTGTGTTGATAGCGAAGCGCAAAAAACGCACAGCGGAACAAAGCCAGTTCATCGGGCCTACCTGGATGTTCGGTACCCCATAAGAAACCGGCTTTGGGCTTGGTTCTTTCGGGAATTTGTCGAGCACAGATTCAGCTCAAATGCGAAAATATGAAGTACCAAGGGACCCTTTGGGCCCTTTGGGTAAGTCTCATGGAACCTAACTGGGGATGCCGCCCTTCTTGTCGGTCTCAATCGAGTTGCCAGCTTGGCGGTTAGGGGCCAATCCAAACCACCTTTTAAGGGTCGCTTGAGATGAGGAAACCCCACAAACATTGCCCCCTGCCCCAAAAGCTTAACTCTTTGCAGGTTAGTGGCATGAGTATCAAAAAAACATGTTAAACTTCCAACCAAATGGCATTCAAGCATCATGGGACCGAGTCTCAATCAAAAACCCGTTGTAAGGTCGCCATGATTCGCCATAATTTGCTCAGAACACTCAATCCAATTGACCAACGAAGGCCGACCGCCCCTCGAACGTGGTTGTGGATAATGTAGCTTTCTCTGATACCGAATGAGACTCTGTGACACCGAGGCTCCCATCTCAATGACACATATTTGACTAAATTCAAGTAGCTCCCCTCGCTCACTGATGGAAGGGTGCAACCTAAAATGCAGTCAGGGTATGTGTCAAAATAAGGACTTCAAGAACAATGGTTTTGCTCGTGGCTTTCCTTTAGACCAAACTGGAAAGGGTTTCCTCCAAAAATGCACACCCGTTTCAGACTCTTCACCCCACCACAGTTTCCCGCCGAGGAGCCGTCCAATCCATCGCGGCGCTTTTGTCCGCTCAATAATTCCAATCACTTCCGGCTGCGGGAAACGCTTGTCTCAAAAAGGTGGGCCCAAAAGAATATCTGTGCGTTTCCCGTGACCACAGCCCCGAAAACAGATCAACATAATCCATAATGAGCCCAAGTGAGTGCCTGAAGCTGCCCCAAACCACCCCAGAGCCTATCTGGGAAAAGACCCACCCATGTCCGCAGGAGCCCAAGGGCTCTCTCGTGAATTTTACAAGAAGCCCTCCCTTAGCCCCCAGCCAGGCATCTTCTAAGCTTCAAATCTGGCGTCTGAACGACTTTCTGGTGGGCCAAGACAAAGCCTCTTCCATGGGCTTGTCTACAAGGGAAACCCACGGCTGGCGGCTTTCCCCTTGCTGTCCGTTTACACAAAGAATACAAACCCCAAAGCGTACCCGCGAAAAAGATACACACTAGACATTTTCGCCGACTGCTTGCGGGGATGGATCACAGCTCCTGGCCCTTTGAAGGTTTACTGTTTTTAAAAATCCAATCGGGTTGCTCCCCTCGCCCCCCCGAGCAAGCAACAGGTCAAAGCTTCTGTAGGTTTAATCGAAGCGCCGTTTGCTTCCTGGGATGTTCCCAGATGCTCTGCTAGTTGTTTAACGTTTAGTGGTTACCACTAAACCCCAACTAAACACCTAAGGTGATGGCTGGGAACCACTCAGAAGGGGATAGGGTCACCCAAGACCAGCCATGAACAGAACTCAAAGTACATCATCACAAGGTTCTTACACTCCTAGGGAGAGACTTGAAGAGTGTTAAACCTCGCGCCCACACACATACACACGCTGGAAGGTTTGGGTCACAACTATTCAAACACAAAATCTGCGCTTGGGCTTCCAAAACATGCTTCGCATGTTGGCTCCGTTTCATTTGGAAGTTGGTTCGGGCTTCTCCATTAATGACATGTTCACATTCCGTTTCATTCTTAGTCTACTACTACATCGATCCGCTAAAAAGGGGCCTATCATTCTGCCATGATGGCTCCCTTTTCTCTCTTAGGGTTGTCATCTGAGTATGAGAACTCACCAAGCCCGAAAACCCAAGTCTTGTCCAGTCCTCCCCGCAAAAGGACAATTTTATACAATTTTGAACTTGAGATCTCCACATGTCACCCCCTCTCCCAATTACCATGTTTAAGGGGCTCGGGATATTTTCCACTGCCTTCTGCTCAGCTGCCCCTTCGAAGGAAACCAAATCTAGGCCCTCCAGTAGAGAGGTATAGAATAAGGGCACCCTTTTTTCTGTAGTTTTTTTTAGTAAGGGAACCCTGCCCCCAAAAACGTTGGTAAAAGGACACCTAGGGGGACCTAGTCCATCTTTTTTGGGGTTTTGGGGGGTTCCTATGGCCTTCCCGTCCATGGTTGACATAAGGGGAGCCAAACAAGGGGGAGAGAAAGGGCACCTAGCTGGGGGACCTAGACATCCCAAGGCCCCTGCCATTCTCCTCAGAGGCTCTCAGCAACCGCTGGAGAAGGCCTATGGACTCGTGGACTCGCTCAGGCGGGGGGGCGTTTGAGTCCACGTCTTTGAAGTTGGTCCCCCCCGTTTTTCGTGGATTCAAAGGGAATCCAAAAGGAGATTTTGCGTGCGGTTTTCAAAGAAAAGCCACAAGGACGACCGTGTGCGCCAGTTTGGGGGTCCCTCGACAGAAAGACGAGCCACCCATTTGCGGGAGGGTGTGTTGTTTACCTTAACCGCCCTCTGGGTCGATTGGTACCTCATACTTTTCCGTTATTGGGTTTGGGTTTCATGGGGCCTCAAATACCACTTCAACTCAAATCCGCGAATGCTTTCAGTAGCAAAAAACCCTTTGCGTAGGGACCCCAAAAAGTGTCTTAACGGTTTTCTGTCTAGCTTCCCTTAAAAACCACACCGTGGTATCAGAGAAAGACGCCCCATTCTAAAAATGAAGGGACTGCAAAATGATGGGGCTTTCCCAGCTGGATGCCTTTTGGTTTCAAGGACCCTCAAACAAGTCACAAACTCATTGGCTTCCTAAACTCTCGAGCATCTCTAAACAAGCCAAACACTCGCTTCTTGAGTGGATTGGCCAAAAACAGTCCAAACTTTTTGGTTGACAGTTGACACTAAAAAGGTCTTCCCAAAAAGTTTGTCCATAAACTCAGGGAGTGAGAACAACGTGAAAAAACCCTGCAGCTTATCCTTCCTGCTGAACCGTCAACCCAGAACATGGATTTGTGGGGACCACCACCCCGTTAGGGATTCCCCAAATCAGTTTCCTTAACAAATCGACACACACACACACACATATGTTTTCAACAAGCCCTTCCCCCGCCCCCGCCAATGTCCCTTCATGGCAATAAAGCCACCCCAATGGCTTTTGTTCAAAAGAAACCCACCCAAGAAATTGAAGGGACAAGTTATGTTCAACTTCAAACAGGGTTGGCTGCCTCAAATAAATCTAACTATGTGGGTTCCATGTCAACACTGTCTAAATCCCAGTCATCTGTTTGTGAGGGCACCCCTTTTGCAAAGGAAAACCAAAAGGACAACTGCGGGAAACTAAGAGGAAAACCACAATTCACTTCTTGAGTGGATTGGCCAAACAAGGTTCACCTGTTGGTTTACCACTAAGACAGTGTTGCCAAAACATTTTTTTGGGGGGTCCCGTGTTGCGTGTTGCTACCCGCCCCCCCCCCAGATGGTATGGCTGTGGCTCAAAAAACCGGTACCAAAACGGCACCCTGGTAAGTGGAAACATGGACCAAAACCTGCGTAACCCCTTCTGTTTAATTTTGAGCCACATCCGTATGGGTCCCCCAGGACCCCTTCCCCGGCCCGAAACCCTGAGCCCCCGGATCCTGGCACCTACGGTCCCCCCACCCCGACCCCCTGAACTCGCACCCCGACACACCGGCACCAACCCTAAACTAACCCTAAACCAACCCTAAATACACCCTAAACCAAACCCTACACCGTAGACCTCTAAACCTAAGCCAACCCTAAACCAACCCTAAATCAACATAAACCAACCCTAAACCAACCCTAAACTAACCCTAAATACACCCTAAATATACCCTAAACCAATTCTAAACCAACCCTAAACCACCACAACCCAACCACAGGACCACAACCACAGGGGGGGGTACTTGTCTGACCCATGACCATTGGGGGGGGAATGGCAACGCTGTACCATATGTATATATATATATAAAGTCCATAAACTCCGGGAGTGAGAAATACGATTCCTCCCCCCCCAGGGTTTGCCACCTCCCCCGTCCCCGCGACCCGCGACCCGCTTCCCCGCTGCTGGGCATCCGGGCCCTGAAACGCCCCGAGCATGGCGCGGTCCCGGCGGGCGCCGCCTCTCAGATCCGAAAGCCAACGAGCACAGCGACCTTAAAGAGAGAGGCTACTTGGTAATGTTGACCCAGAATTCATAAACCCGTCCCACTATTAGGGGGGTCTTCCCCCCACTAAAAGGAATTGGACACCCCCCTATTAATCAACCAGGGGTTTATTAATCCGGGGTTAACATTAAGTGGGCAATCACAGTGACAATCCTTGGGCAAACAATGGTGGGTACATTTTTCCCGATTGCTTCAATGGTGGTTTCAACTGCAGGGGTAAAACAATTCGCACAGGTGTTTATGGGCTTCGTCCCAAGTAGGACGTCTCTAGTTCGATGAAACCATGACGAAATGTGGGTTTTAAAGTACCCCCCCAGGGTTTCCAAGGCATTTCCCTTTTTGGAGCCTCCAAAAGTGGGGTAGCCAGAAAATCGAGAAAGGATCGACTTTTGATGTGTCGAACTCCAGGAAACTGCAACATCTCTCAAATGTGTCGAGTTCCGGCTTCTACCTCAAAAGGTCCCTTGTCGCCTCATATTTACGGTTTGGGTCCAAGGGAATCCGTCAAGTACAGACTCCTCAAATCCGCAACTAGGAGGTATCAAGGGATTCTGAGGGCTGGGTGTGTCTCATAGGAGACCCACACAAATTGATGTTGGTTTCCGTTTGGCTTCCAAAACAATACTAGTTAACAGGGTACCCTGAAGGAAACGCATGCTTTCCGTTTCCGTTTGCTTAAGCCCCCTGGAAAAAAGTGCCGTCGTGAAATCGATTCCCTTTAAAACCAACAGGGGAAAACAAGAACATATGCTGAACCGCACATGGAAGAAAAAGCATGGCCTCATCTTTTCCCCTGTCCTTTTTGGTGGCTGGGATTGAAGCAAACGGAAGATCCCGGGGTTACTCTAGGAGTTGATTCCACATTATTTTCAGCCATCGTTCTTTTCAAAAACCGATCGCCATTCCCCCAGGGTTTCAAGGGTGGTTTTCTAGAAAGATTCGGATCCCTGGAAAGAATGGAAATGGAAGTTACCCCTAGAAAACTGAAACATAGGCGCAATCGTACCCCGGTCCAGACAGGAAAGAATGTGCGCACCAATTTTTGTCTGTCTATTTTAGGGGAACCCTCCCCATAGTAATTGTAACTCCGATTTCGTCTGAGCTGGCCGCCCTCCAGGTCCATCAAGGCTTCCACCTCAACCGAGGGTCGATTCGGAAGCTCCGATCCCCGCCTTTTGGGCGGTCGATAGGGAAGTCAGGCAAGTGGTGGCCATTCTTTCAATGGGAATCGATTGAACCTACTTAGAGGGGCAGGGTACTTACGTGGCAAGCAAGCCTAGTTATAACCCAGTGAACGGAGACTTACAACCATGGCTTTTGTGGGTTATAACTATATGGTTATCCCACATATTAAGTACCGACCCGAGGGCGTGGGGGGTGGGGGGTGGGGATCCGGGACCCACTGCCCATGCTTGTTTGTCTTGCCAAAACAAGGGACAACGGAAACATAAATGGAGAGCTCCAGACTTCACCCCCCTCCCCCAATTCCATTTAAGGAGGTGGGGATGAGTTCCGCCCCCCAAGCCAGGGCAACCTGGGATTGCGGGTTAGCAACCAAGAAAGGTAACTCCACACTTCGTCTTCTTCTGGAACTCCGGGAGTAAGTTTACCTAGTCTTCATGAGCTTGATCTAGGGCTTGTGCAAAGTGCCCATGCGAGCAAGAGGCTGAAGGAAGCGGTCATGAAACATCCCGGGATGTTTCAACCTACTAGCATCTGTTGCTGACCAGTGGACTATTGGGAGCCATTCACTTCAGGCCCATCATCTTCCCATGGCTCCCCTTGCGAGTCGGCTCTAAATCAGTCTCTCACTTTCGATCCAGTGGAAAGGCCAGAACAGGTCACAACTTTTTGTCTACTACTAAAATGGTCATCCCAAAAAGTATAAAGTCCATAAACACAGCTCTGCACGGGTGTCTCTTTTTTTTGGGGGGGGCGCCTCCAAAATAAGGTTGTCCTATAGGGTACCCTCGTCAAAAAAAGAAAACAGACCCGAATCCTCCATTTGCTTAAGTCCCTGGGAAAAAAGAAAAAGGACGACATGCCGTAGTGATAGATTCCCTTTAACATGATGAGAGTTAGGCCCAGTTATAGAATGTATATTTTATTGTTTGCTTCACATGGAGTCTCTGGTAAAATGTAAAATGTATCCTAAGTCTACCCCAGTTAAAACCAACAGGACTCCCACGCCCAGCCGTTCGGCTCACAGCCGTTCGGCTCGGTGCTTGGATTCCGGCTGACGCATTGGCCGTCGGGCTGTAGATGGTCTCCAAGCCCCTCCAATCGATGGATTCCGGGTAACACGTGACTGTGTCTGTTTGCATTTGCTTAGGTGTGATGCCCTTTTGACCTTGGTTTATACACATCTCCTGAGTGGACTGGACAAGAAAGGGCCAAACTTTATGTTGTTACTGCTCAAATGGTCTTGCTAAAAAGTTTGAAGTCCATGAACTTCGGAAGTGACTATAGGGAAACCAAGTTCAGGGCTCCTTCAATTGACACACGGACCCCTTTTCCTGCAGACCCCAGTTCCCCTCGACAGTGAGCGTAGACTGGACTTTTTGCGCTCATGCCGGTGCCCACAAAACACTCTGAGAGCCAGGAATTGATTCCGAATCTCTGCAAATTACCCCAATTGTTCAAACCAAAAGGACCTCACGCTCCAACAAATCATCTACTGGTATGTACAAGAACAAACTGAACCTTCCTCAGGCCTGAGCTCCTTTTACCGCCCGCAGAACGTGACAACAGCCCACAGCACAGCCAGGTGCACTCGTCATAATTTGCGACGAATGGAACAATCGGGCACTAGGCTGATGGTGGTAGGAAATTACTGTTCATGGGCAAACAAAAACGGTGGGATTCTCATCCAACCTTGGCAGGTGTATCACTTTCACGGCAATTATTCACTTCCTCAGTGGATTGGCCAAAACATGTCCACACCTTTCGTTTACCACTAAAATGGACTTTCCAAAGGAGTCGTTGAAGTCTAAGGACTCAGGGAGTGGGTGGTTCCCCCTTGGTAAGTCGCATCCGATTTGCCGTAGTCCCGATGTCCTGCTCGTCACATCGTCTCGGAAGGAGCGGACTTGTCTCCCGCAGACAAAGTAGAACATGGCGGTCCTGGGACTAGGACCGCAAGAGCACGGATCCAGCCCTCGTGTCACCAAAAGGAAAGCCAAGGATTTTCTATCCTTGAGGGTCTCATGGTACCTCCTGAGGATGTACCCCCTGCTCCACATATCAACTTATTTCAGGGCATGATAGGATATGTTGCTAGCTCTTGACTAAAAAAGGAGGCATTTACCCTGAACATCCAGTCTTATATACTGGACAATTGAATAAAAAAGCGGGGTACTTCGAGTAGTAGTACTCAATGAACCCCTTTGGGATGCTAAGTGCATCAGGTATCAAGCGACCCTTGGATTCCCGACCACAAGCAAAGCTCCCATTGTTCCCAAAACTTGCAAGTGGCCCGGTTCCGGTCGGAAGAAAAGGGACACAAGGTCCAAGGCCAGGACCATTGTTTACAGTGGATGCCAGCTCAATCTGGCAAGTAATCCAACATAACCATGCAGAAACCCGTACGTTAAACCATGCGAGATTGCGGCAAAGCAAAGAACCCGCTGTCGAATGTTGCCTTACTTGCAATATTGCGTTGGCATCCACCGCAGCCAACTGAACAAACAAACGCGGATGAGCACAAGCTTGGACATGCACTCCGCGTCATCCCAGCCACGTCTGCGGACATTTCCCCAGGCTCGCAAGAACTCAGGGCAGCCTGACAGCATCAGTTTGTCCCATGCTTAGCAGGCAAACGACAACTTAGTGGTTCTTTGGTCCCATGCTGAAAGCGAAGCTTTTCGTGGTACATGTCATGGATCCCGCCAAGCACTGAACGTGCAGAATCGCAAAAGTCTATATAAGAGTACTTTGTTGAGGGTACCCATTTCATCTTAAGCCAACGTCTCTACCGTAAGAGTATTTGGTTGAGGGTACCCTTTTCACCTTGGTCTAACGGGAGGCCAAAGAAAAGCTGTGGGGTCCCAAACATTGCTTTTGTGAATGCCTACCACTGCAAATTCCTCCATTTGCTAAAGTCCCCTTGGAACAAACAAAATAAAATGTCCAGTATAGGGATAGATTCCCTTTCAAACCAAGATGGAAAAATGAACCATATTCTTAACCAAATGGAAGCAACCGGGCGCCACTGAGAAACGAGCAACGCGCGGTGATTAACGCGCGCCGTGTCCGTCTATCTGTTGGCATTCCACTTGAGGCCGGGGCCACAGGTCGTCCACCAGGAAGCAGGCTTGATCCCCCTTGACGAAGCACCTGCGCTTCGGCACGAGCCGCACGCGAAGAGAAGTCCTTTGCGGAAGTTGGCCCGGGGAGGAAGTTCGACTCCCTTCCGATGGAGTGGGCTGGGTAGAAGTTGCAGAAACTTCTCTTTTTACAAACAAAAAGGATCCAAACTCCGAAAATGACCTAAGCCTGTAAACTCAGGACTGAGAATGTTCGACCCTGGTTGATCTGAAAACGGCTTGGAGCACCCCCACCGTTCAAGGACAAGCCGTCCGTATCCCCCAATTTCAGTGAGGGAGCGTGCATTTAGGTCCGAACTGCATCGATCCATCAAGACATACGGTTGCTGCAGTTCGCGATAGTGTGCTCCAAAATGGAACGGACACCAAAACAGCCAGTAAATCTATGGACATTGGAGGCTACATAAGCTCGAACAAGGTCGCGAGTGTCCTAGGGCTATCGTCTCAAATTAGGAAACGCAAGCCTTTAAATGCGACATGTGGTATACAACCGGGGGACCCATTTGTTTTTGGGTGGATTGAAAGAATAACTAAAGGAAAGCCCACCTGTTTGGACCCCACTAAATGATTCAACTGCAAAAGACCACCTAATTACTTGAGACCACCCCTTCGGTCTTGGCTGGAGTTAGAACCGCAACAAGAAAGACATCGCTTTGCCAGGTTCGTGGAAAAAGGGAACCCCAAAAAGGAAAAGCAGTTTGCCTTAGACCAGGTTAGTGGAAACATAGTTTTTGCCTTAGACCCCCCAAAAATAAGAAACAAATCGGGGAACTCGTTCCCGGGAAGTGGTCTGCAGAATTTCGGGGTGTCCTGCGCTTACCGGACACCACAAGACCGTCGCTCTTTTCACGAGACTGGAAGTCTCCCCAAGCCTTTCACCCATGCGGTGCGTTAAAGCCAGACTGAAACCCAAGAATTGGCTTTCCTGTGCAACGTTGATGTGAGACAAGGAGACGGAACGCTGTCCCTTGCAAACTTCCTCTCCTTAGAAGTTGCCTATGTCGGGTCTTAGTTCTACCTTGGGAGAATCAAACTGTTTCAGAACACCCATGAGAGATGCTATGCCATCGATCGGAACCCGTTTATTCTCACGAGTGATACATTCCTATAAAACCAACATAACAAAAAAACAAAAACACAACATGTTTATTGTTTAAAACAAAACAACACAATCTAAAGCAAACGGAGGTTGCTAGACCCGGTCTTTGACAGGGTCCCCCGTCACCCCACGCCCCCTGCCCGGGAAACCTTTGACACGTAACCCCGGCGCGCCGGTAGAAGTTCTGCACCTTCTGCACGGTGGAAGGCTCCAACCTCGGCGAAGTGAACCAAAAGTGACACCGGGTTCCTTGCCACAACAAAATTAGTGTTTCTTGTTTGGTTCCCTTCTAACACCCGTGGTAACACCCGTGGGATGGAAGCAGTGAAGGCAAATGAACAGAATAATCCTGTGGGATTCGACCCAACTCACAACAACGGGGGTGAATATGCCTGTGACTCGTGACCTGTGGGTCAACAATAAGTACCCAAAATGGGTTGCCCTGGTCAAAAAAAAGTACCCAAAATAGTAGACTTTGTTTGGTTCCACTCGAATCAACCCACAATGAAAATAGGTAACAACTGAAACAACGGGGCCTAAGATGGCTGTGGGTCTAAAAAAAAGAGACCCAAAATGGAACCCTGGTAAATGGAAACTTGGACCAAAACCTGCGGTCCCCTGGTGGTTTTGTTTTCACCCAAACCTACATCTACAATATATATACACATATAACCACCACTGTTTACCCCAAGGATTGGCATTATCAAACTTGGCTCCTTGCCATTCTTTCAACCCCCGGTGCAGATCAACATGAAATCCTCCCAACACCTTCTTTTCCCAAAGATCCAAGTGCCTGATATTTGCGGATTTGAGCAATCTGTATTTGACGAACTCCATATTGGGGACCCTCGGGTAAATATCCTTCACATTGGGTTTTGTATCCACCAAACCATTTATGAGAGGTTCCCCATCAAAATTCATACCGCTATGCTCCTCTATTGCACTCTTGTGGCTCCTTTTGAGGTTCGGGGCTGACTGGACAACCACTTCCTTCAACAAATCTTGGCTCACCTGGGGTACACAGAAAAATATTTCCTGATTTTGTTTTAAAGGAAGGGTCCTGCCTCCTAATTGTGTGTTTTCAGACCCCATGTTTGAAGGGTCAGAGGGCAAACTCCAGGCACCCCCCAAAAAATAACCCATCCTAAAATGGTAGTTTTCCTTTTGGCTTCCGTTTAAGCCGACCTCCCCCAGAGCCTAGCGATCAAATCACTCGTTTTGGGATCTGAGAACGTCTTGGCCCCAAGCTGCAGTGCCACGATGTCCGCGCCCTGCGGAACCATAAGCCCACCTTCGAAACGAACGCGAGGGTGGCGAGTGGGGATGTGCCCTCAACCAGGTAGTTACTCCCGTGCAAATTAACATGGGTGGCTCAAAACTAAAGAGCTGGGGCTCAACATGGGGTGACTCAAGACTAAAGAGCTGGGGCTACGCAGGTTTCGGTCTTGGTTTCAGCCCCAGAAGGCGGCCGTTAAAAAGGATCCGGAGCTTGCTCTAGGCTCAAAAAGTACGTTATGGTTCAGTTCCATGTTTGTCTAGGAGAGTATTGGATGGTTGTCAAGATTAATCATGGTAGGAACCCTTCATTTGGAACATTGCGGCGTTTTTTTCAACTGAGGGGGGGGGTCCTTCTTTGGTATACTTCCCTTCCGGCACCGGTTTCCAAGAACGAAGCGGATGTTGACCATCATGAAAGCTTCTTCCCCAGCTGAAAGCTCCACAGTTCAGACATCGGCTGAGTTCACCAGATGCCTCTGGACTACCCATGGAAACCGGGCACCAACAAAAAGGCCCTCAGCGCAGCCCAAAGGACCCCAAGGGTGTGTGAGGTGGCCAAGGAGTCGCCTTTTCTTTAAAACACATTGAAAAAGAGGTCCTCACATGGCTGTTGCTCAAAAAACTGATACCACTTTTTGGCCCCTTGGATGGATTCAAACAGAACAACACTTGCGTAACCCCAGCTCTTCAATATGTGTGTTTCTAAAGCGGCAACGTTCCCCTCTGCGAAGATTTGAGGTGCGAAACGCTCCGCTCTTCTGGACCCCACGCCATTCCAAGGGAAAACCCCCACCTCAAAACTCAACTCCTTCGACGTCATGTCCAAACAAAAAGGGCCTGCCCAGTGGTTGACGTCCGCCTTTTCTTTGGGACACAGTTTAGCAGGTCACATGTTCGTTTCTTAAGCGTGCAAGGAGACGCTCGGCCATTCATGTCCAGTGCCTGGGGTTTTTCAGCAACTGGGAAGTTTGCCTGAAACAATGCAACCTCCAAAAGGCTACCCTGGCAAACCATGCCAAATTTCCAAAGAACCACACAAAAATCATGTCTTACCAAATCGGACTCAAACCATGCAAATTGCTTAGAACCAAAACCCACGTCTTTCCAAATCGGACTCGAGTTCGGATACGTGGACTCACATCCGGCTAAGGCTGAGTGGGGCACGGAAGAAGTAGGCGAAGAAGGAGCTCACAAAGCCGCAGCCGAGACCCCTCTGTTTCTGCCAGAGATTGCCTCAGGTCCAACTGAACCTCTCAGCCGGATGGGACCCACAACTAGGTGAGCACATGTGAGCACGTTTTGGGTTGCCATGACCAAAAATTGGGAACCCCCCAACAAGAAACAGTTGCCCAATTCTTAGGGACCTACAAAATGGCGATCGGATGGGAGCCACAACTAAAAGGTGAGCACTTGTTGGGTTGCCAATACCAAAAAATCGGAACCCAAAAGGGAAAGTCCAAAGGTAAAAAGGTCGGCTTTGGGCAAGTGGGTCCTCACTTCCCATCGAGTGGGTTGGCTAGTTTGTTTGTTGTTGTCTGTTTGCAGTCCTGGCACGAGACTAACCCTGGCACTGGGAAGTGAACAGAACGATGATTGAAAAGAATGGCACAAGGAACTCAGGGAGTGATTACCTTTTGAGGATTCCAGAGGGTTTTAGGTAAAGGGTCCAAGTACATCCTCACAAGGTACTTGGACCTTTTTCTGGTGGGATTCAACCGAGCCATTTCTCGAACAAGCACATTCAGGCAACATTCTGTCCGCCTGCGACTGAGGCATGATGCAGAGATTGGGGTGCTTCACCCCCACCCCCCCCCCAACCAGCCCAAGGAAGGCCCCGCAGTTGCCCACCATGTCCCTTGGATTCAAGAAGGCCACCGAATTTTTTTCCGCTGGTTTCATAGCTCAACACCATAGCTTGAGGTCGGGGTAGAACCCACATAATAGGGTCGAGGCCCTGGAAGCCGCTCAAAAAGCTCCGGAAATGGTTTGTTCCACTTCGCTGGGTCAACGTCCAACATTCTAAGGGATTCGGACCCCCAACATAAATGGAGTTGGGTGAATTACGTGTTCCCTGTACCTGGAGTCTCCTTGTGACCCTTAGAAAATGGTTGGTCATTATCCCAAATAATGGTTGGTCATTGACCCATTCTTTAAGGGTCAGAAGGAGACTATCCAAAACAAGGGCACCCTCCACAAAAACAACACCAAGGGAGGCAAAGGCGCCTATGGCGTCCGGCAAGTAGGCATGGTCGTCGTCCAAAAGCATCAGCATATCGCCATCCATCGGCCTGTCGCTTACTTCAAGGGGCGATCGAAGCAGGGTACGTCAGGCAATGGGGCAATAACCGGGCAACCCACAAAAGCCACGTTTTGAGGTCTCCGCTCAGTGGGTCAAAACATGTCAAAACCATGCAGGTGTTTACCCTGACGCACCCATCGCCCCTTTAAGTAGCTAACGGCTTCTTACACCTGAGAATCAAATCCGAACGTCTGATGAGCGGACTTTCTAGATAAACACTCGAAAGATAAGCCCTTGAGAGGTCTCAACACTTTCAGGTGTGGACTCTGGAGGTTGCCCTTTCAAGCCAGGGTGTCTGATCGATTTGCTTTCGGATTTCGGCCCGCCTCAGTCGCATTTTTCGGGGTGTCATGATGCAAGGCCCAGATGCCAGCTACCCCTGTTGGCAAGAGGTGACCAGCCAGTGTCCTGTTGCTTTAGTTGTGGTTTTCTTGGTTGCATACTTTCCTGGTAAAATTGTACCCTCAGGGGCAGCGGTCGACATTTTAAGACCATCTTGCGCCTGTCGCTTCAGGTCGTGCGGGGGTCTTTCCTTCGCCAAAATCAGGGTACATAACTCTAGCTTACCCTTTAAAACTCCAAGCCCTGGGGAAGTCAACCTTTTACAGACATATAGCCCATGTTACCCAGAAAGTTGAAAAGTTGTGTTTTTAAGAGGTAAGCTAGACCTCTAGACTATGGTTCTTATGTCGTCTACCCTAAACGATGCAACTGTTGGGTGTGTCCTTCATTTGAGGCTACTCTTTTCAGGTTGTTTTAAAGGGAAGGACGACAGGACAACCGGCATGTTGCCCAGTCCTGTTTTGAACACATACCCGGTTGGTGCCCGCTTGCTGTTCTTCATTTGTTGCGAGAGTATGATGAAAAGAGACCCAGGCCAGTGCTTCAGTGCTTCATGTTCCCTTGGTTTTTGGAGGAGTTTCTAGGGGGTGAGTCCGTTGCCATTCTTTTCAACCATCGTTCTTTTCAAAAACTGGATCCGTTTTCCCTCGGTTTCTGGCGGTTTTCTAGAAAGAAGGATCCCTGGAAAGAATGGTGAAGGTACCCTTAGAGAGTTTCCCTGTGAGTTCAGCGACCAAAAAAGAACAGCGATTCCGTTCCCTAGGTAACGAGGATTTGAACTCTAGGTTTTACATGGTTTCACTTGGGTACCTACAGGCCTAAACGGAGCTGGGAAGACTAGCTTTTGAATTTCCCTGTGGCAAGAGGGTCCCCTTTGCATTAGCTGGACAGTTTGAGAGGTCCAAAATAGGGCCACAGTGGGTCTGTGCCAAAGGGGGGCCCAACTGCTGGAGCTCCTGGTGCTTTGTCCTGCTAAACCCATCCAAAAAGAGCCGAAAAGAACGACACACGCCTTTAGTCTGTCCTATGGCAACAAAGTCTGACTTCTTGTTTACCACTACAATGGTCCAGACCCAAAAGGATACACCAAGTCACCAAGTCCATAAACTCAGGGAGTGAGCACAACATATCGCATACCTTCGGAGCTCGAACCCAGTTTCAGGCGTTTTCTCCGATTCTCTTGAGGCTCCCACGTGCCCACGTACTTGTCGAACCAGTCCAGCACCCCCAGCAGCTTGGTGCCAGGGCCACTATCCTCCTCCACCCAGTGCACCTCGATTCGTCTCGCGGGACCCGTGCGCGCCAAGGCCCCGCTTTGCAGGAAAGCTGGAGTGAGCGGTGCCCGACCCTTGACTTTGGGTTCTACTCACATTGCTATACGGGCTTATACAGAAACCAGGTAGTAGAACCACCTGCTAAAATGGCCAATGGGTCTTTTGGAAGCGCAAGTGGGTAATAACCATGGTTATGACCCTTGAAAACATGGCTTTTGTGGGAGAAAAACATGGTGACAGCAGATGGTACAATGCCATCTATGTGGGTAAGGGGAATAGTAGTCCAACATTGGGGGATTGTGCCATGCATTTTCCCCCTTATATAGGGTAAGCTTGTAGTAACCATCCCAATAGTTCCAGTTGCCACCATAATATGAGGCAATCACCATCATGGTTTGCCCCGGTTGCCTACTAGAATGCTAAGTGGCAGCACTGGGCATGGTTGTAATGTTTATAAGCACCCTGAGCGGGTTATAACCAGGCTTGTTGCACGCTTCCATTTTTAGTCGACCCAAGCTCCTGCTTTCCACTGAACATCTCGTCGGAACCCCTCAGTTCCTGAGTGGATTGGCCAGAACAAGTTCAAAGTTCCTGGACAATGAACCCGTTTGTTCTGCCTTTGTACCACTTTGTGGGTCTAAGGCAGAAGCACGGGGTCTATTGGGAGTCAAGGTTGTTTCTTGTCGCTGCAATGGTCTTCCACAAAGTGACTAAAGTTCAGAGACTCAGGGAGTAAGAATCTTGTTGGAAGAACCTTTCCCTACCACCCGCTCGAGCAAAAAAACAAAGATATTCAACGGCCAATTTGCAAAGGTTGCAACAATTCCAACACCTGACATAAGAATTGGATGCCCAAATAAAGGACCAACATAAACCCATGAGGCAGACAAATCCATGGCCTGCATCCAGGAGTGCTGCGACAACATCTGGAGCAAGTTCTGTGGCAGCTCGTAGGCTCGGCCTAATCCATCCGACCACTCCGGATGGCCCGCAGGGTGAAACACCCCGGACCGGGTCCGAGTGGAGTTCTGTGGGGGAAAAGAAGCGTGGCACTCTTTATTTTCGTTGTACTCGCTTACCCAATGAATTGGCCAGAACAAGTAACCAACTTGTTATCTACCACTGAAATAGTCCAAAACCAAACGTGACTAAAGTCCAGGAACCCAGGGAGTGAGCTTTTGTGGTCATCAGAGAAGCCGTTTGGCAACCCGGGCTTGGAAACAGGTCCCTTGGTATTGCTTGAGTTGATGGTGGCTTGGTGGAAAGGCGTCCACAAACAGCACCTCCTTGAAAGGTACGAAGGGACCTTAACGGACAATTCGCTTCGGAGCAGTCCTTTGACGAAGGGATGTCTGCGCTTTTGAGGGCCCAAGCAGCACTGTTCTCTGCGAAATGGCGGAAATTGGTGGTTGAAGCCGGCGTCAAAACCAGCTTCTCAGATTGGTGCAGCTTGGAGAAACTCGAAGAGACAGCCATGCCTCCAAAATGCCAAAGATCAACGGTTGGACCCTGATCCTTGTTCCAAGCATCCTTCGATTGGTTCAGGACTTCATGGGTGGCTCTTGTTTGAGGCTAGCCCGTGTTTGGTGGTTAAAAAACAAAAACAAAAAACACCACAGGTGATTAAGCCTGGCACTAACCAAACAACAGCCCAAGGTTGCAAACCCACTTTTGTAGTGAGGGCGCGACAAGCACACGCCTACCTGGAGTCTCCATGACCCTTTAAAAATGGGTGAATGACCCGTTTTTTGGGGTAATGACCCCATTTTTCAAGGGTGATGGAACTCCAGGTAGAGAAAAGTCTCTGCCCTCTACTCCACCGAAGCGGTTTTTTTCGGTCGGATCTCGATTTCGGATTCACCCGCCTTCCCGCGCGGAGGTCCGTGGCAAGGAGAGGATCAGGCGATCCGGCCGCTGAGACCTCGTGGCATTTGGTTTGATGAGGTTACCGAGCTCAGACTCGGGTTCCTTTAAAGGAGATGGGTGGGGGAGCCGTTTATTTGGGGCGTTTTAGATGATGATAATGATTAAACAAACCTGGGCTGCCCTCAGATCCCCCGCTAAAAGGTTTAACTTTTATTGGGTTAAATGGAAACTACCACTAAACACTAAAAGGCTAAACAGCTAAGGGGATGAGGAGCCACCAAGAAGCAATGGTTCTATGAAACCCTTTGCTTTAACGGTGGGTTGATTCCCAGGGTTTTGGATGTTTGAGGGCCTGAGGCTTCAGACTGACTCGTTTCCCCGAAAAGTTTCGAAGGAGAACCCAGACTTCCACTCACTTCCTGAGTGGATTGCCCCAAACGTCTAAACATTTTACTTGCCACCAAAACGGTGGACCCGAAAAAGTGACTTAAGTCCATGAACTCAGGGAGTAAGTCTAGAGACGCCCCTGCATTTTGCCCTCAGCCAAAAGGCAAACCCCGAACTCTGGGGGCGGCGCTGCGCGACGATGGACTGCAGTGCAGGGCACACGCCTTCGGCGAGCGGCTGGCTGCTCCCTCCTTTTGCCCGAACGAAGAAAAGTCCTTAGACCAGGTAGAAGTACTGGCAACGGACACCCAACTTGTGATCTTGGCCGCCCAAGTAATGTTGACCCCATTTTGATCAACCCCTGTTTATTAATAGGGGGGTGTGCCTGGGTGAAATGTCGGGCTCTCCCTGGGTTTCTTAGTTTCTAGGTCCTCCAGTAGAGAGGTGGGAATAAGTTGGTACCCTTGTTTTCTGTTGTGTATTTTAGTAGGGGAACCCTCCCCCAAAAATGGTAAAAGGGCACTACTGGGGAACCTAGCCCAGTAACCCTTCGGGAAACCCCGAAGGAAACCCCTATACTAGCAAACTCTTACTCCGCAAGCCTATATAAAGGGGCAGGGTACTTGGTAAGTGAGTAATAACCATAGTTCTAACCCACTTACCACGCTTGTAAGTCTCCGTTCAGTGGGTTATAACCAGGCTTACTCACCACTTACTATTTCCTTTAAGTGGGGTTCAACACAAATTTAATTGAATGGCCTTGGGACCCGATTTAGATGATGACAATCCTGAACGGCAAACAATGGCGGTTATGTTAACCCCCCATTGTTTGACTGTGGTTTGAATCCCAGGGAGACTTCTTACTTCCTCTGCGGGGCCTGCCTTTCTTCGTCTACCCCATATTTCCTCTCACTTTCTCTTCTTCTTCTTCCTGCTAACTTTCTGCAACCTATTTAGCATCTGCTCCAGAAGTCAGTAGACCTCGTGCTTCCTCTGCCCCATTCTTCTCCCCTCTGTTCTTTCTCCATCTGCTCCTGTTTGCCACCCCTAGTTCCTCCTGCGTTAGCATCACCCGCGGGGCCTTCTTGACTGAGCTTCCTTCTGCTGGGGGGCTGGGTTTTATCTCACTCCCTTTCGCCTCAAATGCTCCGAACTCAAAAAGGGACCAAAGCCCATAAGCTCGGGGATTAAGTTGTTGGCTTACTGGAAAGTTCCAAATGGTCCTTTTGGAGCGATTCCACACCAAAGACCAGCCAAGTCTGGGAAGAATAACTTTTACTTGACGTGCAAAGCGATGTTCGCGCTGGCTATGTCAAATAGTTGGACAACACATGTTGTTGGGTTCAAATCGGACTTACACGTAAATCATAAAACCATATTGTCAGGTTCTGCTTCATACCTGCTGAACCTTGGGATACAACATGATTTTGGAGGAGACCCCTGATACGCGAGTCTTAAAACATCTTCGACCATGGCTTCCCTTTCATTGAAGCCGACCAACATACTTACCATCTCTCCAACAATCCTGGAAGTGGACATGCTGCCTCCCAAAAGGCAGGTCGTTTGCCAGAACCCTCGTGGCAGCTTCCGTGACTGTTTGAAGGATAGTTAACTCCGAACAATAACCGATGGCCAACGACACGAACCGACTCCCAACCGAAAATTTGCACCCTCCCCAAAAAAAAACAAAAACAAAAATCACTAAACAAAAACAACAAACTACAACAAATCATTGTAGAACGAGACCCTTCGTTTGGCTTTACCGGAAGGGGCCTAACCGACCCAGCGCTGCATTTCGTGCCCATCGCCAATCGCCTGGCAGCCTGGAGGGCAGCGACGTCATGCCGACCACCAGCAGGGGCCTGGAGAAGCGGCGAAGCCCTGGGAGTTGCGCGTCTTCGAAGAAAGGGACCAAGCAAAAAGTGGTTTGCCGGGTGGCTTCCCTTTGTGAGATTCTTTTGTGAGTCCCTTTGAGAAGTGGCTTCGAAGCTTCTTTTGGGGACCACCTTTTTTGGTTTGCCGGGCGGCTTCCCTTTAAAACCAACCAAGACAGGGTGACCAAACCGACCAAAAACAAATGCATGGGAGTTGGGTGTGTATGTCGTTTTCTAGGGACCCCGAAGAAAGCTGGGATGGGTCTTGTCTCTTTTTTAAGGACCCCCCAAAACGAAAAAGTGGTTTGCCGGGTGGTGTCGCTCTAAAACCAACCAAAAGGGGGTTTAAGGGAATCCAGCATAGCTGGCCTATTGAAAAAATGGATGGGTTTCCCTGCGAAAAATGGGGCATACATTTGTTGACCAAACTCACCTAAAAAGGACAATGCATGGTAGTTGAGTGTGTCATTTTCTAGGGACCCCTTGTGGGCATATGGTGGGTGCCATTTTTACTTGCTGGTGCGATAGGCAGGGAATGAGTAATGGAAACAACAAAAACACATTTTCGATTTGACTTCCTTTCTTCCGGAATCCCCAATTTGGTTCATTCCCCCACACAACATTCTAGGGGAAACTTCCCCATTCTTTCCAGGGATCCTTTTTTCTAGAAAACCACCAAAAACCCTGGGGAAATGGCTGGTTTCTGAAAAGAACGATGGGTGAAAAGAATGGGGAATCAACCCATAGAAACATGTGGTTTGAACCTGTTGGTTTCTCTTTAAACCCAAGGGCGGGTACCGAGTCTCAAAAATACATACAGCTGGAAGCACCATCTGCTTTCAGCTCCGTCATCAGGCTAAGAAGACTTAGGAGGGTACACCCTCAGGATGTACAGAATAGGGGCCAAAAAAAGCGCATTTGGTGCATCATCGCCAGGTATAACCTACCTAGTTTAATTGTGATTCTAGTCCGGAGTATATGAAGATTTATAATTAATCATAACCACCTTAGAAGAACCAAACGTCAACTGGTGTTGGTCCCTGCTCAATTGAGATCCCTTTGTTTGATCCACAGGACACATATAGATCCGCGGCTTTGTGTTTGGCAAGTGGGATATATCCCAGCACCCCGTACAATTTACGCCTGGGCGAATAGTTTGGGTCCTTCTTGCCGGCTTGGCCAGTGCCCTTTGTCCCTTTTTTGGTTTCGGAGGGCCCCTTTCAAATCAACTACCAAACAACCGGAGAGTGTTTTTGTGCCATGAAAATCCAACGGGACCCGGGCTGTGAGATGCTGAACGGTGGCTTCCCTTGGAGTTGAGAGGCTTGCCTGAAAGCACGGAGGCTTATTTGGGCTCGTTTGTGCGACCTGTCTTTGCTTAGGTACAATAGACTTCCATTTGCTTAAGCCCCCTGAAAAAAAACACAAAAAACTAAAGTATTTCCGGTACTGATAGATTCCCTCTAAAAGCAAACAGGGGAAAATAAAACATATTCTGCAGCAATTGGATGTCGTTGCCCCAATTTTGTTGCAGGTTGGTGGAACAAGGGAACCCACGCCATCACATCTCAAAGTGCACCAAGGGCGAAGCCGCAAAGTGGCACCTACACAGGGCCGGCTGGATCAACCATCCAGCCAAGCGCAGTAGCTGACAGTGACTGCGGGATTCCTTGTGGATAGGTTTCTTGCAGCTTGCACAATATTCAACGTGCAATAAGGGGGTTCTCAATGTAATAGTTTGCCGGGTTCTCACCGCTAATCTAAAGGCAAGTAAACCCAGTGGTTTTGGGCTTCGTTCAAGGGAAATAGTCAAATATAGAGTTCTCAAATCCGCAAAGAATATGAGGTAAAAAGGGACCCCTTGAGAAGGAAAAAAGACACATCTTGTGTTTTGTTTAAAAAAAAAAAAAAACATAAAAATCACCCTCCCATCTCTTCTCCTTGCCGCACCTTGCGCTGTTCTCCCACAACGCGCTGAATTTTACACGCTCTTTCAGTATACAGGCCTCACCATAATTTTCAGAGGGTCCTGGGCAAACGTCCGCCGAACAATTTGATAGTGTGGGCAGTAGAACCCCCCCAAAGTTTCCGTGACACCGGGCAAAACCCGACAGACATATGTTGTCAACTTGCCAGAAGCCGACCATTGGGGCTTGGCCCCTCGAAGGATCGCCAAAGGGTCCAATTCCCTGAGGAATCTATATGGCAGTGGCTCAAAATTAAAGAGCTCGGGATACGCGGTGTTGGTCCATTTTTCCACTTACCAGGGTTCCATTTTGGTGCCGGTTTTTAGAGCCATGGCCATATTTGACGAATTCCCTTGAACCAAACCCAAAACCACAAATATGGAGTACTTGGACCCTGAAAAAAGGTGCACCGCGCTCGATGCTCGGTGGATCTCGGTGGCTCCGTCCTCCCGGGTGATCGCACTGCCATCGGAGCGAGAGGGACCTGGGCGGCTCGATGCTCAAAACATGCGGGTTACTCAAAGAAGGCAGCGAAGCTGTGGATCTACCCCTGTTGAATATAGCAAGAGAACTCGAAGAGTACCAAAAAAGCACCAACCAGCACCCTCCGACTACTGCCCAATTTCCAGTAGTTCCGAAAATAACATCTGGACGGTAGTTGAAGACCACAGAAGGCGCCTCTCCAAGCCGATTTCTAGAACCCGCTGGACCCGCTGGACTGTCGGATCGTGCCACTCGGGCCACCGTTGGCTACCGATGGAGCGGATCGGCCAGAAAAAGTCGTTGCAGTTCTTGTTTACTCCTTACCCCTTAAAGCTCCAAGCCCTGGGGAAGTTAATCTTTTGCAGACATATAGCCCATGTTACCCGGAAAGGTGAAAAGCTGTGTTTTTAAGAGGTAAGTTACCACGAAAGTGGTGCATACTTGGATGTTGGACCACGTTAGCAAGTGGTTGGGTCCACATACACTCCGAATGGTGGCAATACGGGAAACAATCATGTCAAACCAGAAGCAATTTTGAGAACCCCTTCAAGTGTTCATTTTAGCTCGGCCCACATCCGGGCGCTCCAAAATTCATATGCTCTAATTACATGTCAAATTTAGTCTACCCCACAACCTGGAGTCTCCATGACCCTAAAAGCAAATGGGGGGGACGACTCTCATGTTCATTTCTTTTTCTGACACCCATCTTGCAAGGGTCAAAAGGAGACTCCAGGCATCCAAAAACACGAGACCCAGTGGGTCCAAATTTCCCATATTTACACTTTTGGGTTTGGCTCTTTCGGAAATCCGTCAAATCCAGATTCCTCAAATCCGCGAGAAAAATATTTAAAACAAATTTTGGGACCCTTTAGGAAGTTTCTGTAGGAGACCCCCACTGCACCAGCTTTGAAGCAGAAAATACGAACCACGAACCAAGGCAACGGAGCCTGTTTAATTACGTGTTTCCATGTTAGTGGGATGCCTTGTCGCAAAACAAGACACAAGAATTCATGGTCCAAACCTTAGCCTTTTTGGTAGTCATTTGTTTTTTTGTTCACTTCTTGAATGGGCCAAAACAAGTTCAACATGCTGTCGCCATAGAAAAATTGTCCAAACCCCCCAAAAAGTATGAAGTCCACTTGTGTGCTCGATTCGCCAAGTTGGTAAGTTGTTTGTCATCCAGGCTAAACCCGTTTACAGGTCCCCCTAACCCCCAAGTGGAGTTCGCCTTATTCTTGGTGGGCAGACCCCAGGTGGCCTTTTCCATTTAACTTGGCGAATCAAAATTCCATGTTAAGCCCAGGAGCAAGCAACCCAGCAAGTGAGCAAGGGTCCAATGATCAATTTGCTTGTGCTCAGTACGGAATGACCCTTCCGGGTGTTGGGAAGCCGGCTTTGTGGGATTTTCTTGAAGGAAACCGAATTGGGGATTGTTTTTTCTAGGGGTCATTCCAACTCATTCCCTGCTGAGAAGTCAAATGAACCTGGGAATTCCCTTGACGGACACCATAGATTGCTTGTTGGGGTCATTCCATTTCTCATTCCCAAGTCAAGCCAAGCAGTCTCGCTGAGACTGAGCCACTGCACGCAAGCCCCGCCGAGCTTTCCTCGCCGCACCGCCCAAACCTAAGGGAAGGACTATGGACCAACGAGTCACGTTTCTTGGCGCATCCCCAGGGACTCTCTTCACATGGAACCTGGCGCTCGGAAAATGGTCCCTTTCGAGGTCCTCCAGTAGGGAGGTTAGAATACGGGTTCCCTTTTTTCTGTAGTCTATTTCAGTAGGGGAACCCTCCCAACCAAAAAAGGGCAAAAGGGCACTACTGGGAGACCTAGCTTTAAAAAGGAACATGGTCCAAACCAAGGCCCCCGAACGTCAGGCTCCATGTGAATTGCTGGGAAGGTAGCTCATAATTGCAGATTTGAGTGGAATCTGCATTTAGCGGATTGCTGAGAGAATCAACCGCATAACCATACTAAGCATTTGGACGCTCTGGGCAGGAAACAATATGTTCTGATGTGTCATACTTCAAGCTTAGAAGTCAAAACAGACTTTTGGACCCCGGCTAAGGGACACACATCTGAGACTTAATTTGCCATGTCCTGCAAAAAATAGCTGTTTGCCTTGGGATGCTGAAAGAAGGATCCTTGCTTTCATGGCTTTGTGGGCCGCCATAGGGCTGAGCAGAGGCGGAGTACGAAAAATCCGGAGGCCGTGGTTGGCGCCTCAAAAGGAACCCTCAAGGAAGCCTTCCTTGCTGTCAAACCCAAAGGCTCCAACTTGGTGAGGATCACATGTCAAATGGCCCCTTCAAGGGCCCCTTACCTCACAAGGGACACTTATGGACCTCTGGAAACTTCGCCATTTAGAGGGATTCGGACTACATCCATGGCTTGATTGGAAGAACTCACCACTGGTCTATGCATTCAGTATTTACACCAAGTCTCACAATGCTTTCGCCATTTGAGTCTTGGCAACCTTTGGGGCACATCAACTCGCAACCTTGCTGATTTCAACTTGGTGTTGTGACCTTAGGCCTCATGAAGGTTCTTTGCAGGGTGCGCCGCTTATTTGACTGAGTCAACATGGGATAAATGGAACACTAGCTTTGAGGGTTTTGGTTGATAGCAATCATACTTTACAGCGACATTCATTTAACGAATCAGACACTCATGAAGGGTCTAAGTATGCTAGCTCTGACGGTATTGGTCATCTCAAATCAAAATACCCCTCATAAACTGTCCAAGTATACTTGTATAGAGGGTGCGACTTGCATTCCGCAACATCTGTTTTGCATTGGTCAACAGTCATCTGTTAGCGCGGTGCCTTTTCAGCCTGGTGGCATGAAAACTAGCAGGACCAGTTTGCCCAGAATACCAGCCACCCTGAGAAAGGGAGGACTTCAGTGGGAAGTGGGACAAACAGAAAGGCAGCGGGCGCAGCCCTTTTTGGGGGTGTTCCCTTTCGAGTGTAAAGGGAAAGCCCAAATGGAAAAACACCATTGAGTGGGTCCCCTAAAGAAAGACACTGGGCTTCCATTCTTGAGAGCCAATCTGAACCTGAGGTCCTGCTTGCAAATCACAAATAAAAGTAGCCCAGAGCCAGTATTTGAAGCAAGGGCTGTAAAGGAACCCAGGCTATGCACCCCAAGTATCGTCCTGATCTATGGCTGATACGTGGGATAGCGCCCAAATGTGGCTGGTAGCCAAATGATCTGACCCTTTCTGCAATTGCCCACATAATACTAATCGTATACAATATATACTTTCTCTCTCTCTTTCTCTCTCTCTCTCTCTCTCTCTCTCGCTCGTTCGCCGCCCTTTCTCTTTCTAGTTTTAGATTCAGCAGCGTCTTTGCTCGTCTGGGTGAACGACTTCCTCGAAATCACCTGGGTTGTAACCCAGGAATAACAAGGCTAACACCACTTAGAAGGACTCAAAAGTGGCTTATAGCTTAGGTCACCAACAACTTACCATCTTGGCCGACCACCCAAGTGGCCATGTAGTTTATCCGACATCATAAGAGTGCTGACTGCGGCATATGTAGCTCGCTGGCCTTTAGATGCGAGACAATTGCACGACATGAACAGCCGGTTTTGTCTCAGTCAAATAACTCATGGCTCCCAATGGACAACCACTTTGGCCACATGTCAGATATGGCCATTCCCCTTGTTTCATGGCAGTGGGTATGCCAAGGAAAAAGCACCTTTCGGTCTTGCTCTTTGTTACACAGGATTCGCATTTGAAGGGGGAAGGGGCGCAGGTTGGGAATCCGATCTGGGCGTCAGAAGCAAAACTTACAGATTGCCAGCCAATGGAAGCAGCTACATTCATGTTGGGCCCGGTGGCGGCCAACCCCGAAGCATGTGTTCAAAGCCCTGATGTTGGGCCCTATGTGCCGACCAGTCGCTCTCCCAGTGCCGGCCATGGCACACGCTGGCCGTGCTAAAATCAATGGGGACCAAAGGCCCCGACTGACCGCCAGCCTTTGAAACTCTCACCGATCTACTGATCCAGTGGATTGGACAGAAGAAGTACTCAATTGCTCTGTTTACCACTAGAATGGTCCAAAACCAAAGACTGGCTCAAGTCTCACTGAGGCAGTGCGAATTGGAGCCTGAACATGCCCCTTTTCTTATTTCGCAGTTTGGCCCGACCAAAGGGCAATTGAGTCATAATCAAAACCCGGTACTCAAATGGTCTACCCAGAATGTAAAGAATTCAGAAGGCTGGCGCAACCAAACTTACGGCTAGGATTGTCCCTTATTATCATTTGATACGCACACAAACCAAACAATCTTGGTTGACGTTGAAAGGGGGGAGCAAAAAGTATTAAGTTTTAGCAGTTAAGTGGTTGGGAAATCCAACCACTAAACCACAATAGGCAAAAGTGGGCAACATGTTTCCCAACAACAACCATGAACCAACGACTACAACTCGAGTGATCCCTTGGCTCCCCAGGTTCAGATATCAAACCATGGTTGAACAGGATGTCGATTCCTCCCAGGCGTTTCACCCAGTCTAGCCAGTTCTTTTCCTTTAAGGTCTTTACAGGGTGGCGAGTGGCACGCCCTTGTATGCAATGGATCCACTAATGAGGCATCAACCCCTAGTCCTCCATTTGCTTCAGTCCCCTGACAAACAAACAATATGTCCATCAGTGATAGATTCCCTTTAGAACAAACGGCGGGCAAATACTAAACAGGTTTAAACAAATGGATGTAGTGAGCAAAAAAAACAGGAACAAGATAGTAGGTAACCAGTTCTGTTCCGAGGGTACCAAGCCCTTGGTTACCTGCTACAAAGGTACATGGATCCACACATGCGGAATCAATGCTAGGTCCTCCATTTGCTGGAGTCTCCTGCGGGAAAAAGCACACGTGATTGAATTCCTTTAAAACCAAAAGGGTACAATAAAAACGTATTCTTCACCAAATCGAGTATAGTGAGCAAATTAAAGAGAGGAACACGCGGCAACAGGGGAACATACTAAACAGTTTCAACCAAGTGGACGTAGTGAGCAAATAAAAACAACGGACCAAGATGCGGCGGTGAAGCTGAGGTCTACATCGAATCCTGATGCCTACAGATCTGCGGCTCACTTCTGGAGGCGTTGCTCGCGGATGTCATCCCGAAGGCCGTGGTGGTAAAGCTGCCTCAGCGCGGCGATACCGCGGATGGACGAAATCGAGTTTGGCTACGGCCCTATGGCTATAAAGGCCCTATGGCTTCGGCTAGCACGTCCAGACATCATCACCCAGAGGGTCCAAATACTCCACGTTTGTGGTTTTGGGTTCGGTTCGGACTCGGAAACTCGTCAAATCGTTCGATTCAACTCAGATGCGCAGATTGATGTTGGGAGCTCATTGGGGATGGTGGCTGCTTCCCTTTGGGAGCTGACCGAGGCCAGAGCTGATGGTGTTGGATCTCACCGTCTTCGGCGAAGTGGTCGGTCCTTGCCCTGCATCCGATGTCTGGGATGTTGGGCTAGCCGAGTTACGTGGGAAAGGCCATCTGCTCCATTCAGGAAGACTTCTAAGGGCTGCAACTTAGAATACTAACCACTTGTTAACTTGGTCGAAGACCCAAGTACCCTCCCACCCCCACAAAATTGCCTGAAACCCCACATTTACGGTTTGGGGGTTGGCTCAGTGGAGAATTCGTCACATTCCCAAAACACTCCGTGCCCAAAAAGTGACTCAAGTCCCCGAAACGGGACTCACAGAGAAAGACCACTTTTCAGGTTCCCTATATGGCTATGAATTTTAATAAGGGACCCTTTGGTGGACATCATTTAGGTGGGGATTCATGTCCACCAATCACTTTTGAGGTGGTTCCCTATAAAAATTCATGGCCATATATTTGGGTGTTGCGCCAAGTTAGTAAGCTGCTAACTTGAGTTGCACCCAGAACCACGCTTCCAGAATTAAGAAGGCGGATATCCGCAGCTATTTATGGTCGGGACTGTCCCTCACCTGAGTATATGCCACTTTGAGTCCTCGGGACTGTCAGCCTTGTTATTACTCGGTTACACCCCAGACGGCGCTGTCCACTTGCAACGCATACCCTGTGCTCAAAGCCCTGATGTTGGCCCAACTCTCGGATATACCAATAATATATATATATATACACATGTTCATCTGCGTCATAATCAGTCAACCCCAACCCAGTGCTCCCAGTTGCAACACATGGAACACATGGGAATCAGGTAGTTTCTGGATGATGCGAGTGAACCCTAGAGCCGGTGGTTTCCCAACAAAACACAGACTTGATGTGAACAGGCCACCCTGCCACTTAGCTTCCTATCGGCTAAAGCAAAACCAATAAGTTACTTGATTCACGATAAAAGAGAAGCCCTGCAAGTGATCTCCTTCAGACCTGGCCCGGCTTGTTTGTTTGAGCTTGGAACGTATAGCCTTGAGTTTCAAGGGTAGAAATGAACGCGCGAGCGGGATAGGTTGTAATGTCGTCCATCTCTAAAAGTCTACGGCTGAGACTGCCAAGTTTTGATCAGGGCTTCTCATATGTCCGCTTTAAACATTACCCACAACGGAACTCAATGATAATTCCCAGCCCAGAGGTAATGCTTCAACCACGCCAGAAGAACTAGCACGACCGCTGTAAAATGACTAATGGATTTTTGTGAGGGTATATTTATTGACCACCCAGTCGGAGCTTTTGTTTCAGGATACTTACTTGGTTCCTGCTTCACAGGAGAGCAAAACAGTGTTCCCCATAATGATTTACCCTGTAAGAATCACTCAACCAAACACATGCTCACTTTAAACCGGCCCAAATGCTGACGTTCAAATCAGCAAAAAGGCACACATACTGTGGATGGCCGAAATCCTGCAAGAAACCCTGGAATTATGAACCCCACCGTAAAATACCAACCAACCAACCCCGGTTTCTTAGGTGGTCTGAATTGGAGTTCAACCCTCCAAAGTAGGAAACCCTGCCAACATCCTTGCCTCCATTTGCTGAAGCCCCCTGCCAAAAACACAGCATCTCAGAGTGATACATTGCCTTTAAAACCGACAAGGTTTAATAGAACATATTCATTTCAGCTTGGATGGAAAATAAAACATCTTCTTAAGCAGCTGGGCCTCCTCGGGGCTTCCATGCGCCAAACTCACCTCTTCCGCTACCTTCCCCCGGCTCCTGCCTGGCTCACCCGAGGAATGTCGTCGGTTCAGAGAATCTGAGATCCGGCGACCGTGTTGCACTGGGTTCCTCTTCACCCGGAGCCAAAGGTTTTTTCCCATGTCTAAGCCTGTGTCGGCTTAATGGAAAAAACACATTGTTTCCAAAAGGTGTAACAGGGATCCGGATGCATTATACACCTGAACATTGCCTTGTAAATGGTGGTGTCCCTTCATTTTGGTGTTGAAAAAGCCATGTTTCAAATAGTGGCAAGATGTATCCTTGAAGGAGCCCTGTGTAAGGGGCCAAGGAGTTCTAAGGGGCTAAGGTTACGCCAATGATCAGACATGATGTGGTTGAAATGAGGGGGAACTCACCTCTCGAGATTGGCCAAATTTCTAGGTGCCCGAAGACATGAAGAAGTATCAAGCCTCGTTTGATTTTCTTTGGGTGAAATTAAGCGAAGACGTGAGCCATACTTAGCACCCAGAGAAAGAAACAGTCCAAACTTTTTGTTTGCCGAATTCTTCCCCAAACAAGTTGTTGTTTAGGCTTAGGAACTCGGGGAGTAAGGAAAACTTGGTCGACTGAGTATTAACAAAAAACACATAGAAAGGGGTCAAGCATCCCTAGACCGATGGTTGCTTGAGGATCAAAGAGGTCAAAGTATCCCAAAAACTTGAAATCAAGTGATGCCCATAAGGCCAAAAGAAGTCTAAGTACACGTGGACCCGGAACGTTGTCGAACATCTGAAAAAATGCCAAAGACGGGAAACTCGTGCAACCCTGCCGGGTCCCTGATAAACCAACACCCACCTCAAACCCACCCAAACTTAACCGATTCCCATAAACAATCATGGCAGGAACCCAATTTAGACAATTACAATCCTGAACGGTAAACACTGGTTAAAGGTGTGTCCTAAAATGGGGATCAACGAAATTGGTTGGTTACTCATTAGTTTCCCTTTAAACCACCCCAAAAAGGCTACCATGGGAAAGAGACACTTTCATAGGGGGGACCCATATATGAACCCAACCGTTGCTTGCAACTGGCTGGCTGCCTGAATTTCAGGACCACCTACTTAAAGGGACAGGGTACTTAGTAAGTGGTTAGTAAGCCTGGTTACAGTCCACTTGGGAGACTTGCAACCACCGTAAGTGGGATATAACGATGGTTATTACCCGCTTACCTGACGTACCCGAATCCATTGCCCCTGCAAGTTTCGGCCAAGGCATCCGCATCCAACCTGGGCTGCCCTCAGATCCCCCACTAAATTAATTGTCAGTGGGTCACTGGACACTAAAATAATCTAAAAAACTAAGTTGAACCGGATGGCCTCCGGCTCGCCACCAACGAGAGAATCCAATCCCACTCCCCCCGTCCAACAAAGACCGAGCGAGCGATTTCCCGTCTTCGCGTCCGCCGCCCGTTTTTCGCCGCCGCCGCGCCCATCCAATCCCAATCCCCCCGTCCAACCGACCGAGCGAGCGATTCCGCCTTGCTGGGCGCGGTAGGCCTCGTAGAGCTCGGGGCACACGAAGTAAACTCGCCTGGCCTTCTCGGCCGACAGCACCGCCCCGATCCTCGCGAGAGGATCCGAACCCGAAAAAGCGAGGCACACAGCGAGGCAGAAATCACCGGAACGGGCGGGACATCGAAACAGCGCCCGGGAACCCGTGGAATTTTTGGGAGTCAACAAAAATGACGACCTAGAGTCTCCTTCTGACCCTTTAAAAATGGTTGGTCAGTACCTATAATGGGGTCATGGACACTCCAGGCAGTTGCGTCCTGTTGATTGGCATTCACAACCCTCCATTTGCGGTCTTGTGTCCAGGCAGAAATGAAGATCTGTCCAGTAGTGATAGCTTCCCTTTGAAACCAAATAGAAGAGAATAACACAACCGAATGACCCCCGTTTTTGACCCCGGACATCAGGAGGTAGCAAGGGACCGACTCTGAGTATAGGCAACCGAAGGGTGCCTCGGTACCGAAATACTTTGCGGATTCGAGATGAATCTGTGTGAACCAAACCCAATACTGCACGTAGGCAGCAAAGAACCCTCTGGGTATGGCTTGGGCTGTGCCTTTTTCAGGCTGCCGCGAAACTGGGAATTGACCGATCCAAATGGTGCGGATCGTGCTCTTTTCAGGGGAATGTTGACCCCGGATTTAGCAGAACTCCTTGTGGGGAGTCATCACAATGGGAGGCTCTTCCCGGCCACTACCAAGCTTGCCAGCGCCAAAGCCTGCCCAAGGGTGGCCGCTGAGGCTTCGCAAAATAGCCTTGCAATTATTGCATGCCTCTCTCTTTCTCTCTCTCTCTCTTTCCTACTAATTGGGCGTGCTTACGAAATATTATAGGGTCAACATTACCCTTTTAGACAACACGAAGGGAGTTTGACATGCACCCCGAACAACATAGAAATAGATGGGTGCTCAGTTTGTTGTACGATTCCTTTGGGGGGTGACTTTTTGCGGAGAAGCAACATGAACATCAGCATCAAATACGTTCATACATACCCAAACGCACCCAATTGCTTTCCTTGAAAATGGAGCTCACATTGAACAAGTGGCCAAACACCGGGGCTTGCCGTCTACTTGGACAGGCATTTGCTTGAACACCCACGCACGGTTGCTGCGACAGTCCGAACCAAAACGGAAAGTTGCGTTTCCGAGGCGCCTCTTTGCGGGCAAAGGCGCCTGCGGGCACACGCTCGGCAAATGTGTGGTGTTGCCACAAAAAATGGCCTCCCCAAATAGTGACGAAAGTCTTCAACTCAGGGAGGAAGACGCGGAACCAAGAAACATCTCAGGTACAGAAATCTTCTTTTCAGGGACCTCTACGTTCTAATCAAGCCATCTGAAAATATCCAAAGGTCCCTTAGTTCCCGTTGACTTACATGGATGTTTGATAGGCCAAGCATGGCCAAGCTAGTAAGTGGAAAAGGCTACATCTGGTATAACTTATTCACTAATAACGAGGTTAACTCCACTTGTGGGACCTCAGGTGCACGACTTACTAACTTGGCAAATGGAACATCCAATGTATCACGGTGGCCACGCGCGGTAGGGTCCACCATCCATCCCGTAAACCGGTCTTACCATGGCATGACTTCACCCGTCCTAAACGAAGATCCGGTTGCAAAGGTCCGCTTTCTGAAAACTGGTTTGGAAATACAGCCATCCCGCACTTTGGGGAGGAATGGCCTTTTGAACGTCAAGTGCAGCGAATCGCTCGAGCTCAATCTCGCCAGGTCTATGGCAAGTGAGAACCATGCGTATTAAAACACGCAATAGAATTACATGTGCATGATATAATCACTTCCTGGGTTGATGAGCCCAAACAACTGCAAACTGGTTGTTTGCCCTGGAAATGGTCCAGACCCAGAAAGTGACTACAGTACAAAACGGAACTCGGGGAGTGAGGTATACTACCTGTCGAGTTACCAGGGAAAGCCATCATGTAAAACCAAGAAGCAAGAATACCTTGGTTACCTGGTATAGTGGTAGCTGCTCGCACAGGGCTATATAATGTTGACCCCATATGAATCAACCCCAGTTTATTAATAGGGGGTGTCCCTGGGTTTAGTGGGGAATCATCACTTTTGGAGGCAACACTCCCCTATTGATAAACAGGTTGGTTGATTCATATGGGGCCCACAGTACGCATGGCAAACCGCGGAACATATGACTCGTTTCGACTGGGCGAACGGCCAACTTCTGGGCCTGATTGCTCCAATGAGCCAAGGCTTGCTCTGTGGCCGACTCTTCCGTGTCCAGCAGCGGACTACCTGCACGACCCCCCTATCTTGAGGGGGAGGGTGGGGTGGGGTGTGTGTGTGTCCCCCATTTCCATTTTGCTACGTAGTCTTCCGCACACAAGGGAACATAGAAGCATAAATTGATTCGGGGGGTCCCCCGATTCCATTTAAAAGGGGGCGGGGATGTTTGGAGCTCACACCAAATCCGGCATGGCGTGACGTCAGTTCTCAGGCTTTTTTCCATACCAAAAACCCGCCGAAGAAACATGGAAGCATAGGAAGCCTCCCTTGAGAGCAAAAAAACAAACCACTATTGTCGTCTGAATATGTTTGATACCTAGTTTGGAAGGAGACCCCTTATATGCTTGTTGGCGGGAGGGTATCCATTTTGGGACTTGGCTTAAAGAAAACCGAAAGGAACCCACTCGCTTTAAGACAGAGACAAAAAACGCAAACCCTTCTGATGGTGTGACCTCCCTTGCGCTGTTAACTTAAAGCCAATACAGGGGTCCTCGATGTAGAGACACGCACATATGCAGGTGTACAACCCACCTGAGTGTGTAGGGGTCAATACACATATAGTAGCTCAAACAGAACCTACACGATCTGCGAATTCTCCAGGTCCGAATGTAGGCACAGTGCGTAGCTTCAAAAAACAATACAAGTCTGGGCTGCCCTCAGACCCCCCACTAAAAGTTTAGCTTTTGGTGGGTTAAATTCGGAAACTACCACTGGACACTAAAAGGCTAAAAAGCTAAGGAACCGCATGGCTGGGAGCCACCAAGAAATCAGACCCTCAAAGCCATAAGAGCTTAGAACCAAAGAGCGATGATGCCGATGGCACACAGGCAAAACATGGAAAAGCCAAACATTGGCATGCTCCTGAAGCGAGGGATCGCACGATCAAGCAGCGGAAAAAGAAGGACATGGTCCAAGCTGGCAGTTCAATGAAAAGTCCTTGTCCTTGTGATTCCCAGACATGGGACTGGGAAATCATTCAAGAAGCGAACACAGTGGAAACCCATGTGGGCGTGTTTTTGTTGAGGGCACCCCCTTTCTTGGTGGTGTTAAAGGGAAACCATTTTGGGGTCCAAAAGAAAACAAATCCGTACAACGATCTTCATTTCTGAGCCCAGCTTCGGGACGTCTGTGATCCATACCCCACTTGACCCCTGGGCCCTGGAAATGAACTAATCATATTCTGGGACCAAAGGACCAAAGACATTGACCAAACTCATGTCAGGTCCAAAAGGACAACTGAGGGTAAGCAAGTACTTTGACCCAGAAACATGGGCTTTGCCGGAGAAGACACCTGAGTCTTGCCCTGTCTCTCAGTGTCGCACGGACCTTTTCCCATGGACCTCCTTTGACCCCTTGCTTCTGACACCTAGAAGTCCCTCAGGGTAGGTACCTCCGGGGTGGAAAGTTGAGAGCCCCGTTCCTTGAAGCCTCAGAGCTCCTTGGACCGCCACTTCCCTCACCGACCGAGCGAGCGGATGGGCCACACGCCGGAGCTTTCGGTTTACCGCCGAAACGGCCCGGCCTTCCCAAAAAGCGACTCAAGTCTGAATGGTACGGAATAGAAACCATCAAAAAGAAGAGTAGAATGGAAAATCGCAAGACTTGGTGGTAGACAACCGTGTACAAGTAAATCATTACCACTTTCAAGAAAAGATAAATGAGAAGAAAAATGAATTTCGCCCAGTCTCTCAGTGTCGCACTGACCTTTTCCCATGGAAACAAAAAGAGGTGCTGACTTCCAGGAACTCAGCCGAGTTCCCGACTTCAACTCCATGCCCCAAAAATGGCCCGAGCCATGGCCCCCCTCTCGAGTACTAGTAATAGTATCGACTTTTTCCGCTCTTTGTATGTAACTTGTTCCGCTCTTTGTATGTAACTTTTACGCTCTTAGTCTTTACTAGGCTGGAATTCGACCCCCAGCAAAAGAACATATGTTTCTTTGCCTGGTTCGTGGAAAACAAAGAGAACCCCAAGAAAAACGCCAAAGGGGAGCTACTTCTGGGGAAAAGTTTCATGGTCCCTTAGTTTGACCGCTCCCCCCTCGACTCGCCCCGAGCGAGCTCTCGCCACTCGCCCCGAGCGCCTCCCTGGCTCATGGAACTGGGCAGCGAGAGGTAGACCAGGGCGCTGATCACCAAGCAGCAGGCGGAGACTTCGTAGGGCAGACCTGGCGGCGACGATTCGGCTGCCCGGCGGGCGCGTCTTTTTGTAGCTCCGTTCCCTTTGTGGGCGAAGCCGCTTCTAGCCTTTAAACAGACATGCCCAGAGGACGTTCCCCCGTTTTTGGGCGAAGCCGAGTCTAAAACCTTTAAACCGACGTTCCCAGAGGGCCCGGAAATTTCAGGCGATCACCTTCTCGCCGTCCCTTTTTGAGGCGACGGCCGTCTTGTTTTTGTTGGTGGGCTTTTAGAGGGCAAACACTTTTTTTTTGGGGGGGTCCCTGAGTACTTACAGGGGCGAGCGGGTACTTAGTAAGTGGTTAGCAAGCCTGGTTATAACCCACTTAAGAGACTTATAGTATTATAACCATTGTAAGTGGGTTAACCAGGCTTACTAACCACTTAGTAAGTACCCTGCCCCTATAGGCGGGTGTAGGTTCGGTACCCCGTTTTTTGGTGGCTTTAAAGGGGAATCACAAGCAATACCACCATTTTTATTTGGGGGCGGGGCCCTAAACACAACACAACAACACATGTGGATGTCGTCTTTTTTGGGCTTGGATCCCCCTAAATGGGCAAACGTTCTTCCTGTTGGTTTCCTTCGGAGAACGATTTCTTTTGAGGGTTCCCAAAATGGTTTGTTTCCTGTTGGTTCGGTTTTGGTGTCCTATTCTGCAAATACCAACCAAAAGCGGGTTGGAAAATGAAAGACGCACAAAATATGACCCTTTCAGGCAACTTCAAAAGGGTACCCTCAAAAACAGCCGGAACCAAATGACGCAAAAGGGACCAATTGGGCTGATTTGGGCTGTATCGCCTTGTGGGAAATATGTTCAAGGGTGTCACTATAGATACGGGTGTGGTTCCTTTTTCTTGGTTGGATCCCGCAAAATGGCAAGGGTTGTTTGGTTGGTTTCCATTTAAAAACCACAAACAGCGGCTGCCGTGCATCAAAAAAAGACGAGCCGCCCATGGTCTCACGGTGTCTTTTGGGAACTTACTTAATGGAGGTTTAGCGAGTCATGGATCGGATTTGAGGGTGTCCTGTAAGGTTGGGTTCTTCATGGGCCACCAAAAGGAAGTTTGCTGGGCTACACCGAGCACTTGATCCTGCAATATGTCTATGACTTGCATCTCTGGACGGACGTGGGCTCCAAGCGTAGCCTGGGCACGGGAGTGCCCATCAGATTGATGATGACCGGCTCCAGATTTAGCCCTGTCTACTGGAAGCTAGCCATAGGGACTCCCTCTTGAATGCCCCAGCCCATTTTGGGTACACAGAAATCAGATTGTCTGACTCTGTTCCATAAGTCTACCCTAAAATAAAAGACATGTATTGAATGAGACTGGGATGGAACTTAAAAGGGACCTCGCCTGTCCAGCTACCACTCGGTGGCAGGCCAGCATATTGCCAGCTTCGACATGATGAGTGCCTCTGGTTACCTACCACAGTGCTTTCAGATACCACTAAGTAGCTAACCAAAGAGAACCACCATGTGAAACAGGGAGAAAAACATACTTGGTTACCTACTATAGTGGCAAGTGGAAGCACTGGAGTACTATAGGGGCTTGTCTGGATCTAGGTCAGCTAGGCAAAAAAATAATCCTCGGAAGAGGAGCTTAGCATGAAGTTTGGGTGCCGTATTTGTTGGATGCTGTGAAACAATGGTTGGGCTCACATGATTGGAGTTACGCCCAGTTATAGAATGTATATTTTATTGCCTGCTTCACTTTGAGTCACTGGAAAAATGTAAAATGTATCCTAAGTCTACCCCAGTTCATATTTCACCACCCTCTTTGTCAGGCCTAGGTTGAAAGGTCTACGCGTATACCCTGGGATTCAGTTGCCACCAATAAAGCAATGGGGCTTATATATGCCACCACGATTGTTTATGGTTCAGGATTGTCATCATCTTCCCAACCCTTGGTGTGGTCTTGCAAAGAACTGGAACCACAAAGCCAAAAACAAACAACTTGCCAAGAATAAACCATCCAACTGGTAGTTTGCTTTGAGGGGACCAACTTTCTTGGTTCATTCCATTTCCCATTCCCTACCCATCGCAAGCAGCAATATATATATATATATAGATATCGCCGTTGTTGAAGTCAGCTTTTAGGTTTCTTTGTTCTTTGGTAGGGGGCTGCAAAAGAACAGCTCCTGGTGGTTTCCTTTAAGGGGACCAATTCCTGGGTTCATTTTATCATTCCTACTGAGGATGAACCACCAAACCTGGGGAAGACTTTAGATGCTGGAAAACCGTTGTTGGAGTTAGCCTTTAGGTTTCTGAACATCAAACTGGTGAGTTCATTCCATTTCATGTCTCATTCCCAACTGAGGATGAACCAAATTAGTACACAATTAAACCAACGGGTATGCAAGCAACCAACCAACCAACCAACCAACCAACCAACCAACCAACCAACCAACCAACCAACCAACCAACCAACCAAGCAACCAACGCGGTTGGAGAAAAAAAAGGGACAAAGGTGGACAACGCCCCAGCCAACTTTTCTCTCCCGTCGCACGCCTAGGGAGTCCACGTAGATGGCGCCCCCCACCAGCGGGCCCAGGGAGTAGCCGAGGTTCAGCAGGCCCTGCGCGGTGCCGTAGACCGCGCCCTGCACGGAGGGCACGCGGGCACCAGGCGGGGTAGTTGGCTCGTTGTTCGAGGGAACTTCCTGGTTTTGGTGGGGTTTTTTGGAGGGTACTTTCTTTTTTGGGCGGTTGTTTGAGGGTGCTTCTCTTTTTTGGTTTTTGTTTTGAAGGTACTTTATTTTTTGCGGGTTTTTTGAGGGTGCTTCCTTTCTTGGGCTTCTGTTAAGGGACACCACTACCTTGGGGTGCCAAGGATTCTCTACTTCAAGGGGCGATCGATTCAGTACGTCAGGCAAGTGGTCAGTACTTAACCATGGTGAGAGAACCCACAAAAGCCTTGGGTATAAGTCTCCGCCCAGTGTGTTATCTCACCAGGCTTACCAACCACTTACCTGTCCCCTACCCCTTTTAAGTATTTGGAATACAGAAATCCAGGACGACCTGCCTGGCCACAGGGTGCAAGTAGAGGGTCCAAGTTTATTAACATGATTACTCCATATTTGGCATGCCCGTGCCAAGGGACCTCCAGTTTGAGGGTCCAAGTACTCAATAGACATGGTTGGTTTGGTTCTCTGCGTCGAATTTCTAGATTAACTCAAATCCGCAAATTATTTCGGTACCAAGCTCTCTTTGGGTGAGTCCGAGGTTGTGGACAATTTAGTGAGCTCGCGAACCATAGACAATTCAAAAGAGACCCTCCGGGTAGGAAGTCCCCCGTTTCATTTGTTTGTTCAAAGATTACCCCGCTGACCCCCCAGACCAAACCCCAAAGAAGACCTATGACAGCTCTCTGATGCCTAAGGGGTATGTTCCGGGGGTCTGTCAGTGCAACCGTTGAGCTTTCTCACCCGTTCTTTACCGTTCAGAACTGTCATCATCTAAATGGGGTCCCCTTTGGCCATGCTTTGGATTGGACTTGGTTGAAACCTTAGGGTCGCATCGTCAGGAAGTCCCCACGTTTTCGCTTGTGCTTGATCAATATTCTGTTCGGCCCCGAAATGTGGGTGACATGTGTCCCATGCGGTTGACTTTTTCTCGTGGTTTTCAAACCCTCCATTTGCTTAAGTCCCTTAGAACAAATAAACAATATGTCCAGTCGTGAAATCGATTCCCTTTAAACCAACAGGGAAAATAACAAAACATTCTGAACCAAGTGGAAGTACCTGTGGATCTGTGGATCAACCCCCATATGGTTTCTCAAAATAGGGGGACCCCTTGGATGGCTTTAAAGGGAACCATGTTGAGGAGTTTTCTCCAGTAACTTTTACCATGTGGTTGAAACATATGAAACCCTACGTGTAGGGTCTGGGAAAGAAGCCCCCCCTCCCACGGTTCTCACCTTGTTCTCCCCCCACCTCCCCGGTTTTCGAACAAATACTGCCCAGGTGGTATCTCCAACAGCGGCACCCTCCCTGAAAGCTGCCCCAGAGCCTTTGGGCAAAGACCCCAAAACACTTTCCGCTGTTCCTAGAGTCTCTTCTGACCCTTGGAAAATGGTCTGAACCCTTAGTACCCGGCAAAGGTTTTCGCGTTTACCCCATGAGAATCCACAATGGGCATCCTTTCCCTTCAGCCGCCCCCCCCCCTATTTTGGGGCGTTTTGAGTTGCACGCCAAAACCAATTACCTGGAGTCTCCATGACCCGAATGAAAAATGGTTGGTCATTCCCCAAAATCATGGTTGGTCGTTGACCCATTTTGGCTTCGGGTCAGATTTGGAGACTCCAGGTTCGCGGGTTTGCTCGCCCGCGCCTTTTTTTTCTCACCGAGCGCTTCTCGCCCCAGCCCCCCGGCTTTCCAAAACAAAACTCCGCCGACGTTCGAGGCCTGGCCTGGTGGCGCTCAGGTACCAGGCGCCCCACGAGGCTGGTCTTGGTGGCCACCTCCACGATGGTCACGGAGCAGCCGAAGAGGGCGCTGTACCTCGAGGGCTAGGGCCGTTTTGTTTTAACCTTTTGACCGTATATTCTATGGGTGAAGACCTGGGATCCATCACCTTAGGCACTTTTTGTTGACCGGACCAATAGGTCGTTTTATCTTTATTTTTTCCTATTTTCCGGATTCTACTGGGAATTTCTCACGGATTCTAGGGGGAACTTCAGTTGAATTTGACCGGTTTCTACCTGGGTCTTCGATTCGACATGTAAGTTGTTGGCTCCCTAGCTTCTATCCCGCCGTGTCTCCCGAAGTGGAGTTGACCTGAATATTAGTGCGTCAGAACCCAGGTGGCCATTTCCACCTACGAACTTGGCCGAACATCCAGGGAGATTGTGAGCGCAATTTGATGGTTAGGGGAAATTTGGAATCCTTCCTTGTGAAGGGAAACCTTTGGGAAAAACAAAACCGTTGCCATTTTGAATGGCTTCACTTTGACTGTTTCTGGGGTACCTGGGCCCTGGGGTCAAAAAATGACTGCTAGGCAACTTGTTGTTACCACACTGGCCCAAACCCCAACGATCAAGTCCGTAAACTCAGTGAATAGTAATATATGGGTTTTCCTCTTGCGATGGCTCTGGAAAGAACCAAGCATGACCCGTTCAGGGTCCCTTGGTACCCCCCCCCACCCAATTTTATTGTTTTGGGCTTTGCTCATTCAATTCGACAAATGCAGATTCAACTCAAATCCGCCAATGATTTCGGTACCCAGGGACCCTTTGAGTGAGTTGCGTGTCTTTGTTGTAAATTTAGCGAGCTCCCCCCCCCCCAACTTTTCCGCGCTCTCAATTCAACCACAAACAAATTTATAAAGTCGACGATTAATTTGACCAAGCTCATATTGCGAGTTGCCACATGTCTGTTTCCAATCCACACATCAACCATGCACAGCATCCAAAGCAGCGGCCTGGCACTGAGCTTTGGTTGGCTTTAAACAGGGATCCTTACATGAAAAACACCTGAACATTGCAACTTGTAAATGGTGGTTTCCCTTTGTTTTGGTGTTGAAAAAGCGACATGCTTCAAATGGTTGCAAAATGTATCTTTTAAGGAGCCCTGTTAAAGGTAAGCCAAAAGGGGCCTGCATTTCTTGGGGGATCCGATTCCTAAAAGGAAACACACACATGCACACCTGCTAAAGGGTTTTAGCCTTTAAAGCAAAAGGACCTGTATCTTGGGGATCCGATTCCTACACAAAGGAAGCACACATGCACACTCATCTGCAGCAAGTCCTGGCAAGGTGCAAATAAGGCGTCCACCATTCACGGCAAAGGCTCATCAACACCTCACGTCAAAGGCATGCTGACTTCATCTCGCTTGCCCCTTGACCTGGAAATAAAAAGGGAAACCTTGGCACCTGGACAAACCGTGGATCAACATGGAAAAACCAACAGGTCTTGCACAGCTGAGTGGACCGGGGTCAGCGTCGCATGGTTGGACATTCACCCAGAAGAATCTGCGGGGGGAACAAAAAACGGGGGAGAAAAAAGAAACAAGGCTGTGGCTCAAAAAACCGGGTACCAAAATGGGTTGCCCTGGTAAGTGGAAACGTGGACCAAAACCTGCGGTTTGCCCCTCCGATCGTTTAATTTTGAGAACCACACCCACAAAAAAACGTCGCATTGGGTTGGACATCCCAGAAGAATCTGCGGGGAAACAAAAAAAACGGGAAACAAAAAGAAACAAACACAACAAAAACTCCAATAGGAACCCGCCTTCCAGGAGACGTGTGAGGCTCTGGCTGGTTGTGCATGGGCGTACTACAAAGAAGACCTCCAAATGAGCGGCCAAAATGACTCGTGTCCCTGAGCCGACAATAGACATCGGACACCAAACCTCATAGCTGACCCTGGATTCCAAATGGGCGGCTCGTCTTTTTCGGAGTTGGTACCCCGTGCTTTTGGGAAGTTGAAGGGAAACCATGTTCAATAGTAAACCATACTTGTTTGGGGTCCGCTTGAAAAAGACGCACGATTGCCCTTGCAAGCATTTCTTAGAACCCTTTGATTGAGACCCCTTCAAGGTGTACTTGTCTTTTAAGGAGATACCAACTGGGCTGTTCTAACTCAGTGGCTATTGTCCCCCAGTGCAAAAAGCACTTGAATGGGGAAATGAACAACATGAAAGGGACCCCTCCCCCCCACCACTTCAACAAAAAGCTAGCAAAAGTACCGCTGGAGCTCTGTATGTGCTTAAGGGCACCCATTGCTTTTTGTTGAGGAAACAACCCATTTTAGATGCCGTGTTTGGAATAAACACTCGGAAACCCAGAAAATCATAGGTTTCCAAAGGAAACCCCACTGAGTCCAACATGGTGGTTTTGCTGTAGAACCCAGGAAATGGGCGGTGTTCCTGTGGAATTTGCAGGAATTGCAAAAAAAGTAGGTTTTCCTATAAAACCCAAACTGGCGGTTTTCCTACAAAACCACATAAAAAGGCAGTTTTCCTATTCAACCCCAAGAAATTGCGGTTTTCCTATGGAACCACAAAAAAAGGCGGTTTTGTTATGGAACCCAAGGAAATTGCGGTTTTCCTTATGGAACCCCAGGAAATTGTGTTTTTTCCAGGAAATGGCAGTCTTCCTATGGAACCCCACAAAATAGCGGTTTTCCTATAGAACCACAGGAAATCTACGGAACCACAGGAAATTTGCGTTTTATTGGAATTGCAGGAAACTGCGGTTTTTGTATCCCCAGAAATGGGCGGTTTTCCTATGGATGGGCGGCTAGGATATGGGTGGTTTTCCTCTGGAACCAACAGGAATTGCGGTTGTCCTTGCGTTTTCTTTTGGTAAGCAACCAGAAAGCGAACCCAACGACACGAAAAACCGGCCGAGACCCGGAGCCGGATCCGAGCGGCCATGATGCTGGAGGAGCAAAGGGAGAAGAAGACGCAGCAAAGCTTCGGCGGGAAGAGGCCCACCTCTCGCGTGCTTCGGTTCCTGTCCTTTGTTTGAAGTGGGGGAAGCCTGTTTTTTTTTTTTTTTTTTTTTTTGCGTTTTTCAAGGGTAGCATGCCAGCACTCCTTCATGCCTGTTGAATGGCTTGTGAAGTGAGGGGTTTATAAACGGCTTATTGAAAGACACAGTCATTGTTTAGAAAATGCCTATTAAACCCAACATGGCCAGCAAATTATTAACATGCGCCTGTTCTGGGTAGTACCCTCCTCATCTTCCGTTTAAAGGGACCCCGAACGTCAGGCCAAGTTAATTGGTGGGAGGGTAACCACCTGAGCTCACAATCAAAGCCCCAAATGAAAATGGTCGATCCCCAGAAAATTGTAACTAGTTACCAGGCGGCCGCTGGGCTTGTCCCTTATACAAACCTTCGTCTACCCGGCTGTGATTGTGGTGCACCTCATCTCGCTTGCTGCGGTTCCTATCCTTTTTGTCCTGGGGGTTTGTAACAGGCCTATCAACAGACAGCTCACCTTCACAATCCTTGGTATGGGCTTGCAAAAAAGCTTCGGTTTTTGCAGCCCACTACTAAAAATGAACAGAACCAAAAACCAACAACAAAATACTTGCCAAGAACAGTGAAGTCACACATGGCCACGATGCTGTTTAGTTTTCAAGGGTACAGAAGGTAAGCGGGAAACACATGCCAGCACCCCTTCATGTCTGTTGTTTGGCTTGCGAATGCTTGTAAAGTGACCCCTTTTGGATTATTTGGGAGCCCGGTTGGTGTATATTGCCGAAAATAGGCAACCCCGCAAAAATGTGGTGTCCTTTTGGTTTTCCTTCAAGCCAACCCCAAAAAGGATACCCTCAAAAAAAACTACGCCCATATACACTCCCGCGAGCTAACATGGAGGGAATCAGAAGGCTTCTGTAAATGGAACCACGTCTTCCAAAAGGGGTCCTGGGAGCTTGCATATTAGTCAAGGAGAGGGTAGCGGTAGCACCATCACTCCATTAACACGGTACCAACTCAGTCGGCTTGCACTTCGCATCTGAATGCGGCAGGTATCATTTTTTGGGGCGCCCCAAAAACATCATTTACGAGTTTCGAACTTCCCAGTTGCGGGGTTGCCCTGGAGACAGAGCCCATCCGCCCCCATCCCCCAATCTTGGACTGGGCGCCACGTAGGGTGCCAGGGTACCCCAGAGCAGACCTCAGGTTGAGTGGGCGAAAGGAAATACTGTGGATGGACGAAATCCTGCACCGCTTTGAAACCATAAGACATCATTGCGGGTTGGCATTTACAGGCAAATTATCATTTCATGGTTTCTCAGGTGGTGCAGGATTTCGTCCCTCCACAGTATCGCTCATTAACTTGGAGTTGGAAAAGGAATCCGCATTTTTGGGGCAACCCGAAAAACAGACACGCTCATAAATTTAAGGGTTATAGTTGCATAAGGTTTACATCAGAGTTGTACAAGCGTCGCGTGGGTGTGAATCTTAACAAGGGACCCTGTCGTGGACACCGTTAGCTGGGGGATTTATGTGGCCCAACCTCTCTGGCTCCTTGTTAAAACGCATGACTGTGCAAAGAGTCAATGCCTTTGCCCAATGGATCGCAGGTATAGCCTAGCTCACAAGGACTAGTCCCTGGGTCCCTTTCATTTCATCGCACTGTTGGTTGTGCCCCAGGCACTGGTGCGTTTGCCTCGCCGGAGGCTGGCTGAGCGCGCGTGGCGGGCCAAGAGGCTTGAGCGCAGCTGGGCCAAATGGCATGTGTCTCGTTCTTTTGGGGGAAACCTTTTTGTTCAGAGCTTCAATGTCCCGCCTGCAGGTCTTTGCATATCACTCCTGCCTGTTTCCTGTCCCAATTGCAAGGTTTGAATCAACTCTTTGCTCTTTGCAAGTAGAACTTCTTACCAGGATCCATCGATATTAAATTCTACTCAAAGTCTAATTAACTTTAGCTAAGATTCTTTTGGAAAATAACATCACGTTCTTAATCTGAATCCCCATGTTTTGTGAAACCATTTCCCTATTCAAACAGAGTCCCAGTATTGTCAACCACCATTGCTTGTCTCTTCCTGACCTGTCCTGATAGATCCAATGGCATAGTGCACCGTGGCACCAGCGGGGCCTTTGTCCCTCACGGACACAACTCTCAAGTTATTTTCAGACAAAGAAAGATGTCATCAGCCGGAGAAGTCTTCACGGAGGCCTACCGAAGTGCAGGCGCAAAGGAAACAATCACCCTGTCAATGACTGCCAAGTTGCCGCCATTGTGCGACGGACGTGTCAGCTGGCTCAAATATGAGGAGCTTGTAGATGACTGGACCACGTTCAGCCAAAAAAGTGGATCTTCTCGAGAGAAGACTGCACTCATGTAGCGAGAGTTGCTCGACAATGATCAGCTCAGAGACCCCATTCAATTGAAGGAGTGAACTACTCCAAGTACACGCTCAAGCAGTATTTCTTGAAAGGAGCCACAGAGACTCCCCAAGCTGCTTCAACCACAGAAGAAACAACAACGAGTTCCTCACATTCACTTCAAAGTTTGAGATTTTGCTGCGGAGACGCACGTCCGGCAAAATCCTGGGTGTGACATTTTGCATTGACCTCTGGCGGCCAGTGCGGATGGGCATAGAATCATCGCCATGTTGGCCTTGTATCCAGAAAGCATCCCGTGGCTCATCTTCTAGGACCGGAACGCTCAAGGTGCGTCTCTGGATCCAGAAGCACCCCCTGACATACCCAAACACATACTTTCTACACAACTAGCCAGACTCAACTGACCTTTGGTACGTATACCTTTTGTTTCCTTTTTGGTGGTCCTTTTCTTCCTATCAAGCAGCAACAAGTTAACGTTTTCCAGGGGGTCTAAGTCTGGCTTAATACAGGGCAGTATTCTTTTAAGGGACCGTTTGTTTTCATTCCATGTTGATTTGCAGGGGGTGGGTGGGTTTTCCCTTGGCTTCCCGTTTCAACCACCCCAAACAGGGTAACATCAACAACAAAACACACCCAAACAGAGGACTGATTAAACCAACGGACGCTTGGAGTTTTGCCCGGAAGCGAGGTATCTAGGGTGGATCGAAGCCAAACTGGGAGCGGATTCATCCGTCTTTATGGCTAGTATTGCAGGGACAAGCGGGGATAGATGTGCACAAGGGCAAAACGTCTCCTTATTTGCGTACAGGAAATAGAAATAACAGGTCAACCGTTTGAGAAATGGGCTAGATGTGAACCAAGACAGGAAATTCAGGTCAAAAGGTCGACTCGCTGTTGGGCAACTGGCTTCACAATTTGTCCTCTTATGGTCAATGCACTTTGGTGTTTAATACCCTCACGTCCTGAGTGGAGTGTTGTTGGCAGCCTAAGCAAAAACCCGCTTGTGAGTCGCCCAAAGCGGAGCTAACCTTGTTATGTGATTCGTGGGTTACAACCCAGCCAAACCCCTCGTCATTTCCCTTGGAGCACCTCGGGTTGCAGCACAGAGTCATCATTTGAGCATTTCTTCTCGGTTTCTCTCTTCACCTTGCACAGGGACACCAAAATGAGAGCCACCCCTGGGTCCCCTTATCCTGAAACACAGTCGAAGCCATTTTTACTCCGAAGCTGACAGGGGCGATCGGGTACTTAGTAAGGCTGAACTCACCATGGTGAGATAACCCACAAAGGCCATGGTTTGTAAGCCTCCGTTCAGTGGGTTATCACCAGGCCTTACTAGCCACTTACGTGTCGTACCCTGTCTCGATCGCCCCTTGAAGGAACTCACCTTCCACAGGGAATTTGAAATGAGAGCCACCCCGGATCCCCTTCTCCTAAAACACACGAACGATTCGAAGCCCGTCTCTAAGACCGAATGCTTCGAAGCCCTCCCCAAGGGCGAGAAAGCAAAGGAGTTGGAGACCGGGAAGCTGGAGCCGGAGCAGATCATCATGAAGGTGGCCTGCTGTCGCGGCTCGAACCCGAACTTGTCGTGCAGGAAGTAGGCCTCCGGAGCGCGGCGGAAAATCCAGCGGAAGGGCCGCGACTCAATCGGAGAGCTACCTCCATTTACGCATGCGTCAGCTGGGAAAAACACAGAGTTCCTAGATTTCTGCAACAAACACAAGAGGAGATATATACACAAAATAAAAGGGGGAAATCTACAAAATGAATATGTACAAGATATTCTGAAACGCAAATGGACGTGTCTGGTTTTGGGTTGGGTTCAATCCTCACGTCCGCAATATTTGGTACTGAGGGACCCTTTGACCATTTAAAGTAAGTTACAAGGTCTGTTGGTAGTCTTTTAGGACACACTGTACTCAAAGGGGGTGAAAAGCGGGTCACCGTACATCAGCTAAGGGATAGGTATCACCAACCCAACCGTCCAGTTGCCTTCACGGTAGGTAACCAGGGGAAGCCCTCATGGAAAACCTAGAGGCAACACAAATCCTGGTTACCTAGTACGGCGGCTTGCCTAGAAGCACTGTGATCGTAGTGAACCTCACGAGCGCGGCCGCAACTCTGGGACTTCTCCTCTCAAAACCACTTACTGGGCTGCCCTCAGGTCCCCCGCTAAAAGTGACTAACTCTTAGTGGGTTAAATGGAAACTACCACTAAACACTAACAGGCTAAAAAACAAAGGAACCGGAATGCTGGGAGCCACCAAGCTTAGATTCCAAGACATTGAAAGGACAAGGGTTCAAACAAAGCCCGGTTGCGCCGCCATTTTGCCAGCAAGGTACCGCGGCAAACGCGGACGAGTCAGGCGACGAACCACCCTTGGAGTTGCTTGGACTTTACCGGGAGATTTCCTCATTTGGTTTCGAAAAGAACTGGTGTTCAAGTTCCCGTTGCCAAAACCTCCAAGCTAACACTCCTCAGGTTCCTTCTCAATTGGTGGTTTCGATTGGTGGTGAGGTTAGGGATGGTGTCCATTTATTTCTCCTCCCCGAGAACCGGGTGCTCAAATGGTGTTTTGCGTTGCCTGAACCTACTGCACCCCACAAAGCCCAAAGCAAAACCACAACCCCACAAGGATCCGAAGCAAAAACCACACCCCAGCAATACTGGAGATGGACCCACTCAAAACTCAAAGCCTGCCTCCGGCCCATCACTCACCGCCTGACCGAAATCTGAGACGCATCCGGAAAGCTGACCGGAGGTGGCTCTGCCACCAGAAGCCCTGCTGCAAGTGCACCAACTGTTTGCCTGGAGTCTCCATGACCCTTTAAAAATGGGCCATTAGCTTGAGTAATGACCAACCATGTTTCAAGGGTCATGGAGACAGATCAACAGGGAAGCACCCTCGCGGGCCCCAATGGAACAGGTAGGAAGCAACACACTTGCAAAAACAGCCAGGAGAATCCGTTGGAGCTGCTCGTGTAGCAAGAAGCCGCAAAACCACTGTTTCTTGGCAGTTCCTTGTTAACTTGTCCCCTTGCTTCGCAATACCGGGGTGTGCAAAAAGTCGGGTATCCCCCAATGGTTGTTTGTAATAGTGTTTCAGTCTAAAGCCACCCCAGGCTATCATCCAAAAAGGAACTTTCAGAAATAGCTCCTAAGATCGAACCCATTGATGTCAGCGTTTGTAGAGGAACCTCCCGGCCTTTTCAGGACTCCTCTTTGGTTTGGGAGTAATCCACTTTGCTTGCCGAGCCTCCCGAAACATGTTGTGCTCAGAAGACAGAACAAGTCCGTTTGGTTGCAAGGCATCAAACCAACGTTACGGACCTGGGTATCAAACAACCGTTTGGGTATCAACCAAACCTTGGATTAAGCTTGGATTAGGGGACCCGCCCCCCCCCCCCCCAAAAAAAAAGAAACAAAACAAAACAAACAAAACAAAACAAACAAGCAAACAAACAAACAAACAAACAACCAATCAGCTTTTTCCCATGGGTGTCATTTAATACCCCCAAAAACGGGGTACCAACTCCAGAAAACACACCCCCAAGTCCAATCCTTTGGATTCCCTCGAGATCTGCTCACTGCTCACCTTTTAGGACCAAACATGGAGCACATTTCTGGAAAACCAACAGCAGAAAAGCCTATGGCTCAGGCAGGCCACCTACCAACTGGAGATTATTTTCTCCATCCACAATACGAATAGAGGGGTGGGTCTGTCTTTTTGCAGGCTAACTTTCAGCTTGGTTCAAAGGGAAGTTCAAAGGTAGGTCTCGGACAACTGACTGTTGATTACTCAAGAGGATACTTACTTGGATTCTGGTTAAACGGTCGATGGGCTTTGAGAGTTAACACTCGACGCGGTTGACTCAGGCTCGGACAAGTGAGAAGGCGTCCTAAGTGGATGCAGAGGTGCAGCAAACAGTAGCGCACCCCGTACCAAACGGTGCATGCCAGCAAACATGCTGCAAGCAAACCATCCGTTCTGCACCTTCCCCATTCGCTTGAGGCATCATTCTCTTCAGAAAATGGGCCACACCCGGAAAATTGTCGGTTTCTCTGAAGAGAACGATGGATGAAAAAATGACTGGAAATGACCCTTAGAACCATACGGAACAAAAGCGCACAACCGTGGTAAATTGTATGCGATACATTACTCGGGTATTCGGCCGAGTCAGTAAGTAGTAACCCGAGCTACAACCCGCTTCTTACGTCCCTCCTAATGAAATTAACCTTGAACTTGTTATATATATATACATTGGGGTATAAGCCAAACATCCAATGTAAAGAATCGGCTTCCTTGGTTTCTTCCTTGCAATATGGATCGGGGCATCCATGCCAATGATTGCTGGAGTAGCAGGAAGCGTCTTGGCAGAAAACCCGATCGGGCTGCCCCTTGCAAACAACGATGATTGAACAGAAAGGGGAGTTCACCTTTAGGTGTGTGTGTGCGTGCGTGCGTGTCTGTGTGTGTGTGTGCGTGCGTGAGTGCGTGCGTGGTTGTGTGCGTGCGTGCGTGCGTGCAGTTAATAAACTACAACTTTTGAGCGGGAATTCCAGTTACCCTTACACACACACACACACACACCCACGCACGCACGCACGCACGCACGCACGCACGCACGCACGCACGCACGCGCGCACACCGTTGAAACTGCCATTTTTGGAGATTCCAAAAAAGGGTTCCTTTTCTAGGTTGGTTGAAATGGAAGGGACACCGCAAAGAAACATACAACTCCGGAATCAAGACCTATGATGCAGCTATCATCTGGTGACACTCAATTGGACATGACATAGTTGAGCAACTTGGCCATACGGGACACACCCTCCCTAGTATTGCTCAATTGCTCAAAGAACCTGAAGATAAAAAACCGTTTGCCTGTTGGCGCCTTGACTAAGCAGGGCTGCTGTAGAGATTCCGGCATGTCCCCTTCAAACGTAAACGGCTCACCAGGCGACCAACCTGAAATAAGGTGGTTGGGGGGGCTATTCCCCACATAAACCACCATTTGGCGTGAATTCGGTCGTGTGCGGTCGTTATACTTCACCCAGCTTTATGCTGGCTTAAGTGGGGATGTAGGTCCTCCAGTAGAGAGGTTAGAATAAGGGTACCCTTTTTTCTGCAGTCTATTTTAGTAGGGGAACCCTCCCCCAAAAACGGGTAACATGGCACTACTGAGGGGTCTTGGGGATAATTAGTGGTTTGGGGGATAGTGGAAGCCACCTTAGAACCAACATTCGCACTGCCCAGTCGCCATGAAGCATGCCAGCAGCAGAATGGTTGCAGCTCCCTGCATGAAGCCAAATGGATTACCTGCCAGCGAAAAAAGAAAAAAGTCACGGTGACTGCTAAGTGCCCCTTTCCACACTAAGAGTTTCTCCGTTAAAGAACTAAAAAGTATAGCCTGGACCTTCAAGTACCCTTGAAAATGTGACGTTGCCCAAATTTATGCTGGTAATTCCCCTTTTTCAGGTAGCTTGCCCCGCGTTATTGAAGGTCACCTAGGGTGCAAGTACGTACCCCATATCTGTTTTGGGTTTGGTTCTCTGGGGAATTCAACTCAAATCCACAATTCACATTTAAAGAATGGTAAAGACCCACTTTAGTTTGGGTCCTGAATGGTAAACAATGGTTCTATGAACCCAGTAATGGTTCCCTGCCTGGATGCCGGGGTGAGGTACCAAGGGACCCTTTCATTTTAACCAATAGCTGACCTTTGGCTGGGTTGAGGTGCTCTGCTCGAGAACTGGCCGTGCTGGAACAAATACTTGGCCCTTTGATCTGGGTGTTAAAAAGCGGGTCTGGCAAAAACTATAACAACATGCCCATTTGCACGGTCTCTTGCGGTTTTAAAGGAACACCAAAGGCTAGGGGGGTCTAGCCTCCAAAACGACACACCCACGTGCCTGACTTTGGCCGATCTTGTTCTTCGCATACCTGTACCTCAGACTTCGAGAAAGATACAGACTGTCAACAAAATACGGGAGGTGTTGCGCGTTCCCTCAAAAGGCTCCCAGACACAAACCCATGACTCGCTACCTTTCCATCATGGAATCTAAATAAGGGACCTTCTGGTGGCTTCTATGTCGTTCAGTTTCTCGCTTTCTGAGCGGACCGGCGAAAGTCCATAACATGATGCAGACCCAACAAGTGCCAAAAGTCCCTGAACTCAAGTGAGAAGGACATGGGCAGTGACCGGCTGAGGAAGCCTGGCAACAAACTGTGATTCAAGTTGTCCAACTTCAGGGGTGCGGGGCATTTGGCGAGTTTGCCATGTCCGTCCTAAATGGAGCATAGCCTGCTGGGAATTGTCAAAGGGTGGATGGACCCAAACAAGGATAAGCTAGCTGGTCTGAAATACAGATTTAGACGACAGAACTGCAGGCTGGTTGTATCTTGCAAATTGATCCCTGTGGTAATTACCTCATATGTGTGGATTTGAGGAATCTGTGGATGATGTTCTCCGAGCACCAAACCCAACACCGCTTCTATGAGATTGAATCATGCAACATGCCTGAATTGGCATCGCCAGCTCCATGCTTGGATGTCCAACGTCGGGTAGGTTACAATCATCGCTATAACTTGGGCAACTGGGGTTGGCCCACTGAAAAAAACAGGGTTCTAACCTACTTACCCGACGTTGCGATGAAACTACTGGCCTCGGAGTCGTGCAAAACCCGTCGAAGAAAAAAACAACATCCCCCGGAAAGGCCTCCGGCATCTGAGCAAACATGCTACTTCTTGCGAAGCACATCCACCGACCCAAGGGTTCAAAACCCAAGGAAAGAACACATGTGGGGTTGGGTAGTTTGACAATACTTGCTGGTTTGGGGTTTCCTGGTTCTTGTGGTTCGAGGTTGGTGGCCAGTGCAACCCATTCCCAGGTGAGACTTTCAGACAGTTGTGTGAATCACACCAGCTCCTCCAGTAGAGAGGTTAGAATAACCCTTTGTTTCTGCAGTCTACTTTAGCAGGGGAACCGCATCTCCCAACCAAAAAAGAAACGGGTGAGAAGGGCACCTAGCTGGGGGACCTGGACACCCATGCAATACATGGTCCCCAAAACCCGGGAGTGCCGCTGGAGCTACGTCTGGGCCATCCTCCCAGGGCCCCCGGCTCTAGGCACCGGCGGCGGGCGGGTAAAGAAGATGGCGCCTACACGGAGTGGCTGCGGTTCAACCCGGTCCCGCTTAAAGGCACAGTGGACTTAGTAAGGGGTGCGGATGTATTGGGGGGAGTTAAAACAACATCCTAAAACAATTACCCCTCCCTTAGTAAGCGGTGAGCGCAAGCCTGGTCAACCCACACGGGATCGTATCACCATGGCTTTGTAGGGTATAGCCAGGCTTCCTACCCACTTAAGTACCCGATCGCACCTTTAAGTGCTACCTGGGGTCAAATTGAGACTGTTTCTAGGGGTTCGCCTCAATGGCGGTGTTTCCCTTTTGATCTGTTATGTTGTCAGTGCTTCCTGGCAAGCAACTATAGTAGATAACCCTTCGCTATTCTTACATCTTGGCTTTACATGAGTTTGGAAACTGGAAGTACTAGCACAGTCAGAAACTGGAGGTGTTTCCTCACCTACCACTTGAAGTGACAAAAAAAAACAATAGGGCCTGTACCTGACCCTTCATGACCAGGTATGGACGGAATTTGGTAGGAAACGCCCACCCCAGGAAAGGCTCAGTTGCCCAAAGAGTCTAGTTACCTTATGGGCCATGACAACAAATGGACAAACAGTGGAAAACCGAAGCTTGAAAGGTCGATTGGCTTTGGGCAAGTGAGGCTCACCAACGGCTGAAGGAAAGGTACCTCTAGGTCGCGCTGAGAATCAGCTGCCGCAAAAGGTGGTTGCGAAATCTGCTCCTCTGCTAAAAGTGACTAACTGTTTAGTGGTTTAATACGGAAAACCCATTAGTTGGCAAAAAGTCTTCAAGTCCTAACATCCCTTGGCAAAACGCGTCGAAGAAAAGGTGGTTTGGAGCCTGGTGCTTTGGAGGGGTGGAGCCCGGTGCTAAAACCTATCTACGCACCAAGAACGAGAAACTCAAACCTCAGGTCCCACCAAATTCACCAAGCCCCCTCAGGTTCACGCAGGAATCGTTTCTTCAAAAAGCTTCCCAGAATGGAACTCAGATTTGTTCAGCCCTTTTGTTTGGTTTTGAAGGGACATCAGAAGGAAGCAACGCTTGGGCTTGGCGCAAAATAGGGATTGGCATCGGATGCCAAAATGGGTGGTGGTTTCCAGATTTTGAGAAACTTGGGATTGCCCATTTGTGAAGACAGAGAACAAGTCTGCGTCAGTTCCCGGGCTGACCAGCTGAAATGCCCATATACATCTGGCTGTCAAATGGGTGTATTTGTTCTATCAGCCTTGTTTTTGTGGTTTTTATTGGCTTTTAAGGAAACCCAAACGGGAAAAAAACACATTGGTGTCCAAAAAGAAAAACCAAAACAACACTAATTTGTTGGGGGGTCGGATTCCAAAAAACAGACAACACTCACAGGGTTTGTTAAGTGACCTCCCCTGGGCCATCTTGGGACCATTTGACAGCCATGGGGAGTGACTCGAAGCAAACACATCCAAGTTCCCCCCCAAATCTGACGTTGGGAAGCTGTCAGCCTGCAAATATTCGTTGCTTGCAAAATGATGCTCATTAGGCTGTGGGTAAGAACCCTGTACCCCTGGTGAACACCATAGGTGGCAAATGGATGTTCATCCGCCCCAAAATGAGCCATAGGTTATGCAACCCATGGCCATTTCACTAACAAATGGCCGCGGGTCAAAACCAATGGGATCCCATTTTGGGGTAGGTGAATTCACCACCCATTTTATAATCTATTTTAGTGGTTGGATTGGGATGTTCGGGGTTTTGCCCCATGGCCAAATAGCCACGGAGGAGCGCCCCAGAGGTTTGGAGTGGGGGTCCCATGTCTGCGACACGCGAAAAATTGGTTGCCAGACTTAGACTCGCGAAACAAACACAACTTTGTTTTGTTGGTTGCCAGGTTGGTTGCCAGGGGAAATGAAGAAAACTGAACCATGTGTTGTTGCCAGGGCCAGGGGAAATGAGGGAAAACCAAAAAGGTGAAACACAACAAACGGTAAGCGTGTCTGGCAATGGGAATAAACACTCTGCGAGGTCTATGATGCGGGACGCTGCCATGCCTTCAACATCGTCTTTGTTGGAGGAACTTGCTCACTAGCCGATGCTTAATCCAGTTTTTGTGCATTCCAATGTTGCCATAGGCGTCCTTTTCGGGGAAATAGATGGGTTTCCCTGGCAGATGAGAAAAAACCACCAGGTGAACCAGGAATCGCCATCTATTTTTCGACCAAAACAACCAAAGGACACCTATGGATGTTGCTCTATGACCTCCTCCCTTTTTCGAGGCCTATGATAAAGTTCACCAAGACCAGCAGCGCGATCGAGTAGCACCTGGATCTCGCAGGTGCGTTTGGGGAAAGTCCTTACATCTTTGTCGCTGCTCGACTTTCAAGTTAGCCACCCAAAAGAGTCACCGAACGGGCCTGGAAACCAATGGATACTGGACTGGCTCAATTGCTTGGTTCGGGTTGATTTCAAGAAAAATAAACCAGATGACAATTCAGTCAGCATAGAAAAGGCCTGACTCAAATTGGTCCTCTACCCAAAGAGTCCCTTGGTACCGAAATAAGTTGCGGATTTGAGGAATCTGTATTTGACGAGTTCCCGAAAGAACCCAACCCAAACTACTCATATGGAGTACTTGGACCCATTGGGGTATGGCCTCTAATTTTCTTCTTGATGGCACTACTGTTGATGGACGAAATCCTGCACCTCAGAAACCATGTAAACAATGGAAATTCCCCTTCAAATACCAACCAACGACATGTTTCCCCATCCATGCTGGGTGCCAAGGCCGTTATTCTGAGAAACAAATCTGCAGAATCGTCTTGGAGAAGGTCCCAGCTTTGGTAAACTCCCCTAACCCATTCTTCTTGGTTAACGTTGCAAGGGGAGCAACAACTTAAATTTTAGCAGTTAAGTGGGAATTTCCCACCAAACCACAAGAAGCAAAAATGTGAAATGTTTCCCAACAACAACCATGTCTTTGGGAGACCTCATGGTAGGACTATCTTTCCCTGTGAAGGACATTAAGATACCACGAATGACCCGCAAGCCAATTGGCAAATAAACCCACTACACAGTGAAACTTGTGGTGCAAGCAAAGCACCGTATTATGACAAAACACAAAACCATGGCAAATGACGGTCATTCAGGGAGTTACCTTGTTCCCTTACTTGCAATGTGGCAAGGGCATCAGCCGTATGGGCTGCACCCAGCCCATTCACGACTGGAAGACCCTAATGCTATTCACGATCGGAGGGTGGACAATTTGCCCGTGGTGCGACATTGGTACCAACTCCATCAACGAGCCCCGCAAAGAGTTCCAAACGGTACCCCTCTGTGTTTTTGTTTATTGTCAATATTTCAAGGTACTGGCTTGGCAATGGTTCGGGGCAAATTGTCTAATGCAGTTTGCTCAACTATGCACATATGATCAAAGGAAGTTTAACAAGAAACTTCCGTAGTACTGGAACTAAATGAGCTAGCTGCTTTGACATATAGCTATGACAGGTAGCTAGCATGACAAATAGATAGCTTTGACATATAGCTAGCTTGACAGATAGATAGCTTTGACATATAGCTAGCTTGACAGATAGATAGCTTTCCAATAGGCTTGCATGACAAATAGATAGCTTTGACATATAGCTAGCTTGACAGATAGATAGCTTTCCAATAGGCTTGCATGACAGATAGATAGCTTTGACATATAGCTAGCTTGACAGATAGATAGCTTTCCAATAGGCTTGCATGACAGATAGATAGCTTTGACATATAGCCAGCTTAACACGTAGATAGCTTTCTCAAGTATAGATTTCGTGGCAGGCGCAGCACTTTCGCAAGCACTCTCTGCGAGCTGGGGGATGGCAAGATGCAGAAAACGTTGGCGCTGTGCGTGAATTGGGCTTCCGGACTGTGCGCAAACCACCTCGGCTGCGACGCCTGTACGGAGGCGGTCTCGGAACGGTCTCGGAACGGTCTCGGAACGGTCTCGGAACGGGTCTCGGAGACGGGCCCATTGGCACGGCCGCGCGAAGGTTTCGCAAGGTTTGAATTGCGTGGCAGGCGCAGCACTTTCGCAAGGTCAAGTATAGATTTCGTGGCAGGCGCAGCACTTTCGCAAGGTCAAGTATCGATTTCGTGGCAGGCGCAGCACTTTCGCAAGGTCAAGTATCGATTTCGTGGCAGGCGCAGCACTTTCGCAAGGTGCTGCGTCCACTCTCTGCGAGCTGGGGGATGGCAAGATGCAGAAAACGTTGGCGCTGTGCGTGAATTGGGCTTCCGGACTGTGCGCAAACCACCTCGGCTGCGACGCCTGTACGGAGGCGGTCTCGGAACGGTCTCGGAACGGTCTCGGAACGGTTCTCGGAACGGTCTCGGAGACGGGCCCATTGGCACGGCCGCGCGAAGGTTTCGCAAGGTTTGAATTGCGTGGCAGGCGCAGCACTTTCGCAAGGTCAAGTATAGATTTCGTGGCAGGCGCAGCACTTTCGCAAGGTCAAGTATAGATTTCGTGGCAGGCGCAGCACTTTCGCAAGGTCAAGTATCGATTTCGTGGCAGGCGCAGCACTTTCGCAAGGTGCTGCGTCCACTCTCTGCGAGCTGGGGGATGGCAAGATGCAGAAAACGTTGGCGCTGTGCGTGAATTGGGCTTCCGGACTGTGCGCAAACCACCTCGGCTGCGACGCCTGTACGGAGGCGGTCTCGTCTCGGAACGGTCTCGGAGACGGGCCCATTGGCACGGCCGCGCGAAGGTTTCGCAAGGTTTGAATTGCGTGGCAGGCGCAGCACTTTCGCAAGGTCAAGTATAGATTTCGTGGCAGGCGCAGCACTTTCGCAAGGTCAAGTATCGATTTCGTGGCAGGCGCAGCACTTTCGCAAGGTCAAGTACAAAATTCGTGGCAGGCGCATCACTTTCGCAAGGTCAAGTACAGAATTTGTGGCAGGTGCAGCACTTTCGCAAGGTCAAGTGCAAAATTCGTGGCACGCGCAGCACTTTCGCAAGGTCAAGTACAGATTTTGTGGCAGGCGCAGCACTTTAGCAAGGTCAAGCACAGATTTGGTGGCAGGCGCAGCATTTTTGCAAGGTCAACTTTCGCAGCCGGGGCTCGAAAATCGCAACTTTTAAGTACGAAAGTAGTACGCGAAGTCAACTTTCGCAGCTGGGGCTTGAAAATCGCAACTTTTAAGTACGAAAGTAGTGCGCAAAGTCCACTTTCGCAGCCGGGGCTTGAAAATCGCAACTTTTAAGTACGAAAGTAGTACGCAAAGTCCACTTTCGCAGCTGGGGCTCGAAAATCGCGACTTTTTAGTACGAAAGTAGTACGCGAAGTCCACTTTCGTAGCTGGGGGTACGAAAGTAGTGCGCAAAGTCCACTTTCGCAGCCGGGGCTTGAAAATCGCAACTTTTAAGTACGAAAGTAGTACGCAAAGTCCACTTTCGCAGCTGGGGCTCGAAAATCGCGACTTTTTAGTACAAGTAAGGTCCGGCAGAGCCGGGGGGCGGAAGTTTCAAAGCAGTGAACAACTATAGTTTGGAGAACTGTCCTTGGCCCCTTGCTTCTCTTTCTCTCTGTCTTTTTCTCTCTTTCTCTCTTTCTCTCTTTCTCTTTCTCTTTCTCTTTCTGTTTCTCTGTCTCTTTCTCTCTCTTTCTATCTATCTCTCTAGCTATCTCTATATCTGTTTATTGATCTATCTATCTACCCATCTCTCTGCATTTAAAAGTTGCGATGTTCAATCCCCGAAAGTTGACTTCGCGTACTACTTTCGTACTTAAAAGTTGCGATTTTCGAGCCCCAGCTAGCTAGTTATTTGTCTATCTATCTACAAATCTATCTATCTCTGTCTATCTCTGTTTCTCTATCTCTTTCTATCTATTTCTCTAGCTATCTCTACATCTGTTTATTGATCTATCTATCAGTCCATCTTTCTCTGCACTTAAAAGTTGCGATGTTCAATCCCCGAAAGTTGACTTCGCGTACTACTTTCGTACTTAAAAGTTACGATTTTCAAGCCCCGGCTGCGAAAGTGGACTTTGCGCACTACTTTCGTACTTAAAAGTTGCGATTTTCAAGCCCCAGCTGCGAAAGTTGACTTCGCGTACTACTTTCGTACTTAAAAGTTGCGATTTTCGAGCCCCGGCTGCGAAAGTTGACCTTGCAAAAATGCTGCGCCTGCCACCAAATCTGTGCTTGACCTTGCTAAAGTGCTGCGCCTGCCACAAAATCTGTACTTGACCTTGCGAAAGTGCTGCGCGTGCCACGAATTTTGCACTTGACCTTGCGAAAGTGCTGCACCTGCCACAAATTCTGTACTTGACCTTGCGAAAGTGATGCGCCTGCCACGAATTTTGTACTTGACCTTGCGAAAGTGCTGCGCCTGCCACGAAAATACTTGACCTTGCGAAAGTGCTGCGCCTGCCACGAAATCTATACTTGACCTTGCGAAAGTGCTGCGCCTGCCACGAAATCTATACTTGACCTTGCGAAAGTGCTGCGCCTGCCACGCAATTCAAACCTTGCGAAACCTTCGCGCGGCCGTGCCAATGGGCCCGTCTCCGAGACCGTTCCGAGACCGTTCCGAGACCGCCTCCGTACAGGCGTCGCAGCCGAGGTGGTTTGCGCACAGTCCGGAAGCCCAATTCACGCACAGCGCCAACGTTTTCTGCATCTTGCCATCCCCCAGCTCGCAGAGAGTGGACGCAGCACCTTGCGAAAGTGCTGCGCCTGCCACGAAATCGATACTTGACCTTGCGAAAGTGCTGCGCCTGCCACGAAATCTATACTTGACCTTGCGAAAGTGCTGCGCCTGCCACGAAATCTATACTTGACCTTGCGAAAGTGCTGCGCCTGCCACGAAATCTATACTTGACCTTGCGAAAGTGCTGCGCCTGCCACGCAATTCAAACCTTGCGAAACCTTCGCGCGGCCGTGCCAATGGGCCCGTCTCCGAGACCGTTCCGAACCCGTTCCGAGACCCCGCCGCCTCCGTACAGGCGTCGCAGCCGAGGTGGTTTGCGCACAGTCCGGAAGCCCAATTCACGCACAGCGCCAACGTTTTCTGCATCTTGCCATCCCCCAGCTCGCAGAGAGTGCTTGCGAAAGTGCTGCGCCTGCCACGAAATCTATACTTGAGACGAAATCTATACTTGAGAAAGCTATCTACGTGTTAAGCTGGCTATATGTCAAAGCTATCTATCTATCAAGCTAGCTATATGTCAAAGCTATCTATCTGTCATGCAAGCCTATTGGAAAGCTATCTATCTGTCAAGCTAGCTATATGTCAAAGCTATCTATCTGTCATGCAAGCCTATTGGAAAGCTATCTATCTGTCAAGCTAGCTATATGTCAAAGCTATCTATCTGTCATGCAAGCCTATTGGAAAGCTATCTATCTGTCAAGCTAGCTATATGTCAAAGCTATCTATTTGTCATGCAAGCCTATTGGAAAGCTATCTATCTGTCAAGCTAGCTATATGTCAAAGCTATCTATCTGTCAAGCTAGCAAGCCTATATCTATCTGTCAAGCTAGCTATATGTCAAAGCTATCTATCTGTCAAGCTAGCTATATGTCAAAGCTATCTATTTGTCATGCTAGCTACCTGTCATAGCTATATGTCAAAGCAGCTAGCTCATTTAGTTCCAGTACTACGGAAGTTTCTTGTTAAACTTCCTTTGACGAAAGTAGTATGCGAAGTCCACTTTCGTAGCTGGGGCTCGAAAATCGCAACTTTTAATTACGAAAGTAGTACGTGAAGTCCAGTTTCGCAGCTGGGGCTCGAAAATCGCAACTTTTAAGTACGAAAGTAGTACGCGAAGTCAACTTTCGGGGATTGAACATCGCAACTTTTAAGTGCAGAGAAAGATGGGTAGATAGATAGATCAATAAACAGATATAGAGATAGCTAGAGAGATAGATAGAAAGAGAGAGAAAGAGACAGAGAAACAGAAAGAGAAAGAGAAAGAGAGAAAGAGAGAAAGAGAGAAAGAGAGAAAAAGAGAGAGAGGGAGAGAAGCAAGGGGCCAAGGACAGTTCTCCAAACTATAGTTGTTCACTGCTTTGAAACTTCCGCCCCCCGGCTCTGCCGGACCTTACTTGTATGACTCACTTCCTGAGTAGATTGGCAAAAACAAGCCCAAACTTGTTGGTTGTCACTAAACCGGTGATCACACCAAAGACCAGCCATGAGACTCGCTGCGCATCATAATGTGGGGTCACTACTCTTAATTTGGGGCAAATGCCACCCTATTTTAAGGGTCTCGACCTTTGGGCATGTAGGGGTGTGTCTGTTTTGAGGTTACTCTTTTCTAATGGTTTTCAAGGAAAACAACCAAGGAAACCAACAAAGGACAACCACGATTTGTGGGGGTCCGATGCCTAAAACGAGACAAGCCACCCATTTCTGACCGCAGCATGGCATTGCCACATCCTGCAAAAACGCTTGACTTCTGCCATCCCCCCCCCTTATCATGAATTTTGCTTGGAGGTTCGGCCAAGTTAGTAAGTGGTTAGACACCTGGGTGATAACCCACTAATTTCAAGGTTCACTCCACTTAGGGGGACCGTATTTGGCTACTAACCACTCACCAAGTTGGCCGAACACCCAAGTAAGGGGCATAAAGGCTCCAGGCTTCGGGCACCCCGTTCTGTTGAGGAAGCTTCCATGTCCATTCGTTCTAGGGATCCGAGTCTTTTCAGGAAACCATGAAAAACCCAGGTGGGAAACAGAACGATCGGTTGTTGAAAAGACAAAGCGATGGTTAAAAAGAACGAAAAAGGACTACAACCCTCGACATGTTCTTTTTTCGGGAATCGCTCCCCCCCAACAAAAAATGGCGCAATAAAAAATCCCTCTTCGTTTTCCTTTGTAACCCTAGAGCTTTTCCTTGGGCTCTAGAAGAATTCCTGGGCTGCCCTGGGCGAGCTTTTTTCGCTCGCTCGCTGGGAGGTCTGGGGCTTCCGCAGGTGCTCGAACTCGAAGTGGGTCTCCAGGCGGATCCGCGAGTAAGGCGCCACCATGCCCCCGATGGCCGGGCCCAGGATGCAGCCCGCCGACTGCAGCCGGGCCTGCCTCGGCTAGGCGAAAAGCAGAAAAAAAGGCAGAGAACTCAGCGATCCGATCGAGTGAATGTGGGCCAAAAAAAAATGGTAGAAACCGCTCAGTTGCCACTAAAATGGTCTTTCCAGAAAGAATACATTCGACTCGCCTTTGATCGAGCGGATGGGCAGCAAACACAGCAACCAGAAACTTGCTATTTACCACACAAATAGCTTGGCCAAACATCCAAGCACTACAATGGTCCAAACCCAGAAGTGAAGTCCATAAGCTTGGGGAGTAAATAAATACCCCACCCAACCCACATTCTAAGTAGGCCCTGTCGCAAACATCATGGCTTCCCCTGGCAATATACCATGGCAACTGGAAGCAATGGGATATTGCCCGACCATGTAGGGTTGATTCCAACCATTCTTTTCAACCATCCTCGGTTGCTTTCTGCTCCCCTGCTAAAAGTTTAACATTTATTGGTTTAATGGAAAACCCATTAGTTGGCAAAAAGTTACAAGTCCTAATATCCAAGCAAAAATGCACCTCTGATCAAGGCTCTCTCTGTTGAAAAAGCGATCGTTCTGTATGTATTTCCAAAAAAATCGGATCCCCCCGGTGGACATGGAAGCTTCTCCTTGCCACGGGTGACTTCCGATTTGTTCAAGGTCCGGGTACCCAGACTTCTGTCTCGATAAGGAAGTCTCTGCTTAGCTTCCCGTCACCCTCAGAAAACCGAGGTGGAAAGCCTGAGTCGGAAAACCTGAGTTTACCCGTGCTGCATGGTTTTGAAGACTTGTGTTGGCTTTTTCGCAAAAGGATCTTCCCACCAATACCTCAGGGAGTGAGTTGATTCCCCAACAAAGCAATCAACAGAATGACCCCGACTATTTGAAGTCTTGAGGGTGCCTTTACTTGCATGGCTCCAGTGAGGCATAGTAAGTAACCAAGTTGGAAGCTGCCTTTAAACACCAAAAGGAACATGGGTTCTTTTACCACTGGAAACTGGTTGAAAACTGTCCATTTGCTTAAGTCTCTGGAACACATCAAAAGATATGCAGTAGTGATAGATTCCCATTACAACCAACTTAAAGGCTTGTTTTGTTGATTTTAAGTTAAACAAAAAGCCACATGTCAGCAAATTGAGTATTGATTTTTCTTTGCGGAGGGCGTTCCTCATCAACATCAAGCCGCAACCAGGCACCAATCCACCAAGGGCTGGCTGACTGACGGTCTTCACTTCCAGAATGGATTCGCAAAAAAACAGTCCTGGAACAGTTTGTTTACCGGTACTGTTTTCTCATGAGCAAACGTAGTTCAGGACGTGAGAAGGGAAACCAACAAATTACAACTGTATTTATGTTGGGTTCCCACTAAAAGACGCAAAACACACACTGGGTTCTCATGTTTTTTCTCTGTTTTCTTATAAAGTATATAATAATAGTAATAGTAATAGTAATAGTAATAGAAATAGTAATAGTAATAGTAATAGTAATAGTAACAGTAACAGTAATAGTAATAATGCAAAACAAATGATAATAATAACAATAATAACAATAATTGTACTAGTAGGAGTAACAATAACAAACAAAACATAAGCACACACACACAGAATGAAAATGAGACCTTCGGGTGCCGCGCGGCATGTTCACCCAGAAGACCCGCTCGGACTTGGAGGTGAGGTCCGAGACCAGCGCCACCTCCACCGTGGCGGCGCCCGAGCAGAGGCCCAGCGCCGCCCGGGCGCAGAGCAGTTGGAAGATGGTCTGCACGTTGGCCATGAGCAGATACCTAAGTTGAATCGGCTCCATTTTGGGTGCGGCAAAGTAGAGTCAGTTGGCTGTGGGTCAAAACCAACGGTACCATTTTGGGGTAAGTGCACCACCCAATTTGGTCTATTTTAGTGGGAATTGGGATGTTCAATGGGGGTACGGGATTTTGACGCATGGCCAGTTGATTTTTTTGGGGGGCTCTATTTGGAAAGTGTCATACCCAAGGAATGGGCTCCGTTTTTGGATGAGCAAATACCTCAGTGCAAGGCCGGGTGGGTGTTTTTTGTTGGCTCTTGTGGGCTCCATTTGGCAGATACCTCAGTTGAAGGTTTTGGGCTCCATGTTTGTGACAAGACCGTTGGAACTACACGGACCGGGGCTCCATTTTGTGGCTCCAAGGTAGAGTTTAAACCAAGGAAGAGGGGGTGTTTGAGCAAATGCCTCAGTTGAATGGGGCATTTGAGGGGGTACCCGGGTCCGTTCTCCGCTCCAAGGTAGAGTGTGCTCTAGGGGAGGGGTCTCTACCAGGAATCCCTCGGAGGAGGTAGAGGAAATACCTCAGGAACAGGCTCCATGTGTGTTGCTGCAAGGTAGGGTTAAAATAAGGGAATCCCTAGAGTTAAATACGGGGATACCTCAGCTGGAGGTTTTGGAGGCTCCATTTGGGGTTGTCTCTAAGTGGTTTAACGTTTTTGGCAACAACTCTGCTTGTGTTTGTCCCTTTCTTGGCTATGAGCAGATACCTCAGAGCAAGGCCGGGTCCATTTTTGTTGCTCCAAGGTAGAGTAAGGGAATCTCTAACAGGAATTTGTAAGAGGGGGTGTTCCAGGAAGAGGGGGGAAGGGGGCTGCATTTGGGGGGTGTCTTGTTCTTCTGGGCTCCATTTGGCAACTGCCTGGGCAAATACCTCAGTTAAATCCAGGGGGCTTGATTTGGGGGCGGGGGAGGTGTCTGACTATTTTCCTTGGTGCAACAGGTTGTGAGGTTTCTTTGGGGTGTCTTTGTTTCTTTGGGGCTCCATTCTTGTGCTCCAAGGCAGAGTCAGCCAAGGAAGAGGGGGCGTTACAAGGCAGATACCTAAGTTGGAGGTTTGGGGGGCTCCATTTGGGGGGTGTCTCAATTTCTTTCTGGGCTCCATTGGGCGAGATACCTGAGCAGATACCTCAGTTGAATCGGCTCCATTTTGGGGGGCTTCGTTTGGTGTCTGTGTGGAGGGTACCCCTTGGGTGACCACATACCTCAGCTGAAGTTGTTTTGGGGGGGGTCCATTTTGGGGGGGTCGCTAGGTTTTTTGGGGATGCAAAAACTCAGTTGTTGGTTGTTTGTTTGTGTCTTGTTTTTTTTTTGGGGGGGATCCTTGGGGGGGTGTCTTTGTTTCTTTGAGCTCCATTTTCATGTCTCCAGAGTCAAACCGAGGAAGAGGGGGTGTTTCAAGGCACCTGAATCCAGGGGTCCATGTTGCCCTGGGGTCCATGTTGCCCTGGGGTGGTTTTTAAACCAAGTTAAAGTAAGTGTCCTTGTGGGGTGCTGTTAAAAGGAAAAACATGTGCCACATGTTGTAGGGCAGAGTAAAAGAACACTAATCAATACAAATTGCGGTTTTCCTTTTGGCTTCCTTTTAGACCACGGGTTAAAGGGTAACAGCCACAGCTCATAGAACAAACACACACACACACACAAACCGGCGCCTGGTCACCACAAGATTCGCCCCGGAATTCGGCGTCCAAGGGGCACAACCGAGGTCATCGCAAGGCAACTGAGCAGAATGGGCCGTCGCCCAATACGGTCAGACAGCGAGCCCAAGATGGGCGAGCTCAACATCTGGCATGCAGCCTAAGCCGTGATCTGAAGAGCTGAAGCAAATGAAGCAAGCGCACGCGTGCGTCCTATGAACCACCATAAAGGTGAATATAACTCGGGTTTTTGTCTGAATAGATTAGGGTAAATGCTTGGTTGGTCCCCTTGATGTTGACCCCATTTGTTTATCAACCATCTAGTTGATTCATAGGGGGAAATAGTTGGCCCCTCCGACAGTGGTCTGATTCCCCACCAAACCCAGGGACAACCCCCTACTAATAAACAGGGGTTGGTCCATATGGGGTCAACATGATGAACACCATAAACAGGTGAAACGTCGAATTTCAAACACACTCTACTGCATGTTGCTGATACAAAGACAACACCGGCGGTTGTTGAATAAACAAGCATTTGCAATATGACGATATGTCAAGAGGTAAAGTAAACAAAGGTCAAGGCGCAAATCAAGGAGAACATGGAGCCCGACCTCCTTTCATCTATATCAATTTTTCCTTTCCCACTAATTTCCCTTGACAGGCGATTGGCTCGAGAAGGGTATAAAAGGGCTTCCCCCAAAAGAAACTTAGGTTCCCAAAAAATAGCAACAGGACGCCGCCAGCTTCCCCTTAAAACTAACCGAAGGAGGATGCCCCCCCCCCCACCCAATGGCAACAGTTTCACTCGCACACTTGGCTTCCGAACTTCATCGGCACCCCTCAACAAAAATAAACCAATGCCTCCCTCAATCGCCCATCCAAGCTTCTTTCCCCACGGTACAAAAACACAACACAAAACCAACCATGACATCATGACACGGGTATTCGCCCCCCCCCCCCCCCCACAAAAACTTTTTGAAACAAACCAAAAGACAAGCCGAGCAAAACGTGAACCCTGCCACACGCATCCAATAAATACATAAAAGGCGTCGTCAAGTGATTCACACGCATCCAATAAATGAATAAAACAAAAAAGCCAGCGCCGAGCCGCGTAGGCGGAAGATATCATGCAGAAAGACTACTTTCCTCTTGGTTAGTTGGCCTTATTGCACAAACCCATGTTGGTTGGAAGGGTAACAACGAGCGCCGAGTCGCGTAGGCGGAAGATATCATGTAGAAAGACTACTTTCCTCTTGGTTTGTTGGCCTTCTTGCACAAACCCATGTTCGTTGGGAGGGTAAAAAGAAAAAAGCGAGCGCCGAGCCGCGTATGCGGAAGATATCATGGAGTAGTGAAACGCCTGGCAGCCCTTCGCCATGGCAAAGTAGGGCAAAGCCGGCGCCACGATCCATTGCCCGCCTGATGATCGATCGGATCGGATCGGAGCCAAAAGGGGTCACCTGGGCGTTTTTGGTCCCTGGAAAAATGGCAGTGGCTCACAAAACCTGGGTGTAGTGGGGATGTATCACTTTTGGAGGGGAACACCTCCATATTTATTAGCCGGGGGTGATAATATAGGGTCAACATTAACGGGACCAACCAACTAGTTACCCTAGTGTATCCAGTCTTCCCTAGTTATATTCACACATCACATATCCCACGTGTTGTAAACTTGATGGTTCGATAGGTAGGGAATGAGAAATAGAATGACCCCGAGAAACACCATAGCTTGTTGTTTCCTTTGTGCAAATCCCTAGGGTCATTCAGTCCGGGAAGTAGGCTATCACCAGGGCCTCCGGTAGTGGCCAGCGCTGCGCTTATTACTGTTTAGGGGGTAAGGTTCCCTACTTAAAGGGGCGATCGACTATGTACGTCAGGTGAGCGGGTAACCATGGTGATAACCCACGAGACACATGGTTATAAGTCTACTAAGTGGGTTATCTGGCCACTTACTAAGTACCCTGCCCCTTTAAGTCGAACCATGGTACGGGGACCAAAGACACACTTAAGAGCATTCTGCGGACCATTCAAGGGTGGTCCTCTATACCTGTAGTCCTGACCTGCTTGCTAAGTTGATTGAACATCAATCCAAGTGAGACCCAGCTGAGTCGGCAGACATTTGCAAAAAAAACAACCTACTCCAAATAGACGACATGTTTGGGTATATCTGCTTGGTTGCAGCTATCTGTTGACCCCTCTGCAAAAAGTTTAACTTTGCGTGCCTTCCAAGGGAAAATCCGCTGTTTCCCAAAAAGTTAAAGTCCAAAGATCCAGCAAATAGCCACAAAGCCAAATACCGACGTTTGCAGGGTATATTCGTGTGTCTTGTTTGAGCTTAGGAAGCCAGAAGGATAGCCACCATTTTGGGGGTTCCCTAAAAGAGGACACCCTCCTATTTTTTGAAGAACCTTGTTTGACATGGAACATGCCTCATCTTTTAGTCGGAGGCTGACATGCTACTATACAAAAGTGGGTACTTAGTTGGAGTAGCAGCAACACGCAAACAAAGCCGGGTGCTACATGGGGTCGTCTGGAAAAAGAAGACAACTGCATGTGTCAAACAATCCGGGCGAGGCTAGGCAAAACAAACTCGGCAAACAAACATGTTGTCCAGGTCTATTTTATATTTACTCTACCCCCCCCCAAACAAAAAACACAACAACAAAGCGGAGGAGACCCACCCCAACAACGCGCAAACAAACCCGGGTGATCCAAAATGTTCAATAAAACTACCCACCCTTTTTTGGCATCCCTTTCGCAAGTTTTGGGCTATTTGGCACCCACAAGTAAGCAAAACAAGCAAACTACCTAGGGAAGCAACAATTCACCCTGAAAAGGCCCACCAGGGGCCCACAAAGAAAACCTACCTAGGGATCCTCTGAAAGCTATCTCCATATTACACCCCACCTTGGAACACCCCAAAATCTACGAACTCCGGGTCTATTGTTTTACGGTAACCGCAACAACTCCCAAGCAACTCCGACTCTTTACACCTCCCCAACTGGGATCCTGGTCGAAGCTTTAGCGAGGGTTTGGTGTGGCTCAATATTCCAAAGCTAGGGTTTCGCAGGTTTGAGTCTTTGGTTCCATTTACCGTTTGGCGCCATTTTGGTACATTGATTTGAGCCACAGCCAAATAGGGAACCCTCGAGAAAGCCACGCCCAAAGATAGGCCCGGCACATGCCTTTGGTTCAGCTAACTAGGCCCTCAAAAACGCCACGCATTTTAGGGTGAACCCAGAAATTGGACGAGCCAGGCAAAGTCAGCAGGAACTTTTATTTACCACTAGCACAAATGAAACATGGCCTTCCCCCCCCCAAAAAAAAGGAAACATGGCCAAAGATGTCCGGCACGGCACATGCCCAGAAGAAGCTCGAGAACAGCAAGGCCCAGAGCCTCAGCCGAGAAATTCCCCCAAAAAAAACATGGGAAGAGAGACGCACAAGCCAAGATTTGTTGGGTGGGCGATTTTGACGGAAACCCTTGCGTTGCTATTTTCTGCTTGGTGGTTGATTGGCTGATTTGTTGAGTGATTGATTTGTTGATTGACAGTGATTTTAACGGAAACCCTTGCTTTGGTGTTCTCTGTGTAGCAATTTATTTGTTTTATTAATTAATCTTGAACGGAGCTCTTCGCAACCGAAAGATTTGTCTTTGGTATTGTCTGCTTGGTGGTTGATTGGTTGATTTGTTGATTGATTGAACCTGCTTGGTGGGCGATTTCGGCTGTGGGATTGGGTACCGTCAAACACAATCAGCCTGGGCGGGCGATTTGTTTGGTGTGTCTTGGAACCCTTGCTTTCGTGTTTTCTGCTTGGTGGTTGAGTTGTTGATTGGATTTGAAGGGAGCTCTTGGCAAAAAAAAAGAAACACATCCGAGGAACCCCCGTTCAAACGGAAAAATGGGGGATCCACTGGGTAGCTAGGGCCCCTCCAAATGAAAAACGCGGACCCTAATTAGAGAAACCCTTCCCCCCAAGATATTTGAGGGGACACTCACCTGGGCCAAAAAGGAGATGTTTAAAACCAAAACGAAGACCTAGGGACCTAACCCCCCAAAGCAAAGAAGAAAACAAACAATGAAAGGCAACAATGGGCGGAACATGTTTGTGTGAATGGAAGCCTTTTTTTGTGGTTTCTTGTTCGGCGGTCTAGAGAAGGAACGCTAGCTTCAGCCCCAAGCAACGGGATTAAGTGGGATATGTCCCCTACTCCGCATATTCTCTAATAGAACCCACAAGGGGGGCCCACTTCCCGCAGGTCGGTTTTTGTTGGGTTCCCTCTGTGGTAGCCACGTAAAGGGTTTGCCATTATCTTCCCTGCCCGGTGGATGGCCGTTTTTTTTTTCACCTTAGACCCAAACGCTGGGCGAGAGGAACCAGCCACCAGAAAAACTTAAGCCATTTTGGGCCAGCACCCCCCAACAACTGTTTTGTGTTTTCCCCATTGTTCCCAAACGGCCGTTAAAACAGGAACATATGCATCTCAGTTGCCCAAAGTTCAAAGAACCCAGAAAAATGGTTAACATGTTGAGTCCATGACTAAAAATGGTTGCAACCTTCGGAGAACCAAAAAGTTGAAAGGTCGATTCGCTTTGGGTCAAGCAAGGTATTCCCGAAAGAACTGGGCGAAACGGCTGTCCACCTCAGAGTCTCCTTCTGTCACATATGGTTCAATTGGTGGTTTGGGTGGGCGGCTTGGGGATTTGCACCCCTGGAGGGTATAAGTGGGAAGCTGCCATTAACCACAAGAAAACCACTGAGCTCCAAGCCACCAAAGTAGAGGGACGCGGAACACTCGGGTGTTCGGCCCAGTGGAAAGTTGTTAGTGTCCTATCTTAGAGCCCACTAATAGGTTGGCGACCTTGTTTTAGTGGGTTATAACCCAGGGGTGGCCAACCAATAAGTTACTTGGCTGAGCATCCAAGCGCCGACCGCTCCTCTACAAATTAGCATGGAAACAACAGGGGGGTCCCCCCAAAAAGTGTCCTCCATTTTGGTTTTTTGGGGTTCCTGCCGTGAATCTGTAGGTGAGGGTCAGAAGTCAGAAGGAGACTCCACCTGAGTCATAATCAAAAACCCGGTATCAAGATTGTCTACCCATACCCACGCCAAGAATTGAACAAGCGGATATCCACACCCATTCGTGGCTGGAATTGTCCCTTGCCCTCGAATGGGTTTTGAGGACCTCACTCGCCTACTTCCATTTGCGATTAAAAGCCCCCTGGAAAAACAATGTGTCCAGTGGTGAAACGCAAATTGCAGAATAAGCAACTTGACATCATGTTTTCACCTGGTTCTCCCTTTTGTGGCCAGAGGCAAACGGAAGAGCCCGGGGTGGAAGCCTAGTTCCAACTGGGCGGCTCGATCTTCGCCGATCGGAGGTTCCGGCTCTGCGGTTTCAGCGCCGGCTTCAAACGCTTCGTCGTGGGGGTACGAGGCGCCGGCGTCGAAGGAGTGTCCATGGCGCTCGGGTTTTCGGACGACCCAAAAGGGTTGGCAATGGCCCCCCCCAAAATCGAGAAAACAGACTAAAATCCTGGAAAAAGAACCACCGGAAGAAAGGTTTCCAAAAGGTTTCAGGGCCTAAGGTCACACCAAAGACTAGCCAGGAAAAAACTCTGCCCTTGAACTGGGGACCCGGACCCTGTCCGCGAAACCCCTGGGTTCTACGCTCTTGTGGGTCAGACTGCGCATGTCTGGAACTTGCGTCCCAAGGAGCCCTTGGCACTGTTCATTTGCCGATTTGAGGAATCTGCTGACGAATCCCATTGAACCAAACCCAAAACCTGTCTTACCTACCGAGCTCAAGCTGGCTGTTTGAATCACCAAGTTCGGTCGACCGCTCAAGCTGTGTCCCTGTCCCGCCTGCTTTTTGGAGGATGAAACGGATCAACGATGCAAAGGCGCCAAAGGACCCAAAGGCATTGGGACAATTCCGGGTCTGAGGAACGTTCATCCGCTTGCCCTCAAGATTGATCTGAGCAGACCTCCTGGAGTTCCAGCAACAAAGGCACCCTCTTCCGCGTATTTCCGCCTCCTTCGGGCTGGATGAATGAGGCAAAAGGAACGCTGGATGAATGAATTAGGGAAGTTCACCGCCCCAAAAAGTGACGACTCCACACCTCTGGCCCCGGATGAAGCACCTTGCGACCCCGCCATTTTGTCTCATGTGCCATGCTATGAGCCGATCAGCCGAGCGCGGGAGTGCGATGCGAGCCATGTAGAACAAGGCAACCCTCAGCGAGTTGAATCACATGGGTCGGTCCTTCTTGTGGGGAACCTTTGTTTTTTTGTTTTCAAGGGAAACCAAAAGAAGCACCGCCATCTTAGAGGGTTTTCAGGGGGTCTTTTCGCCACCTTTTGTGGACAATTGAT